ACTGTGGACTGTGTGTGGACTGTGTGTGGACTGTGTGTGGACTGTGGACTGTGTGTGGACTGTGTGTGGACTGTGTGTGGACTGTGGACTGTGTGTGGACTGTGTGTGGACTGTGTGTGGACTGTGTGTGGACTGTGGACTGTGTGTGGACTGTGTGTGGACTGTGTGTGGACTGTGGACTGTGTGTGGACTGTGTGTGGACTGTGTGTGGACTGTGGACTATGTGTGGACTGTGGACTGTGTGTGGACTGTGGACTGTGGACTGTGTGTGGACTGTGGACTGTGTGTGGACTGTGTGTGGACTGTGTGTGGACTGTGGACTATGTGTGGACTGTGTGTGGACTGTGTGTGGACTGTGGACTGTGTGTGGACTGTGTGTGGACTGTGTGTGGACTGTGGACTGTGTGTGGACTGTGTGTGGACTGTGTGTGGACTGTGGACTATGTGTGGACTGTGTGTGGACTGTGTGTGGACTGTGGACTGTGTGTGGACTGTGTGTGGACTGTGTTTGGACTGTGGACTGTGTGTGGACTGTGTGTGGACTGTGGACTGTGTGTGGACTGTGTGTGGACTGTGGACTGTGTGTGGACTGTGTGTGGACTGTGTGTGGACTGTGGACTGTGTGTGGACTGTGTGTGGACTGTGTGTGGACTGTGGACTGTGTGTGGACTGTGTGTGGACTGTGGACTGTGTGTGGACTGTGTGTGGACTGTGTGTGGACTGTGGACTGTGTGTGGACTGTGTGTGGACTGTGGACTGTGTGTGGACTGTGTGTGGACTGTGTTTGGACTGTGGACTGTGTGTGGACTGTGTGTGGACTGTGGACTGTGTGTGGACTGTGTTTGGACTGTGGACTGTGTGTGGACTGTGGACTGTGGACTGTGTGTGGACTGTGTGTGGACTGTGTGTGGACAGTGGACTGTGTGTGGACTGTGTGTGGACAGTGGACTGTGTGTGGACTGTGTGTGGACTGTGTGTGGACTGTGTTTGGACTGTGAGGGACCGTCGCTGCTGGCAGCTTTAATAATTTGAATGTGTTTGTAATAACTGTGAGCTTCGGACGAACACTGTGACGGTGATTCTCACTATTTTAAGAATTAGTACAAAGCAATCAATCAATAGATTAATGGATCAATAATAAGATAAGATAAGATATTCCTTTATAAGAGAAATTCAGATAGACACAGCAGCAACAGGGCAAAGAAGTGCAAAAGAGAGAACAAAGAATATCACAAAACAAAATAGAAAATAGAAAACTATAAATGAAAGTATATACAGTATGCATTGTTCAAGAAGGAATGGTGTGCAAATATATGAGCAGAAAATCCAACTTGACTTAAACTAAACTGTACAAGTGGAAATTAAATATAAATAGTGCAAATAATTATCATTATTGATTATAATGATCAGCAGATTGGATCCATAGTGAAAAGAATCATTGATACAGAGCTCCAGCAGTAAACTGCAGCTGTTACATTAAGGTAAAGATATCAGATTAGTTGATTATGGTCACACTCTGTGTATAACAGTGTGCTCACACTGACACCTGGAGGCCACTGCAGCACACTGCACCCTCAGGAACAATCCATTCACTGCTGGTTGGGGTGTTTTAATGATAAAATTATAGATGAATAATCATTGTTTGTTTATTGATATTTTGGACAGAACAACAGCAACCAACCAAACAAACAAACAAACAAACAAACAATGGGAGTGTAACAGAGTCCATAAACACAGACAATTCTTCCCTTGTATTATATATTATATATTATATATATTGTTAGAACCCGAGTTACTGGGGGACCAAATAGCCCTAAAGTCAAATACCACATTAGTCACATCCGTTAACGGCAGCTCTCCTCTTATTGATCTGTGCACTTGGTAGTTGCTAGGATAACTTTAGTGGCTTGTACAGTAAGCCCCAAGGGTCTGTTTAATTTCTGTGGCTAGAGTAACCTGTTAGAACCGTTAAGTTAATGAACACACTACCTAATAATTACTGCCTGATGAGATATCATAAATCCAAGGTCCACAGTTTATTCTTTAACTTTAATGGTTATTTTTATTGCAAGATTTAGCAAGGGCCAGCATACAGCATAAACTGATTCAAAACTGATTGTTCACATCTACTGATAAAAATTAACTATGTTTCTGATATTAAGTAAAATTGTTTAAATTTCAAACCCCTGATGAAAAGGCTTGTAGCTGAATGGTCAAATGTCCAGCTTGTAGAGGGAAGAGGTGTACCGGCCGATACAGTTCCTCCTTGCCTGCCGTACTGTTGGTTGCTGTTGAAACTCCAGACTTTGTCCAAAGTCCGCAAAGTCTCTGACCAGTGCAGTCTCTGATGGCAGGGTGAACAAAAGAGTGATCCTTGGTGACCAATTGGAAACCTGAAGCTGGGTGGAGATGGTTAATCCTCCTCTGCCCGCCGCTCCCGTCTCGGCTGTAGGTTGTTGGACTTGTCTTTCTGCGATGATGGCTTGTTCGTTGCTCCGTCTCTTGAGTTGAAATTCTAAGTTCAAAGATGAGTTGCTCCAATGTGGTCGATCGATCAGCAAGTCTTGAACCCGAGAGCCGGCCGAGGACTAACCACGATCCTCCCGGGGCAGTTCCTTTTATCCCCTTAGGGAATTTTACTGTCACCTCCTCTTCTGCTCATCACAGTGTCCTGTGTGCATACTTCTTCTTTACATGGTATGGTCTGATGGTGCTTTCCATTTGTCTCGTGAACTCGGAACCCGAGTTGGAAAGTGTAAATCTTGCAGCTATCTCGCGACATTTCACCGAGACACCCCCCCTTTTGGTCAGAATTTCATCCGTCCAGCTCGGCGTTCCTCAGGGTACCCCGAGCTGGACGGGGGGGCACATACGACCCGCAAAAACAAAGATGGCAGCGCCCATATTAAGATGTATTTTCTTTGTATTTGTACTACGTTGGTCGTTTTAATGTCGATTTTAAATGCTCTTACACACTGTTTACATTGCTGCTTTAGTCCGGTCACCAGTTTATGCATTGCACCGTGTTGGTGTGCGTGCAATACAAGTAAAGTTTTGTTTTCGAGCTGGTTTGCTAAATAGGCTAATGTAGCTAACAATAACACTAGCCTGCCCCTGGTGGCCCCTGGAGGCCCCTGGTGGCCCCTGTAGGCCCCTGGTGGCTCGAGACAAACTCCACAGCAGTTGTTGAAATTGAAACAGCGAAAATGGCAAAATATTATTACTTCCCTTTTTCTCTCTGCCTCAGGTATGTCCGGACATGTCTAGTGGCTCTATGTGCCTTCTCACTCGTAGTCAGTATTTCAACATGATTTGCCCTTTTGGCCTTTCTTACCATAGTTCTAACTTAGTTATATATTTCATACATTTCATTCCATACATAATTTCCCTTTTCATTATTACATCTTTCTCTTTTATAATCAATAAAATCAACTTAAATCATTATACAGCTTTTGGTTAGCATATTCTTTGTGCATTTTACGTTCATTCAGATGGAGAGTCCTTAATACCATCGTTATTGAGTTATAGAATAAAAGGTAGAAATGATCTTAAAGACATTTCAGTGCATCCTGGGTTTTTTTATTTTAGTGCTTTAAAAGATTGATCACAATGTGTTGGACAAAGACCAAAAGTCCAAGAGTTACACTCTAAAAAGAAATATGATAAATAAAGAATAATAAAATTCAGTGTCTAATTGATTTATTCAGATAAACCTTTTAAGTTGCAAACAATATTTTGATGAGTTTTAACGTTGAGAAAATAGTTAATTTTATGAGTAACCTAATCAACTTAAAGATTTTTGTTTATGCTACCAGTTATTAACTGAGTGGAAACTAAAAATACCTTATTGTGGAGGAAAAGTTAATTCCTTAAACTCAATGTTGCACTTTTGTTTAACATAATTTCATTAGAAGTTGCCACAACTTGAAAAGATTGATGCAAACTGATTACATCAAAAATCTGAAGTAACACAAACTTAAGTAAAAAAGATGATTGATTAAGCAGCTTTTACTTGTACAAACACATCATTCATGTCAAAGTGAACCAAATAACAATCGGACAGCGTATTTCGTGTTCCGCCATGGAGACTCAAAACTACAAGTGTAATATTCTGAAAGTATTTCCTGTATGAATCCTTCTTTAAGGAGCGGCAGAAATATCTGCTGATTTAATCACATTCACATATATATATATGCTTGGAAAAACCCCTAAATGAAGATATTTGAACTCACAAACATTAATGTGGCACATTGAAGAGACTGCAACACAATAAAAACACATTGTTTTGTTTCCAAATCTTCACATATTTTTCCAACTACATCTTTTATCATTTAACTGAAGCCTGAAATCCATATTAATACTAGGTGTTAACAGGTGTAAAAAAGGTATAATTTTCTGTTGATGCTTCTTGCGTTGTGCGGGTGCTGGATGTCGGGGGTCTGAGGGGTCTAAAATCTGGCAAAATGAAACCATTCGTTCCTAAAAAAAATTAAATCTTTAAATCACAGAACTTTAAATTCTACTGGAGATCCATAAGACCCCAAACTAGTCAGGCCGAATATCCCCGAGACCCACAGAAAATACGTTTTAATATTTTAATTAGTTTTTAAATAAATGCATTTATTAATTGGGATGTAAGAAACATTTTCTCAAAAATGTTATTTTGTTTTATAACATCCACAAAAAGTAGTGCAGCCCCTCCCCGAGGCCTCTAGACAGTCAGATCGAAGAAACACAGGAAGGAAAGCAGAATGAAAACAGCATGTTTGAATGTGATGGGAAGATCGATTTCATCCAGTGTAGCTTCAGTGAAGATCTACTGAATATATAATTCATGTGATATTCAGATTAGAGCTCATATGGTGCTGAAACATGGACCCTAAATATCAAGTTCATCATTGACAACGTCATAATGGAGTCCTGAATGTGTTGTGTGTGCGATCTAAAACATGAACAAGAAATGTAAAAATGGACACAAATAAGCACAGAGAGACTTCCTGTAGTGCTGATAATCATGCTTTATTAAATCAATAATTGGAGAAAAACTCAAGGAGGCTGCAAAAATAATGCTAACAACTCTAACTTCAATCAAACCAAAGTGCTGAGCGACACGCAACACCACGCTTCTTTCCGTCCTTGTCGAGCGCAGCGGCGGTTGGTTACGGCTGCGGTACGTGTGCTTGGCGGCGCCCAGCTTGACTGACAGGTGAACTAAAAACTAACACACAAACACGCTGCAGACCTCCGAGAGACAGCTCTGCCTCTGCAAACAAGCACCAGCTGGACTCTTATTTTTTTTTTCGTGATTGGCCAGGTTGATGGTAAACCGAAGAGTCGAGCGAGCGATCATTTGCCAGAAGCAGAGCACAAAACAAAAAAGAAACACTTGTGCTCAGGGAGTGCAGGCCGCTCGCACTGTGAGCGTGTCATCGAAATGGCGGTATGACATAATCAGTCAGAGTGTGAGGTCTAGTCGTCCTGCTTACATGAGGGTATATGCAAACAGCACTCAGGATCTCACGCTCTTGTTGCAATGCAACAGCACCGCTCCTACTCTCCAGCAGTGCATTCATAGTTCTGTCTCTGATTGAGTTAACATCAACAGGGAGCCTCTCTACCTGTTGAGGCAATCTTAAGACTTCAACTTATCGTTGAGGCACAGAGTTTAGTTTCTCAGTTTAACAGGGTATTCGTTCCTTGTGAAACTTTCTCCTGTTAAACCACATTTAGTTTCATTTTGTTTCAGTTAATATTATTGTCATAAATAACAATGCATACATTTCCCATAACCGTTAAATTCGGCTATATACATTATGTACATGTCACAGAAAAATGGATCAAAAATCCTAAGTCATAGTTATCCAATATGGCACATTTTATAACAACTTTAGACTTTAGTCTAGTTTGGCATAAATTAATGTCAAGATTGGTACAAAAATAGTTCATATTTACAAGAACAGAAATCCAGATCTTTATCAAGTAGATTATTTCGCTCAATTAATAAATAAAAAGGCATGGAAGTAGGGAAAAGGGGAAGATTGCAAGATTAGATTTTTTTTTTTTACACTGATCGAATACTAATGTGAACAGTCGCTGTGTCGGATCCGAGTTCGTTGGACAGTTTGAGGGTGTAGGTTCCAGCGTCCTCCTCCTTCACCCCCGTGATTATGAGGGTGGTCAAGTCCTCCGTGGTCTCGATGTGGAAGCGTCCGCCGGCAGTCACCTCAATGGTTTTACCGCCACGAGACCACTCAATGTGTTTGGCGTCACCGGAGAAGGCGCAGGCGACTGTCAGGATTTTGCCCGGCTCGATGCTGATGTCTTCTGGCAGAGCCTCGATCCTGGGAGCAGAACCTGGAAACCACGGCACACGTACATCAGTGCACTCAAAGGTTTTTTAAAAAAAAAGGTTAATGGGCAAAACATTTTTACAACAGAAAGTTTAGCAGGACAATATTTAGATTTTCAAATTCAGGTACAAAAGAGGTTTTTCTAAATAGACTTCTAAACAGCTGTTGCATATAAATATTAGTGAGATAATGATGAAGATAAAGCCAAGCTCCCTTTAAAATGACACAAAATTAAACATGTTTCTAGGGACGCCGACTAATAGTCGAATAAATGGTAGATGAGAAGAGTCTCAGGCGACCGACTTATCATTAGTCGGATAGTCGCAGAAAAACAAAAACGTTAAACTCTGTTCAGTACTTTGTCAGGAGATTGTTGCAACACGGACCTTTTCTCTTGTAACACAGTAAGTACACACGTACTAACTGCCATTAGCTACTTAGCAGTCCCATCAGCTGACTCAACCTGGATTGGGAGCTGGAAGGAAAGTTTGTTTACACCACTAGCACGGGAGCTAGCATAGGAGAATGAGCACCAGAACCGGAGCTGTGCGAGCGTGCAACAGAACCAGACTCACCGCATCCAAGACTGACGGAGTCCAACTGATTTACAGTGGCTCAAGTTTGTAGTGAGTTACTGGTAAAGTTATACATCTATACACGTTTTCGTGAAGATGGGAGTTATTTATTCCATGTTTTGAACACTCATTCAGAATCATTAACGCTTTTTCCGTTAGCATTTAAGTATATATACATCATAAACATGCAATAACTAGTCGACTATTGGCTTGAACGAACAACTACTTGTCAACGAGGAGAATCGTTGTGGGGACGGCCCTTCAGGTTTAATTACCGACCGTCTTACCGATTGCTCTGATTGAGGATCCCTCCATGAGGGAGGACATCTCCGTGAGACTGCTGGAGCTCATGGCATACGTCTCAGACGCCACTGAGGACATGCTGGACATGGACATGGTCTCAAATTTCATCTCAGCTGCCATGCTGCTGAAGGAGCTGGACTCCATCATGGATGACATCATTGCCTGCTGGGCAGAGGAAGAGAAGGAGGACGACTCCTCCATTGTGTGCATTTCTTTCTTCATCATCATGGATGAGCTCATGGATGACGACGACTCTTTGTGACCCATCGTCATAGATCCTGATGAGGGTAGAGATAGAAATGGTGAATTTTCAGATTAAAGGTAAGGCTATGTCAGAATGAAATTGGACTAAATCTACTTTTACACTTGAGACAGGTGCTCACCTTTAACTGCCAGTTTCTGTTCATGGTAGGCTGTGACCTTCATGCGTATGGACTGGAACACCTGTCCGGTGAAGGAGAAGGAGGATTTGGATACTCCTCCCTCTGATGTCATCTCACAGGTGTACTCTCCCTGATCACTGTCTGCCAAGTCATGAATTAGAAGGCTGCAGGAGCCCTCAGAGCAGTGCATCTCAAAGTGGCTGCTCTGCGAAAGCCTCCTCCCGTTGACGTACCACACTACCTCCCTGACGCTGCTCTCGCAGACACAGGACATCCTCACTGAGCCCTCATAGGCCTCAGCTGTTAGCTGACTAAGGACCTTGGGAGGTTTCGGGGTTGGGGATTTGACGGTGGGTGGAGACACAACTCTCTTGGGGGACATGATAGGTTGAGGAGACTTCATCCTAGGTGGTGATTTGAGTCCCTCAGGCTCAGGGGACTTCAAGGCCCGTGGGGATTTGATGCCTGAAGGTTCTGGGGACTTGATGCCTCTCGGTGTTTTGATTCCAGCTGGTTCTGGGGACTTCACTCCTCTTGGTGTTTTGAGTCCTGCAGGTTCTGGAGATTTGACTCCCCGAGGTGATTTTACTCCCTCAGGCTCAGGTGACTTCACTCCCTCTGGGGACTTGAGTGGTGACTTGAGTCTGGGTTCAGGAGATTTTAAACCCCGTGGTGACTTAACTCCCTCAGGTTCAGGAGATTTGACACTTGGAGCTGGTGATTTTAAGCTGGGTGCTGGAGAGGGTGAAATGGGCTCAGGAGACTTGACACCCCTAGGAGATTTAATTCCCTCTGGTTCAGGAGACTTCACACTCGGCGTTGGTGACTTTAAACTCGGAGATGGAGATGTTACACTTGGTTCAGGGGACTTAACACTTGGAGCTGGTGATTTAATGGAAGGCTCAGGGGACTTCACGCTGGGGACAGGGGAAGTTACAGAGGGAGCGGGTGATGGCGTGACTGGTGGCTCTGGTGACTTTACACTGGGGGTGGGTGACTTTACAGATGGCTCAGGGGATTTTACAGCCTTGACTTCCTCTTTGGGAACTGGTCTGCGGATGGTCAGGGTGAAGTGAGCCTCCTGTCTGCCTGCTGAGTTCTCTACCACCACAGTGTAACTGCCCTCATCGGAGGCTGTCACAGAGGAGATCTCTAGGCTGGACTTGTACTGAGTGGTGGTGACATGAATCCGGTGAGATGAGGTAATGGTTCTGCTCTCATGCATCCATGTTACAGTGGGTGCTGGTTCACCGTCGATATCACAGGAGAATCTGGCTGTCTCTCCCTCTGCAACTGTCACAGATTGGGGCTTGGTAAGGATTCTAGCAGGAAGAGAAGGCTTCACCTTGTGTACAGCAACTTCCTCAGCAACCACTGCAGAAGTTGACTTCAGTTTAGATTCAGATGTGGTTTGTTTCCCAGTTAGAGAAAACTTTTCCGATGAGTAGGAAGAACCAGATGACAGGTAATCAGCATACCTCTCAGCGGAGGAGTACCTCTCAGCGGAGGCGTACCTCTCAGCAGAGGCATACCTCTCAGCAGAGGAGTACCTCTCAGCGGAGGCAGCATATCTTTCTCGTGTGACAACCTCATGTGTCTCAGTTAGCTTAGACTTGCTCTCTTGCACCTCAAGGTGGGTCTCGGAAGCATAGCCAGCTTTGAAGTGGGTGGTGTGGTAGTGGTCAACTCGAGTGACTTCAGGGACATATGCTTTGGGAGCATCCTCATCCCTGCGACGGGAGGAGAAGGTGGTGTAGCCGCCACCTGAAACTTCAAGGGTGGCATAGTCAGAAGCCTCACCCTTGGAGTTGGAGCACACACAGCGGTATGTGCCACTGTCCTCTTCCTGGCACTCCAGAATAGTGATGGACAAAACACCACTCATGTTGATGAAGATGTATTTCTCGCTGCTTTCAAAGATTTCAGTTCCATTGTGGAACCACTTAATCTCAGCTTCTGGCTTGGCTTGGATGTTCAAGGTGAATTTGGTGTCTTGGCCAATTGGAATGCGATGAGAGCGCATCCTGACAGTCACACGAGGAGCATGGTCCAGGCTGAAAGGGGTCTGACTAACCACCTGATATTTCCTCTCAGACTTCAGAGCAGCCTTCCTGGCCTCGTAGCGGGACATGATGTCAAAGCGGGCAGACCGCTCAAACCTGGAGGAGGAGCGGGATGACCTCTCAACAGACCTGATAGGGCTAGGAGAACGGGGACGTGTCCTCTCAGGAGTGGGGGACCTCCTGACCACAACCTCTCCCTCCGCTTCCACAGGAGGCCTGGCACGTGGAGGTCTGATCAGCTCTGACACTGGACGCATCAGCTCTATGTACGTGGGAGACAGTGATCTCCTCCTCCTCATATACTGAGAAACAGTGCGTTTCTTCTTTGTCTCAGCAACCTCGACAGCCTCGTGCCTTACCTCATGCCTCCTCTCTTCATGTTCCACAGCATGGCGTTCAACACGGACCGGGCTGCCGGTAGGAGAGGCAGAAAAGCCGAGCTCCAGTTCATCCTCCAGCATCATTCTTTCCTCCTCTGTTCTCCTCATGGAAAGGTAGTCATCCACAGGCATCAGCAGCTCCTCATCACTAAGGTCTCCCAGAGATCTCCTTCTGGATCTGAAGGAGACCTCGGATTCAGGAGACGGTGAACGGCGGGCAGGTCTGACAGTCTCCAGATCATCTAGAGTGAGTTTTGGAATACGCCATCTTGGCCTGTACTGGTCGGTGACTCTAGGGAGGGGCATGACATAGAACTGCTCCCACCTGGACAGGCGAATACGTCTCTGTCTCTTCTGTACAATCCTCTCCATCCTCTCTGAAATCTCATACTGGTCTTTGAGCTTTCTGTACCACTTCATGTCAGATAGAGGCACAAACTGTTTGATACCCTTGTCCTCATCCAGAGCTTTGGGATCATGAACAATAGGCTCAGGGATCTCATATGGCATGAAGATCCTCCTCTCCTCCTCCAGCTTCTTGGTCTCGGACTTCACGACTGTGATGTCGAATTCGCCCTCAACGTTCTTGGTGCTAACTGCAGGCTTGTAAATCTCTGCAGCAAATTTAAGAGCCTCCTGGGCTGTGGGGTTTAGAGGCACAAGCTCCTCAGTGGCAACAATTTGCTGAGCCATCTTGTTCGTCTTTTCAATTTGTTTCTGGATGTGTCTGTATTTCTCCTCCTCGCTCTTGTACTCTCTCCTGGTGTAAGTAAGGCGATCCACCTTCAATGTAGCCTGGCAGGTTGCAGAGCCAGCACAGTTGGTTGCAGTAACCTTGTACACACCGGAGTCCTCAAGCAGAGTCTCTCTTATGTGCAGGACATGGTACTCAGCGTCTTCCTGTATGACAACAACCTTGGGGCCAAACTGTAATGCACGGCCATCCTTCTCCCATTTTAGAGTAGGAGCTGGGATTCCTGAGACCCTGAGCTCGAAGCGGACACTATGTCCTTCTACACACTCAACATTAGCCAGCAGACGTTTGAACATTGGCCTCATAGTTTCCTCCATCACAGGATGAGGTGTCACAGTGAGACGGGCCTTGCAGCTGTCTTCTCCAAACTTGTTGTGGGCCATGACGGTGTATTCAGCATCATCACTCATGTCCAGGTTGTGGATCATCAGCTGGTACAGACCCTTATCACTGGTGAATGTGTACTTGTGATCATCATCCCCTGGCTTGATTCTCTCACCATTCTTGAGCCATGTTACATGAGGCTCTGGGTGCACTGTAATAGTGACACCGAAACGCACATCTTCTCCAATGTAGGCAGTGCGGTTGTACAGAGGCAAAGTAAACTCTGGGGGTCTCTGCAGGAGTTTAGTCTTGTCGACTCTCCTCCTCAGTTTCTTAATGGACCGGCTAATATAGTGCTCTCTGATGCTCCTCACTGTCTCAACAAAGAGCTCGCCATAAGCACTGTCCTCTCCATCATCACTTACCACCTTGCATCTGTACACTCCATCATCACTCTCTTCAATGTCCTTTACATAGATGCTGGCAAAGCCATTACTGTAAGAGATTTCATACTTGGGACTTGGGTGTAGCTGACGGTTACCAAAGTACCACGACACCTGTGTGCTTTTGTCATAGTTGGTGATGCTACAAGTGAATCTGACATGGCCACCTTCCTCAGCTGAGCCATGCATGACTGGACCAGTGCGGAGGCCATGGTACTCAGTTCCAATCTTCACTTTACCCACAGCCAGTCCTCTCTGGTTCCTGAAGGCGCCGCCATAGGCCACACGAGCTGCTGATACAATGGTGTCTGTCCTCTTCACCAGACTCTGATAGTACCTTCTGTGTCTCAGTGTCTTAATGATCTTGTTGCTGACATATTCAATCTTCATCTTGAGCCATGGGTGTTCCAGAGCCTCATGGGCTGTCATACGGAGCTTCCTGTCTTTGACTAGAAGTCTGTCCACAAAGTCCATAGCCTCCAGGCTGATGTCCTTAAACGCTTCACTGTCAAAGACGTACTCACAGTTGGAGATGTTCTCAATCATCTTTGTAACGGACTCTGCCGCAAATGGATTTAGGCCACTGAGCAGAACATAGGCCATTACACCAACAGACCACATATCAGTGGCTGTTGTGACCAGGTCGTGACGGTGGATCTCAGGGGCGCAGTACTCTGGAGCTGTGAACAGCATTCTGATGTTTTCTCCTGGCACCAGCAGCCTAGCCTGGCCCATCTCAATAATCCTTATGGTGGTGCTTCTCCTTGTGGTGTAGACAATGTTGTCTGGGCGGATATCAAAGTGGCCGAAGTTGTGGCTATGCATGAACTTGAGGGCAGAGCAGACTTGTCTCAGGTAGCGAACAATCTCCTGCTCTGTGAGCTCGAAGTTGCAGGTGCCAAGGCGTTCAAAGATGTCAACTCCAGAAATGAATTCAAAGATCAGGATGATCTCTTCCATGCTTTCAAAGTATTCATGTAGGTAGATTATGTTCATGTGCCTTGCTACGTTGAGGGCCTCAATTTCCCTAAGAACCAACTCACGGTCAGTTCCTTTGACCTTGATAAACTTGGCCATGAAGGTCTTCTTTGTGGCAATCTCCACACAGCGGTGGACTACTCCAAACTGGCAACGAGCAAGTTCCTCAGAGATGGTGTACTTGGTAGACAGCTCCTTCACCTTGTAGAACAGAGCCTCCTCCTTGGTTACCTCTCTGCTTTCGTCCACTTCCTCATCATAGTTCCTAATCACAGACTTGTCTTCCTTTGTGGTGATGGGCTCAGTTGGTTGAGATGGAGGGCTCAATCCATACTGATTTTCAGCGATGACGCGGAACTGGTACTTAGTCTTTCCGAATATGTTGATGATGTTGATGCTGCAGTCTGTGGTCTGTCCAGCACGGATCCATCTATCAGCAGTGGTGGGACACTTCTCCACAATGTAACTAGTGATGTCACTTCCACCATCATTGGCAGGGGGTTCCCAGGTCAAGGTGATGGAGTCCCGACCAATGTCGCTGACAACAAGATTTTTTGGAGCTTCAGGTATGTCAGCCACGTTAACCTCAATGGTTTGCTTGTCTGTTCCGAACCTGTTCTTTGCAGTTATAATGTAGTAGCCAGTATCCTTCTTCTGCACTCCCTTCTGGAAGACCAAGGAGGTGAAAGACCTGGTGGTGATGACCTGGTGATAAGGAGAATTGGAGAGGATCTCCTGACCCTTCTGCCAAACGATTGCTGGCTCAGGCTTGCCAGAGATAGGGATCTTGATGGTTATGTGATCACCACGGACAGCATGGACTGCTCCCATTCCCTGGAGCTCTTTGGGCAGGTGGATCTTAGCAGGAACTGGAATTAAAATGATAAAACATAACATAAGTTTGATATTTAACAAGATTTCTTTCGTTTAAAGAATTACACAATAAAATGGATTTTAGGAATTAACAATACCAAAATTATATCATTACCTTCCACATCCAGGTTGGCTGTTGTAGAGATGGATCCTGAGGAGTTGGTTGCTCTGACTTGGTAAACTGTGGCATCGTTCTCATCAGCAGTAGTGATGACCAGCTGGTAGTAGCCTCCCTTGAACTCCTGGGCTTTGATCTTGGTTCCATCTGCCAGGATCTCCTTTCCACTGCGGTACCATTTCACCACAGGCTTGGGATATCCCACCACCTTGTCATAGGAAAAATAACTAAGTTAGATAATTTACTGATAACTTTTTTTGACTTAAAAAGTAATGGCCTACGTTCCCAATATTGTAGGAAAACCTCACTCCTCCAGAGTCATAGGAGAAAATCTATATATACATATTTAATCGAGAAGAACCTTTGTTTGGCCAAGCTTAAAACAAATACTATGAGCAGGGGAAACACTGACCTTTGATCAAATGAAACTGACGTCAATTCTTTCATTTGACTCTGGATGTCCCATTACTTTCACTACAATTACTAGTAGTTTTTACATATTTAGACCTTAATAAATGTCAATAGTAGTTTAAATAAAGTACCTTAGTGACAAAGGTGGCATTGGCATGATATTTGACGGTCATGTCCCTGATCTCCTCCCTGAACGCAGGAGCACGAGGAGCCTGGTCGGACTTGGGGATGATCGGTGCAGAGATCTCACTCCAGTCACTCTCACCGCCCATGTTCTCACACTTGACACGGAACTCATACTCAAAGCCCTCGATCAAGCCTGTGACCTCGAAGTTGGTCTCAACAACCTTCTTACTGGTTACTGACATCCACTTGTTCTGCTTCTTTTCACGTTTCTCCAGGTAGTAGTTGGTGATTTTAGCTCCACCGTCGCTGCTTGGAGGCTTCCAGCAGACGACACAGGAGTTCTTGGTAGAGCTGATGATGAAGGGTTGCTGTGGGATGCCAGGTTTTTCTGAGAAATAAACAGGGGGATGTTACTGTAGTGCTCTACATATCTGTTAGTCCTGCCTCTCTGCGATGTAGCTATAGAAACCAAAACTGGCAAACAAAATATAAATTGACTTACCGAATGGACTCTTGATGATCACCACTGATGGGATCTCCAGAGGCTCGCTGACTCCATACTGGTTCTGGGCAGAGACTCTGAAGTAGTAGCCGGCGTTCTCTATCAGATTGGGGACACGGCAGTTGGTGCCAGAAACAGAGGAAGACACCAGGTGCCACTGCTCTCCTTCCTTGGCCTCACGCTTCTCCACAATGTAGTTCGTGATCATGGAGCCGCCGTCATCCTTGGGAACCTTCCAGCTGATGACAACTGAGCTCTTCAGCAAAGCATCAACAACAACAGGGCCCTCAGGTATGCATGGTTTATCTGGAAAAAAAGGTCATGAGTAACAGCTTTTTTAATATATACATGTATACATATATATATATAGTAATAGTTATTTGTTGGTTGAAACTTGAAACAAATTCATATGTATGCAAAATCCACAGTAAAGGGTTTCTCATTCTTGACTTTCATTTGAATTTTAAAGATAATCTTCACTGAAAAATGACATTATTTGATATTGGATTGGTTTTTTGTAATATTACTCCGTAGTCTGGTCATACCTTGGATTTCAACACGCAGCACAGTGTCGATGGTTCCATACACATTGCTGAGCTGCACCTTGTAGCGGCCGGCATTGGTCTTCCTCTGGACGTTCCTCACCACCAGGTGGGTGTAGCTTTCAGTGTTTTCAATAATCACATTTTCTGATACATTCAGAGGCTTCTTGCCATAGAACCACATGATCTGGGGGATGGGACGCCCAATGTACACAACATGGAGACGGAGGCTGGTGCCGGCCCCAGCAAAGTACTTCTCCTTCAGAGGGAAGCCTGGGTGGAACTGGGGCGCTGCCTGCAGACGCAGTTTGCCACTGGTCTCGATCTCACCGGCCTCATTGATGGCCCTGCAAGTGTACAGGCCCTCGTCTTCCTGCTCGTCTGTCAGGATGCTGAGGGAGTGGTCGCGGCCATCTGAGCTCATCTTATACTTGCGGCTTTGGATCAGTTCCTTGCCGTAGCGGTACCACTTGATCTCAGGTAGAGGTCTGCCGATGATGCCACAGGTCAGAGTACCGGACTCGCCAAGCTTGGTGGTTACATCCTGGATCTCTTCCTTCAAAGCTGGAGCCTCACCAACTGCAGAAACATCAGCAATTAAAAGGATGATTTCAATCAAAATGTATTTTTTATGCTTTTTACTTTTTGCTGTAAAAACATTATGCTGAAATTCAAACATCTTTATTTAAAATACATAAAATTCAACAACACACAATTCAGTATCTACTTTGTAAGACTCGGGACACATGACAAATTGGCTGTGAGAGTTTTTGATTCAGCTAACATGAATATGTTTTAAAATAAATGTTACTGTGGCCAGGCCATTCTGTTTGATAGAATCTGAACTCTGCAACCACTCACCGCTCAGTTTGGTCTTGATACCCATGGGCGTGCGTCGAGGTCGGCTGAATCCAGTCTCATTCTCAGCAAAGATTCTGAACTCATACTCGGTGGCTTCCATCAAGCCGCCCATGGTGAACTGACGATCCTTGGAGCGCTCCTTGTTGCATTTCTTCCAGGCACTCTCTCCAGCCTCCCTAAACTCAATCCAGTAGCCCAGAATCTCCTTGCCACCATCATGCTCGGGCCTGAGCCAGTGGATGGTGATGCAGTCCTTGGTGACAGAGATGATGTCAATCTCGCCTGGTTGGCTGGGTTTGTCTATAAGACGACAAACAGGAGAAGATTAATACTCGTGAAGAGTTAAAGCAGTACTTCTCAAACAGTGAGGTGTCAGGGGGGTGCGACAGGCAGGGGTGACTGACGGAGGAGGAGAGATGGAGAAGTTTCTCCCAGGAGTAAAAAGAAAAACGGAGACGTCAGAGGCAAGAACAGCAAGTGACGGTAACCGGCATAAACCTAATAAGACCAGGAAATACGATGAAGCCTACATAGCCTTTGGGTTTACCGTGAATACGGTCGGAAATGACAGCATGAAACCAAACAAATTTGCTCGATGCGTATCGCCAACAGGCCGGTCATTTTGTGAGCGCGGTGTACAAACACCGCCACAACGCAATGTGCAAAAAAACCTTGCACGATAGCAGAGGAGCTAATACTCCGGCAGCATTGGACATGGTCACAATCATAGGTGAGAAAAGTGCTGAGACACTGAATATTGTCTCTCTTTCCAATGACACGATCGGGAGACGTATATCTGACATTTCAGATGACCTCCAAGAACAACTCACAGAACACCTAACAGACAAACGTTAAATATAAGAAATATTGTTGCAAATTTTGCACAAAAAACAAACATTAAAAAGTCATATACCTTTTTGAAAAGGAATAAGCTGATGAGGTTGAAGGGTGACCAATGTTTACAGTTTTGAAAAGTTTTGAATGTTACTGTGTTAAGTAAAAAAATGCACATTCCAGTGAATCATTTGCACCTTTTCTCTGTTTTGAGAATCACACAGACTGAGCAGTCTTGTTTAAATAATAATAAACTGAACTTGGAAATGTTGCAGATGTTATCTCAGCTCATTTTATTAATCTATTGTGATAATCAGGTGATTTTATGCAGAATGCTGGTGCCAGCAACTCATACAGTGGTTTGTACAAATAAATATTATCAGGTTCTCAATAGTATTAAAATTTGTGGGGGGCGTGAAAAATTTCTGTCCCCTAGGGGGGGCATGACAGAAAATAATTGAGAGCCACTGAGTTAAAGTAACATGCATTTGTAGCAAAAATGTCCTTCATGTTCAGATTAGTTATGTCTTAAATTTCAATGTCTTGTCTACTCATGCAGAAATAGGCGTGATAAGATACACTTCATTAATCCTTCACTGGGGAAATTCACTCGCTACAGCAGCTCCAGATACATTAAAGCAGAAAAATAGAATAAGAGTTGTATGTACACTATATACAGCTTTTATACAGATGTGATTGATACACAATATTGCAAAAGTTACAGCAGGAGGTAGTGCCATGGTGTAAAAATAAATTATTGCACAGGACAAAAAATATATATACAGCAGTGTTTAGCGGAAAATATAGGCTATAGACGGGGCTTGGAATATACAGTACAGGTCTAATAATACTAATAATATGTCATGTAATGTTAACTCACCAAATGGATCTTTGCAGACCACAGGCTCTGAAGCAGGACCAGGCTCACTCTGCCCAATGTCGTTCTGAGCAACCACTCTGAACATGTACTCTGCATCGGGGATGAGACCAGTGACATTGTACATGGTGGTGGTGATATGGGTCTTGTTGTGGCGGACCCACTTCTCTGTAGAAATCTCCCTCCTTTCCACGTAGTATCCTGTGACGCGGGAGCCTCCATCATCCCGGGGGCGGGCCCAGGACAGAGACACTGAAGACTTGGCAACGTCCATGATCTCTGGTGGGTTGCTGGGAGGTTCTGGTGGGCCTGAAGGGAAAATGCGTTGTATGTGAAATCAAATGTTTACAATATTTCTAATCACAACATTTTGACAAATATCAGTTGTCAGTACTCACAAAGAGGTGTCTTTGGCATTACAGACTCTTCGGACTTGAGAGATCTGCTGATACCGAACTGGTTCTCGGCAGAGACCTTGAAGTGGTACTCCACATTCTCCTTCAGGCCCTTCACCACCAGAGAGTTCTCGATTACCCTGGAATCCACTGTACACCAGGCAGCCTTGGGTACCTCCCGCCTTTCCACAATGTATCCTAGAATGTCGGAACCACCATCATCTGATGGTGGCCGCCAGCTGACCCGGACTGATCTGGCCTGAATATCGTCAAACTCCAGAGGCCCTTCTGGGACATCAGGGCGACCGATCACCTTCACCTAGAGAGGACAATATACAGAAAGATGAGTTGCAACCATTCCAATAAAATCTATTTTTTAATTTTACTTTTGAAACTTAAGTACATTTTATTTCCTTGAAAATCTGTCAGATAAGGTGCTCACCTTGATGTACACAGCCTTCCTGCCACATTTGTTTTCCAGCACCAGGTCGTAGGTACCGGTGTCGTCTTTGTGTGCCTCTTTGATGACCAGCTCAGTGATGTCATCATAGGTGGCAATCATGGCCCGGTGGGAAATGTCACGACCATCTTTGGTCCACTTGCATGTAGGGATGGGTTTTCCCTTAATGGGTACAGACAGACGGATGACTCCGCCCTGCCGCACCACGTAGCCCTCCTCGTATTTACGATCAAGCTCGTAGTCGGGATAATCTGAAGAAGACAGATTTTGTAAATTAAATTACAGATTCTGTAAAAGTATGTTGATTATTTGACTGTAAAATCAAACTTTAAATTATGGAATGTTGCTGTAGTACCAAGCATTTCCTGGACTTTAACCACTCCGGTAATTTCAGCGGGCTCTCCAGAACCGCCAGCGTTGCAGGCTCTGACCCTAAACTTGTACTCGGCACCCTGGGGCATGTGGGTGAGAATGTACTCGCACATCTTGGTGGGTGTGGTGTTGCACAATGTCCATTCCACCTGGTCCACCTTCTGCATCTCGATCAAGTAACCAGTAATGACAGAACCACCCTCCTCTTCAGGCGGCAGCCAGGCAAGAGAGACTGAAGTTCTGGTGGTGTCAGTGACTCTGGGCTGAGCTGGAGGACCTGGAGGCTCTGTTCAACAACACAAAGAGACGTTTCATTAATCCTTTCCTAAAGATTAATCTAAAATAGGTAAATGCAATTACAGTAGCACTGCAGCTGCACTGAGCATTGCAACATGTACCGATGGGATCCATGGCGATGGTGATGGCGGAGCTCTCGCTGGGTTTGCCGGCTCCTCTGGAGTTGATGGCAGTGACACGGTGTTCATACTCCAGACTCTCTATCAGGCCGGAGGAGCGGTACCTGGTCATGGTGACAGTATTCTTGTTGATCCTCATCCACCTGTCAGAGTGGGCCTCTTTACGTTCGATGATGTAGCCAGCAATGGTGGATCCACCATTGTCCTCGGGTGGTTGCCAGGTCAGGGTCATGCCCTCGTGGGTGACATCGAGAACCTCTGGTCTGCTTGGAGGTCCAGGGATGGCTACACAGTAGCAGATAGATTAATAGATTAATTGAATGATAAGAGGACAGAAGGTAATTACCCACAAATTAATGGAAGAGATTCCCTAAGCGTCAGAATTGTTGGAGCTGGGAGGATAACTCACTCTTGGGGCTCTTGCATTCCACCACTTCGGACTGCAGGAAGCCGCCAACACCAAAGCGATTCATAGCAGCAACGCGGAACACATATTCGGTTCCCTCTGAGAGTCTGGTAAACTTGAAGCAGGGTCGGGTCACTGACTCGGACACAGTGCTCCAGCCTGGCCGGTGGGCATCGCGCTGCTCCACCACGTAGCCGCTGACATTGGCACCACCGTCCTTCTCTGGAGGTTCCCAGCTGACTGACACAGACACGCCGTCAGTATCCTCAATCTTCATTGGACCGACTGGGATGCCAGGTTTGTCTGGACAAACACACAAAGGTGGTTGGTTAGAATCTGCATATTATTTGCATTTCACTTGTTATAGTAAATAATTTGGATTTTATGGTTTTCAGATCTCTGTGTATAACCTTAATTTGTACATTACTTACCAAGGATGATGACCTTGATGACCTCGGTTGCGACGCCAACAACATTCTTCACCTCAAGTGAGTAGTCTCCTGTGTCGTTGATGGTGGTCTCACGAATGACAAGGTGGGTGTATTTGCCATTGCTGTCGATCTTGATGCGGTCCAGGCTGTCCTTCAGTTTGACGCCACCGAAGGACCAGGTGCAGACAGGCTGCGGTTTGGCCTTTATGGGGATGTTGAGGTCGATTGGTTTGCCACGGTGCACATGGACAATCTTCTGAGGGATGTTGGTCATGTCGATCTTGGGCATCACTGAAATGCACAGTCAATTCAAGTCAGTTTTTATTAATAGGAAAAACTTTTAATGGGGAAAACAGAAGAAACTAGAATAGCAATAGAGGAGGGATCCATCTCTAAACAATAATACAGATAGACTGTAAAACTTTTTGTGATGTGTTCATCATATTTTAATGATTTCTGTGAAGCTTTTCAGAGTTTAAGCAAAGGCAGAAGTTATTGTGTGATGAATTGTGGATGTGTTATCTTACCCTTGATGTCCTGGATAGTGACAGGAGTAACAGTGTCCATGGGCTCGCTGGCTCCCCTGCTGTTTGTGGCTCGGAGTCTGAACAGGTACTGGTCGTTCTCTGTCAGGGACTGGATGGTGTACTTGGTCACTGAGGACTTGACTGATGCCACCACACTCCACCTGTCCGAGCCAACTTTGCAGGCCTCGATGGTGTAGCCCGCCAACCTGCTGCCGCCATCGTGCAGTGGCTTCTCCCAATGCAGCGTGACAGTGGACTTGGTGACATCGACAACCTGGAGGTTCAGAGGTACAGACGGCACCTCGCATACCAGCACGGGCTCGGCTGTCTCACAAGGCTCACCGATGCCATAAATGTTCTCTGGAAGGACTCTGAAGTGGTAGTACACTCCCTCCTCCAGACCGGTGATCCTGAACAGGGTCTTCCTACACTCAGTGGTGACAGTCTTGTAAGACTTCATGTTGGCGTCACGCTTCTCTATGATGTAGTTGCTGACGTGGGCGCCACCATCGATGCTTGGGATGTCCCAAGTGATCACAACGGACTCTTTGGTGTAGTCCTTCACCTTTACAGAACCTGGAGGGCCAGGAGTGTCTGCAGGAAGGAGATGATTAGAGGAATGGAAGATATTAGTGCGTGTTTTTATACACATTACCCCAAAATTCATTGTAATATCTGTGGAAACTTGGGATGACATACCGTAGATTTTAACCAGGATGGTGGCAGTCTTCTTTCCCGATGGGTTCTCTGCCTCCACAATGTATTTTCCAGAGTCGTAGCGATTGACTTTCTCCACCATCAGCGAGGTGTAGCTATCTGTGGTCTCAATGTAGCCACGGCTCTGCAGCTCCACGCCAGTCTTCCTCCAAGCCACTACTGGTGCCGGCCGGCCGGTGACAAATACCATCAGGCGAAGAGTTCCTCCGGCACGTAGACACACCGTTTTCTTCAGGTCGTCAGCCAGCTCCAGGTCAGGCATTTCTGAATGGTTGGATGAAGAATAGTAAGGGGATAATTTCGTGATTGCCATTTTCTGGAATATTCCCATTGTAATCCAAATCCTAACACTAATGCCTATAATACCTCAACATAGTAATTTCAGAAATTAGGTTAAAAACGTTTTTGATTACTAAATTATTTCCTAACAGACTCACCAATTCTCTCCAGTGGCTCGATCTCAGCGCTAGGTTCACTGAACTCTCCGGTGCCGTTGCAGTTGATGGCAGCTACCCTGAACCTGTACGTCTTAGTGGCTGCCAGGCCGGCGGCCACATACTCGTTGGTCTTGAGAGGCTTGGCGGTGGCACGGTACCAGTGCTCTGTGTCCCCCTCAAGGATCTCCACCACGTAGCCGGTGACGTCTGAGCCGCCATCGTACATGGGCCTGGTCCAGGTCATACTGATGCTGTGTTTGGTTGTGTCAGTGATGCGAGGCATTGATGGAGGAGCTGGGGTATCTTGTAGTAGACAAATGCAAATATGTTCATATTTGCTTGTCGCAACAAATAACTGTAACCTTTTACACAGGTTAAGGTTTTGAAAATGAAAGACTGTGAATAAAATCTCTTACATGTGGGGTCTTTGCAGAGGATGTACGGTGAGGCGTCGCTGGGCTGGCTGTATCCAGCAGCGTTGACAGCTGTCACTCTGAACTGGTACTCGCTTCCTTCCAGCAGGCCTGTGATCTTCAGACGGGTGTCATAGATGGTGTAAGTCTTATTCACCCGGGTCCACCTGGTCCGGAGAAGAAACAAAAGGATAATGTGAGAGAGAGGCAATAAGAATCACTATTTCATGAAGCGAAAACTAAAATCTGTCCATTAACGTCTTCAGAAGTTGATCCCACCTGGTGCTGCTCTTCTCTCGTTTATCCACTATGTAGTTTTTGATCTCGCTGCCTCCATCACTCTCAGGTTTAAGCCATTCGATGATGACATGCTCCTTGCCCACAGTTGTAGCCTCTGGAGTGCCCGGCTGGGATGTGATGGCTGAGGAGAAAAGGGGTGGGACAGGTCAGAGAGACAAATCTAGTTTCCCCTTTTCATAAGACATAAATTAACTTTTTTAAGCTAAAAGACTAAAATAGAAAAAAAAATTGAACTCAAAACATTAAAACCTTAGGTGATATTGTTAAGGCCATTCAAGCAAGTTATTTTGCTATTGATTTTATTGGTTCTTTTGCATGCCTCCTGTTGTTGTTATTATTATTATTAGTAGTACTTTGCATGCCTCCTTAAATTTCAAATCTTCTGTTTTATCCTAGTCTGTGGATACTGCTGGAAACTGTGAACTTCCCCTTGGGCATGAATAAAGTATCTATCTATCTATCTATCTATCTATAAATCTATCTAAATATTTATATCTAATTGTTTCATATATATCTAATTCTACTTTAGATGGTTGCTATAGCGCCACCATCAGGAAAATTGCCTCAACTCAGAGCAATGTGGCTTACTATAGGCATTCCTGGCAATGACGGGTTCGGATTCCAGTGGAACTCCAGGCCCGAACTTGTTGACCCCTCTGACTCTGAAGATATACTCGTTGTTCTTGATCAGCCTGGAGCTGACACATGACAGTGACTTGCACTCGGTCTCCATGATGACCCAGTTGAGTCGGCTGGTCTCACGACGCTCCACGATATAATGGGTGACGGTGTCTCCACCATCCTCCAGAGGAATCTTCCAGGACACTGTACACTTCTCTTCTGTCACTCTGCTGATCACAATCTTATCAGCTGGAGCTCCAGGAGTGTCTGAAAGACAGAAACCGAGAGTTAGATCAGACAGCCAAGTTTTGTTGACAATTAAGAGTCAACTATGATACACTTAAAATTATGTTAATTCCAGTTTAATTCATGTAGTTTGTTGGCTGCTTACCGAGAACTTTGACGTTCACAGCGGCAGTCTTGATTCCGCTGGCATTCTTGACGGTCAGGATGTATCTGCCCGTGTCATATCTGTCACAGCTCTTGATGATGGCCATGGCTCTGGTTGCGGTGTAGGTCAAAGAGTATTTCTCTCCGAGCTCCAAAATCTTTTCTCCCTTCGACCAGTACACTGTGGGTTCTGGTTTACCACCCACAGCACCGTCCAAGACAAGGTCAGAGCCAGCCGTGACAGTGACAGTCTCACCGACAAGCTTGCTGTCCAGCTCAGCTTTGGGAGGAGCTGCAACAAACATGAAACAAATAGTTTTTACCTCAATAAATGACAGTTATACTGTATGTTGTTGAGCTTTTTGTAAGGATGCTACATCAATAGCAAAAATAATTGTAACTCTCCAACTTACAGTACTCATCCTTGCATGTGACTGGTCCAGTGGACTCAGAGGGTGCACTGTGGACGCCGGCAGCATTCTTAGCGAGGATGTGGTACTCAAAGGTCTCTCCTTCTCCCAAGTTGGTGACAGTGAAGTAGTTCTCGGTGATGGTGGTGTAATTGCACTTGAGCCAGCGGTTGTCGTCCCACTCATCCGTGCTGTACACTTTCCTCTCCACCACGTAACCAATGATCTTGCTGCCACCGTCATTTAATGGCACGGTCCAGCACAACGACACAGAGGAGCGGGTGATATCAGTCACCTCGGGTTTACCAGGAGGATCTAAGCAGGGACAGGGAGATGTTTACCGTAATACTGTAACTCAGCTTTCATCACAGTGCTTTTTATTTTCTTAAAGGTTTAAACTGCATTAGCTGAGTGAGGAGAACAGTAAAAAGTTTCTTGTAATCAGATTAACCGACAAATGTGACAGACAACTAGTCGTTAGTTTACAACACATTTTTGTAGTTAAGGCATAAATATTTCCCTCACCAACAGGATTCAGTGCCAGCACAGGTCTGGAGGCCTCGCTAGCCTTGCTGAGTCCAGCGATGTTCATGGCATATACCCTGAACTGGTACTCCAGGCCCTCAATCAGGTTGGACACCTTGTAATGGCACTCCAGGCAGGGTAGCTTGTTCTCCCTCACCCAAAGGATTGTGTTCCTCTCCTTCTTCTCGATCCAGTAGCCTGTCACCTGGCTGCCACCATCAGCATATGGCAGGTCCCATTTGATACTGATGGCGTTGGCAGACACGGATACCACATCTGGACGACTTGGGGGACTTGGAGGAACTGTGGAAGTTAAAGTGAGGTGAGATATGGTGAGATAAATACGTGGCATCCATACATATAAAAACAGGACTTGCATTAACTTTTGGAAAACCTTTGAACAGAACTTACCATATGGATGCTCAATGACAACAGGAGCAGACTCAATGGACTTGCTGACTCCAAACTTGTTCTCAGCGCACACTCTGAAGGTGTACTCCATATACTTGGTGAGATGAGTCACTTTAATGGTGGTTCTCTTCACACTGGAGTTAACCACTTGCCAGGAGGCAGAGCCAGCTTCTCGTTTTTCCACAATGTAGTTGGTGATATCAGAGCCGCCATCATCAGCTGGCTCTGACCAGGCGAGGTTGCAGGTCTCTGAGGAGACTCCAGAAATCTCCACAGGGCCTGTAGGTGGATTTGGTCTGCCAACCACAAGTACTGTCACTGTGAACGTCTTCACACCAGCAGCATTCTCAAGGATCAGGTAGTATTTGCCACTGTCACTTCTCTTGCTGTCTCTCACCAACAGAGTGGTTCTCTCCTTTGTGGTTCTTATTATGACTCTGTCAGTCTCCTTCAGCTTCATCTCCTCCAGCTTCCAGGTGACTTTGGGTGCAGGCCTGCCACTGATGGGGATGTCGATTGTGAAGGTGTTGGAGAGCTTGCAGGTGATAAGCTGGTTGGTGATGCTGCTGAGGTCAGCAGTTGGTTCGATGCGAGGCTCCTTAATGACCACAGAACTAAAGGTGCCCTGCGGCTCACTGATTCCAGCATCGTTCTTGGCCTTGACTCTGAAGTCATACTCTGTGTTTTCAAGCAGACCTTCCACCAGCATCTTCTGTGACTTTGTCTCTCCGCCAAGAACCCAGCGATCAGTGCCTTTAGCTCTGAATTCAACAATGTAGCCTCTGACGCGGCTACCTCCATCATGCTCCGGTTTCAGCCACACCAAGGAGGCTGTGCAGTTGGTGGTGTCGACAACATCAAGTCTCTTGGGTGGTGCAGGTTCTTCTGTGGCAATGATGGGCTCTGTCATCTCGTGAGGTTCCCCTTGGCCGTACTGGTTAACTGCAGTCACTCTGAATAGATATTGCACACCAATATCCAGACCAATTACCCTGATCATCTGGCGAGAGCACTTGGTGCTGACCTCCTGCCAAGCCAGGCGGCTGGCCTCACGCTTATCTACAAGGTAGTGATGGATTCTGGATCCGCCATCATTGGTAGGGGCATCCCACATCATTGTCAAGGCTCCACGGGTAACGTCTTTGAAACTGATGGCTCCTGGAGGTCCGGGTGTGTCCAGCACTTTGACAGTGAATGTGATGGACTTGCGGCCGCTGTTGTTCTCCAGGGACAGGGTGTATTTGCCAGCTTCGTACCTAGTACAACCCTCAATGGTCAAAGTAGAGGAGGAATCTGTGGTATTGATATCGCCCATGACAGGCAGGTCACCATCTACTTTAGACCAGGTGGCAAGAGGAGCTGGTTTGCCACGGAAGGCAATGTGAAGGGTGACAGTACCGCCATTCTTTACAATGTGAGTCTGCTTGAAATTGGCATCAATGTCGATCTCAGGAGATCTAAGTCTGTCCAGAGCCTGAACAGCGTTGGGCATCACTGAGGCTTCGCCCTCTCCAGATCCATTCACAGCACTGACCCTGAACTTATAGAGCTCTCCAGGCACCAGACCCTTGGCAGTATACCTGGTGTGGATGCAAATCTGGCTGTTGACTCTGTGCCATTCCTCAAGACTGGCCTTACACATATCGATATTATAGCCAATGATTTCCATGCCACCATCGAAGACAGGCTTGGTCCATTCCAGGCTGACTGAGGACTTGGTGGAGTCAGTGACCTATACAACAAGAAAAGAGCATAGTTCATAGTGTAATTTCTAATGTATATTTTTCTTTGTTCCTTTTCCTTCTTTTCAATAAAGTTATTTTTGAGGTTTCTTCTGTTCTAAAATAGCACGATTTGTGCGCTGATTTTCAATAACACAGATTCAGCTATTTAAAATAACCTTCATATCTGTATTTATCAATGTAGTCAGATTTTTGTTAATTATGAAATGAAAATTAAACAAAATAAAATCAGGATGAGAATTTGAAGATTGAATGGTTCTTCTTTTACAATTCCTTGCAGTGTCCCTGCAATCCTACCTTGATTAATGTGGGGGCACTAGGAGCACTGGTTGGCTCTCTGCATTTGAAGAGCCTGGAGGTACTGCTGGCTGGTCCGACACCAGCACCATTTTCAGCCATGACTCGGAATTCATACTCGTTGCCCTCAGTGAGGTTTGTGACACGGTGTCTTAGCTCCGTGATGGACCTCTTGGAGGAAACCTTCACCCAACGCAGGCTCTTTTTCTCTCTTCTCTCCAGGATGTATTGTTTGATCTCGTTTCCTCCATCTGACCTTGGCCTGGTCCAGCACATAGTGATGCTGTTTCCAGTCACATGGGTAGCGTCTGGGGTGCCAGGGGCATCAGGCACAGCTGAGGGGGTAAGTTATAAATGATATATTTTGAATGTGAAGTTATTGACAGTTAATATGTCAAAATATGTCAGACAATAAATGTGAGTGACTTTACTTACTGTATTGCATCTGTGCGATGATAGGATCAGAGTCCAGTGGTTTGCCGACACCAAACTTGTTGACAGCAGAGATTCTGAACTGGTACTCATTGCCCTTGATGAGGTTGGTGGCATTGTAAGAACATGCTTCACATTTGGAGGTGACCAAGGCCCAGGAGATCCTGGATGTCTCCCTCTTCTCCACCACATAGTGGGTGATGGCGGCACAGCCGTCGTTCTCTGGTGGGTTCCACCACACGGTGCACTTCTCAGCCGTGATGCCGGTGAAACGGATGGGACCCTCGACAGGTCCTGGGGTATCTGCAGAGAAACAGAAAATAGAGGAGTTACTTGAAATATATTCACAAATTGTGATATTGTAAAATCATATTATTTACATGAAATATCATGCCTTTGTGAGCTTAAGAGATAATAGAAACAGGTTTAAAAAAGTTTGAATCATAAATCTTTACCAAATAACAAGTCACTGTTTACCAACCTTGTACTCTGACATTGACATCAGCTTTCTTGGTACCAGAGCTGTTCTTGGCCTCTACAGTGTAGATTCCACGGTGGTTCCTATCAGCGTCACGGATAAAAAGACTGCTGGCGCCAATGCTGGTGGCAATCTCAATGTCAATCATGATCCTCTTGTCAATCTCTCTGCCATCTTTGTACCAGATAACCTGGGGGACGGGACGTCCTGTGATGGTGCAGCCGAGCTTAACGTTCTCTCCAGCCCTCAAGGTGAGCACCTGGTCTGGAGACCACTCGATCTCGGGTGCAACTGGAGGTGCAAAGAGAATGAACAAATGAGGAATCAACATAATCAAAGGGTTGTGAAACACCTATCATTCACTAATTTTTCTATATTTTTTATTAATTAGAAAATACTTACTGCTTTCATCCTTGGTCATAATGTATCCAGAGGAGTTAGATGGTGGACTGACTGTGCCCACAGCATTCCTGGCAATCACTCTAAACTCGAATCTGTCTCCAGCTGACAGACCGGTCACGGTGAACCTGGTCTCGCTGATATCAGTGAAGTTGCACCGCAGCCATTTGCCTCTACCTTGGCGCCTCTCCACACTGTAGGCCACAATTTTGCTGCCTCCGTCTCTCTTGGGGATGTCCCACTGCAGGGTGACTGAGTCTCTGGTCACATCGATACAGACAGGGTTGCCAGGTGGATCTAAACAGAAGAAAAAGAAGCAGTTTATCCATAGTGCTAGATTTAAAAATCCTGAACTAATAGCAAAGCAAACCAATACAGCATGTACTTACCAACAGGGGAGATAGCGAGCGCATGTTTGCTCTGTTCACTAACAGGACTGAGTCCAGCGTTGTTCTCAGCGTAGACTCTAAAGGAGTACTCCAAACCCTCAATGAGACCAATGATCCTGTACTCTTTGTTGGAAATAATGGTGGAGTTCACCTTCTGCCACATGAGGCTGTTCCTGTCCTTCTTCTCAACATGATAACCCAAAATCGGGGATCCTCCATCGAAACCTGGGGCCTCCCACCTAATGGTCATACCATCACTAGTGACATTGAAGGCCACTGGCTTTCCTGGAGGGCCTGGAGGTTTGTACTGGTGCTGGGCAACAATTTCTGGGGAGATGAGTGGTTCACTGACTCCATATTTGTTCTCTGCCCGGACTCTGAACTGGTAATGAGTTCCCTTGACCAGGTTGGCAATCTTAAAGGTGGTCCTGACAACACTAGAGCAGACCATCTTCCAGTTGGCCTGGGAGATCTCACGCTTCTCCACGCTGTAGCAGGTGATCTCACCACCTCCATCTTCCTTTGGCTGATCCCAGGAGATGATGATACTCTGGGCTTTAATCTCATCGAAGCGGATGGGACCAACAGGCACTGAGGGAGGTCCCAGCGTTATCACATTAATGTCAAAGTAGTTCTTGACAACTCTGTTGTCCAGAACCAAGGTGTATTGGCCAGCATGTTCCTTCTTGGCTCCTCTGACTGTGACTGCAGTCTTGTTGTCAGTGGTCCTGAAGCGAACCTTCTCACTTTCCTTCAGAGGCAAGTTATCCTTTAGCCAGCTGATTGCAGGTTTTGGTTTACCCTTGAAAGGCAACTCGATGTGGATGTTCTGACCAATACGAACAGCAAGCTCTCCATTGGGGTAGTCAACAAGGTTGGCCTCAGGTGGAATGAGGAAGTCCATGACAGTGATCGGACCAATCTGAGAGAAGTCACTATTGCCCTTCTCATTCTTGGCAAACACTCTGAAGTCCATGACAGCGTTCTCCTTGAGTCCTGTCACCTCGCAGCTGCAGCGTTTGCATGTCGCACCCAAAGTCCAGGTGGGATCTTCCTTGGTTCTCTTCTCAATTATGTATTCAGTGATGTAGCTGCCACCATCGTGGTCAGGTCTTGTCCACTGCAGGGTAACAGAGGTTTTTGTAGAGTCCACCATTACCAGGTCTTTAACAGCTCCTGGGGTTTCTGTGGCTCTGACAGGCTCAGTGGTTTCGCAAGTGTCGCCCACACCATACTCGTTTTCAGCAGACACACGGAAGAAGTAAGCTGTATCTTCCTCCAGGCCTGAAACCTTGTAAGTTGTGCTGGCACACTCGGCGGTGATCATCTGGTAAGCCTTCATGGTGGAGGCCTTCTTCTCAACAATGTAATTAGTGACAGGGGAACCACCCTCAATAAGAGGAGCCTCCCAACTCAGTGTCAGCTTTCCTCTTGTCACGTTCTTAATCATCAATTTCTGGCAGGTGGCTGGACTGTCCAGAACCTTTAGAGAAACTGTGATTATCTTGGGTTCTCCTACGCCATTCTCAATTTCCAGCAGGTACTTGCCGCGGTCGTCGCGGGTGACCTTGGGGATGAGGAGTGTTGTTGCTCGCTCAGTGCTGTTAATGGTGTAGCGGTTGTCACCGGTCATGTTGCGGTCACCACGGCGCCAGGTGACATTGGGGGCAGGGCGTCCCTTCAGGGGAATAAACACTTCAACATCACGGCCAGCCTTGGCTGTGTACTGGGTTGTCATGGGTACATCCAAGTCCAAATCGGCCTCCTCTGTTGGAGAGGTGGGAAATGGGAAAGCCCAGAAATTAATAATATGAATAATTACATAATTTTAAGACATCAGAATTTGTTTTAATGAACTATACTTATTATCAATGCTTTCAATTTGATCACAAAACATAAAAGACTCATGTCCTGTGTTAGTACTGTGGAAGCATCTATGTGTATACGAACCCAAGATATCTTTGGCTTGCACAGGCTGGTACATTTTGATGTCTTCTCCTTTACCCTTGCAGTTGACAGCGGAGACTCTGAAGAAGTAGTAGGTTCCAGGTTTCAGGTGGGACACCACATACTCACAGGCCTTAACCTGTGGGTTAATAGTAACCCAATCTCTTTCCTCTGTGTTCATCTGGTCCAAAATGTAGTGTGTAATTTCACTGCCACCATCATAGACAGGCTTCTCCCAGCCAAGGGTGATGGAGGTCTTTGTGGAGTCAACCACACGCAGCTTGGATGGCTCACCAGGCAGATCTGAGGAAGACAAAAGGGCACAAATGTTTTCAGTAGTTCCATGTAAAGACCTTACATTGAAGACTTTTCTAAAATGCTGGCATTGGGATGCTAGTAAGTGCAAATTGTACACATACCGATAGGGTCGTAGGCCTTGTAGAGGTCAGAAGACTCAGAGTAGTTTCCTGCTCCAGCTTTGTTAACAGCACAAACTCTGTACTGGTACTCGTTGTTCTCCACCAGGCTGGTGACTTTCTGCCTGGTATCTCTGATAGTGCCCTTCACCACCTACACAAAAATGGATGTTATGATGCTTACAAATACCAGTTATTAGTTTGGCTTCTTTTATTCTTAAAAACAAATGAAATATCTTAAGATAGGTCAGTAAACAAACCTTAAACCATTGCAGACTCTTCTTCTCCCTCTTCTCCAGGTAGTAGCCATCAATGTCGCTGCCTCCATCCAATGCTGGTCTTTCCCAGATCACTGTCATAGTGGACTTTGTGATCATGGTCACTTTAGGCTTGGATGGCTCACTTGGAGGTACTGTATGAAATCAAAATCATCAAGTTAGATGAAACTAACTAGTTTTCCATTAAAAAATATTTAAGTAGAAAAATATATAAAAAAGTATGCATGCAAATGTTCTATATTCATTTTCTTCATATTCTTATATGCAAATCTTAAAATAATACATTATAGTGTAGTTGTTTTTCAAAGCTAATAATCAACTCTGACTTGTTTGATGATCATTGATAGTGACATTATTCAGTTTGCTTACCAAATGCGTTCTTGGCAACTACAGGCTCAGACTCTAGTGGGTCTCCAATGCCGTATTTGTTGATTCCACGGACTCTGAAGATGTACTCATTGCCCTGGATGAGTCTGGGCACGTTTACTATGCAGTCTACCAGTTTCTCTGAGACAATGGACCACATGACCCTGCTGGTCTCCCTCTTTTCCACAATGTAATGTGTTACCATAGCACCGCCCTCATCAGCAGGTGGAGACCACATGATGGTGATGTTGTCAGCTGTAACTTTCTTAAACTGAATCTCTCCATCAGGGGGTCCTGGCTTGTCTGGATAGGGGAGGGACATATTCATGCATGTCAGTGTCTACAGTGTATATAAGATAAATGTCATTCAAGGCAAAATTACTGTCATAGACACAATACAATACAAACTCATTAAATAATATGAAAATACCTTGAATGAGCAGCCTGACAATGGCGCACGCAGATCCCAGGGAGTTCTTAACCTTGACTTCATATGTTCCAGAGTTCAGACGAGTGGTTTCCCTCAGGAACAAACTGGTGGACTCAAATGTGTGTTTGAAAGAGAGCTGGGCACTGGGCTTAAGCTCTCTGCCATCCTTGAACCACTCGATAGTGGGAGCAGGTTTGGCTGTGATATTAAATTTGAGCTCCACATTAGACTCAGCCCTGTACTTGACCTCGTTGAGATACTCCTGTGGTATTTCAATCTCTGGGGCACCTGGATGATAAATCAAAAAAACGGCAGGTGAGTTCAGATTCTGATGGATGTGGTCCTCAGAAGGTATCATATCCAAGTGCTAAAGGACTAATGTGATATCCAGTTTCACAAAAAACACTGACATAGTGTTCAGTTTGTGACAAAAATTTACTTTATGTATGAAAAATGCCCAGAAACACAAATGAGACCTACCATAGGTGTCGACACATGTAGCTGGTCCAGCAGTTGTGGATGGGTTGCTCACTGAGCCAACAGCATTCTTGGCCATGACTCTAAACTCATATGTCTCATCCTGGGTAAGGCCAGTCACAGTGTAGCGGGTGTCTGTGACATTGGTGAGGTTAGCCTTGGACCATCGAGCATTAATACCTTCTTTCTTCTCAATGATGTAGCCAGTGATTGGAGATCCGCCATCATAGTTGGGCTTCTGCCAGGCAAGGCTAATGGAGTTCTTGGTGATGTCACTGATGCGCAAGTTGATGGGTGGCTCTGCACAAACAGACAGTGAGAACTCGTTAAGCAATCGTTGCTAAGACGTAAAATTGGATTTTCTTGACTTTTAAATAGTTTTTTTGACATAAAACTCACCACAGGCATCAATAGCAAGCACTGCATCAGAAACCTTGCTGAAGGCACTGATTCCAGCAGCGTTCTCTGCTGCCACCTTGAACTCATAAATAAGTCCAGCATTGATGTTGGTGACCTTGAAGTGCGTAGCACGGATCACCATTTTGTTCACTCTCTGCCAAAGAATGCTGTTCCTGTCTTTCATCTGGAGATGGTAGCCAAACACATGGCTGCCACCATCTGACTTTGGCTCCTTCCAGGCAACAGTGATGGTCTCCCTGGTTACTGCAGTGATCTCTGGAGTCAATGGAGCATCAGGAATAGCTGGCGGGTAAGAGTTGAAGGGTGTTAACATTCATTAATGTAATGAAGAACAGAGTAGAAAAAAATAATACCATGGAAGTTAAAAGAGGGAAGCAAAGACCACTTACTGTAAGGAAGGCTGACAGTGACAGTTGGTGAGTCAATGTGCTCGCTGATTCCATATCTGTTCTCAGCCCTGATTCTGAACTGGTACTCCAGGCCAGTGGTTAGCTTCATGATCTTCATGGTGCAGCGGGCCACAGCAGAAGAGACATCCATCCAGTTGGCTGTTGTTGTCTCTCTCTTCTGGATGATGTAGTTGGTGATGGGGCTGCCACCATCATATGCTGGTGGGAGCCACTTCAGGCTCACACTTTCTTCTGTGACGTCAAATAGCTCCACAGGTCCTACTGGGGCACTGGGGCGGTCCAGAACCACAATGTTTACAAAAGACTTGGTGGTTCCAATGGAGTTGGAGGCAGTAATATCGTAGCGTCCTGAGTCTGCAGCAATGCTCTCACGCAAAGTGATCTTGATGCTGTCAGGGGTGACTTCAGAGTTGAACCTCATTGTTGACTTGAGCAGAACATTATCCTTGGACAGGCTGACTTTAGGCAAAGGCCGGCCTGTCAGTGGGATCTCACACTTGAGGTTGGAGCCAGCTCTGACATATACTGTGTTGTGGGGGAAGTCCTTCATGATGATCTCAGGAGATTCTAGGGTAAAAAAGTAAAAAGACAAAAAAAAAAAGACAGCTGTATCAGGGGAAATTAAGTGCAATATGGTGTAATTTGACACGATTATAATAATCATTACAAGTGATGGATGTTGGCTTATTCTGTTGTTTGTATTTCTTCTTCATTAATCACAATGTTGAATATGATCAATCTGAGCAGTCTGTAACTTACCAAGTTGGTCTTTGACCACTACAGGGGTCAACATTTCCTTAGTATCACTGAATCCAGCATGATTTTCAGCTCTGACTCTGAAGAAGTACTCAGCATTCTCCCTCAGACCAGAAACTGTTAAGTGGATGGACTTGGTTACACCACACTTAACCCACTTCTCCTGGCCTTTCTCCAGAGCTTCTACCAGGTAGCCAGTAATTCTGCTGCCTCCATCTTGTTCTGGTTTGGCCCAGGCCAGGGTTACACTCTCCTTGGTCACATCAGTCACACCCAGCTTTGGTGGTGGGCTTGGTTTTTCTGGAGAAAGAGGAGATTTGTTTGTTTGACTGAAATAACTGGGTATTATCTTTTGCATAACAATAAGAATGTATAATGATACATTTCAATACCTGTGATCTTGGTTCCCTCTTTGGTCTCAGCAGGAACACCAACCCCATACTCATTCTCGCCAGTCACTCTGAAGTAGAAGACTTCTCCCTCCGGCAGGTCTGTCACCTTGTAGGTCAGTCTGTGGCATGTGTCAGTCAACCTGGTCCATCCTTTCTTGCTGGCCTCACGGATATCAACAAGGTAGTTCTTCACTGGTCCTCCTCCCTCATTCTCAGGAGTATCCCAGGTTACAGTAGCAGAGGTCTTGGTCACGTCCTTGACCTCCACATTGGCAGGAGCTCCGGGGGAGTCCAGAACTCTGACATTAAGTGTCAAAGAGGAGGTTCCAGATACGTTGGACAAGGTGATGGTGTATTTGCCAGAGTCGTTGCGAGTTGCTTTCTCTAAGGTGATGGAGGTGAAGGTGTCTGTGGTGTCAATGGCAGCACGAACTCGAAGGTCAACATCAGGCTTAGTCCATGAAACAGTGGGGATAGGTTTGCCTCTGAAGGGCACTGTCATGGTGAATGAGCTACCATCTTTCACAATAAGAGTCTTCCTCATCTCATTGCTAATGTCAAAGAATGGCTCCTCTTCTCTTTCTTTGGCAACTTGTTTGTCTGTCTCAACACTGGGTTCACTGACTCCAATCTTGTTAATGGACTTGACAACAAAGACATATTCAGCCCCAGGTGTCAATTTTACCACTGTAAACTCTGTGTTCTTGGTGTTCTGGACTCCAACAATCCATTCATCATCTAAAGTCTTCCTGTATTCTACTCTATAACCAGTCACAGGTGCTCCACCATCAAATAGTGGCTTGTTCCATGACAGGGTGATTGTGGTCTTTGTAGAGTCAATGATCTTAGGTTTAGCAGGAGGTGAAGGCAGGAACTGTGGGTCTTCAGCCTTGGTAAGTGGGCAAGGGATGCTGGGAGCACTGAGGCCAGCAGAGTTCTCTGCAAACACTCTGTACTCATACTCACTGCCCTCCCGAAGGTGTGAGGCTTTGACTCTGAGGTCATAAACAGGTTTCTTGTTGACACGGCACCAGCGAAGGCCAGTCTTCTCTCGTTTTTCAATGACATAACCACAGATACTGCTGCCACCATCAGAAACAGGTCTTTCCCAACAGATGGTCATTGCCTCACTAGTAACTGAGGTGACCTGGACATTAGTAGGAGCTGCAGACACAGTGAATGGATCACTGGCCTTTGTTGGCTCACTCTCCAGGGGCTCACCATCCCCATATTTGTTGACTCCCCTGACTCTGAAGATGTACTCATTTCCTTTGAGCAGCTTGGTCACCTTACAGGTGGTTGCCTTCATGTCACCATAGACTAGAGTCCAGGCAAGGCGACTGGTCTCGCGTTTCTCCACAATGTAATGCATGATTTCAGCACCGCCATTCTCCTGAGGGGGTCCCCACGCAATGGTGCATTTCTCTGCTGTGAGGCCAGACACTGTCAAAGGACCTGAGGAAGGTCCAGGTCTGTCCAGAACCTTACAGTTAATAGCCACTGACCTGGTTCCAGCCACATTGTGCAGGGTCAGGACATACTGGCCAGAGTCCCTTCTGATAGCGTCTCTGACAATCAGTGTGGTTGTGAAGTTGGTGGAGGTGATTTCACACCTGGCCTTTGACTCAATCTCCTTCCCATCCTTAGACCATGTGACAACTGGGATTGGACGGCCAGTGACTTCAGCATCAATTTTAATGATATCTCCAGCCTTTATGACAACCAGCTGTCTGAACTTATCTTCCAGGATAATAGTGGGAGGGTCCACATCATCCTTTACTGTGACAGGACCAGTGCTCTCCGAGGGAGCACTCAACTGCTCTGTAGAATTTTTAGCAATGACATGGAAGTCATATTGGACATCCTCTGTGAGACCTGTGACGTCAAAGTAGGTATCTTGCAGGTTGGTGAAATTACATTTCAGCCAGCGACCATTGGGAAGTTCTTTACGCTCAACAATGTAGCCTGTAACCTTTGCTCCACCATCAAACTCTGGCTTTTCCCAGAAGAGGGAAACTGAGGTCCGGGTAATATTGGTGACTCTAAGGTTAGATGGAGGTTGGCATGGATCCCTAGCTGCCACAGCATCACTGGCCTTAGTGCATGGACCAATGCCAGCAGCATTCTCAGCATAGACTCTGAACTGATACAGCAGGCCTTCTTCAATGCCTGTCATCTTAAATTCGTTCTCAGTCAGCAAACCTCGGTTGACCTTCGTCCACAGGATGCTGCTTTGGTCTTTGCATTCAATGTGATAACCTATAACAGGGCTTCCACCATCACTGGCAGGTCTGCCCCATACCACAAGCATGCCATACTTGGTGGCATGGGCAACATGTACATTGGTTGGAGGGCCAGGAGGCTCGAAGGGATACTGAGCAACAACAGGAGCAGAGTCAATGGCATGACTCTTGCCATAACGGTTCTCCGCTGCAATACGGAACTGGTACTCTATTCCCTGTGTGAGACGAGACACCTTGATTGATGTCCTGGCTACTGTGGCTGAGACAATCTGCCATGTGGTTGTGGTAGTGTCTCTCTTCTCCACCACATAGTTGTTGATTTGGCATCCACCGTCGTAGGTTGGAGAATCCCAAGACAGGGAGATAAAGTCAGCACTCACTTCATCAACCTTAATGTTGCTGGGTGGGCCAGGTTTGTCCAAGATTATAACAGAGATTTCAGCTGTCTTGGTGCCAACTGAGTTAGTTAGAGTAATCTCATACTTTCCTACATCTTCCTTGGCAGCATCCTTGATTAAAATCTTGGATGAGGTCTTGGAAGTAAGAACATTGACCCTAGTTGTCTGCTTAAGCACCTGACCATCCTTCTTCCAGGACACCTCAGGCTGAGGTCTACCTTTGAAGGGAACATCAATCTTCAAGTCATCTCCTGCCTTTACACTGTATGTGTCGAACAACATGTTGATTGTGGGCTCTGCTGTGATGTCCTTCACCACCACAGGGGTAGCCAGAGGTTTGGAATCACTCTTGCCCTTATCATTCACAGCAATCACCCTGAAGGCATACTCCTCTCCCGTTGTGAGTCCATCAATAGTAGCTTCCAGTGCTTTGACTTCACTGCATACAGTCCATTTTTCATCTCCTTTGGGCTGCATCTCCACAATATAATTTGAAATTTTGCTGCCTCCATCATAATCAGGTTTCTCCCAGGAAAGGGTAACACTATGACGAGTCACGTCAACCAGGACAACCTTACCAGGAGGCAAAGGAGCCTCAGACACCTTGACCTGATCTGTGGAGGCAGGTAGACCTACTCCCAGCTCATTCACAGCCAACACACGGAAATAATATCGGCCTCCCTCCTGCAGGTCAGAAATAATGAACGAGTTCCTCACACAGTTAGTGCAAACACTAGTGAAAGCCATCCTCTTCTGTTCTCTCTTTTCTACAATATAGTGTGATATCTTAGCCCCCCCATCAATTATAGGAGGCTCCCAGGAGAGTGAGACCGAATTTCTTTTCACATCCTTAACCTCCAGGTTGGTAGGAGCACTCGGGGAGTCCAGAACTCTGACATTGATGAAGGCTGATTTAGAGCCACTGAGATTCTCAAGGGTCAGTACATATTTGCCAGTGTCAAATCTGTCGACATTCTCGATCACCAGCATCGTGTAAGAGCTTGTGACTTCAATCTGGGCGCGCTCATTCAGAGTACCATCAGCCTTTGACCATTTGACCTCAGGCTCAGGCTTTCCTCTGATTGTCACAAAGAGACGCAACGTGGCAGTGGCGCGAACATTGACCATCTTCCTCAGGTCAGCATCTAGTTCAATTTCAGGAGCCTCCAGCTTCTCTGCAGCAATTACAGACCCAGGTAGGTCCACATGCTCTCCTACTCCCTCACAGTTAACAGCACAAATGCGGAAGTTGTACTCTGCATTCTCCTTTAGTTTCTTTACAGTGTAGTGAGTGGTCTGAACACCAGTGTATGGTGTGGAAGTTATCCACTCATCATCTGCTGCCTCCTTCATTTCAACAATATATCCACTGATCTGTGCTCCACCATCATAGATAGGTCTGGACCAGGACAAAGAGACTGTGGTGCTTGAATGGTCGGTGACTTTGGGGTTATTTGGAGGTCCTGGTGGATAAATGGCATCAAAGGCCTTGATGTATTCAGTTGGTGCACTAGGCTTTCCCACACCAGCAGCATTTTCTGCTGAGACCCTGAATTCATAGGAATGACCCTCTGTGAGACCAGTACATCTGAATCTAAGGTCATTCAGCCTCTTCTTGTTGCATTTAGACCATCTGATGCCATCCTTATCACGTTTTTCAAGGATATATCCATCAATCTCAGCTCCTCCATTATCCTCTGGTCTCTCCCAGGTAAGCACTATGGAGTCCCTAGTGATAGCGCTGGCTTCTGGGGTGGAGGGTGCACTGGGAGTGGTGAAGGGATTACGGGCAATAACAGGCTCAGATTCCAAAGGCTCACCAACACCGTATTTATTCACAGCAGTGACTCTGAAGATGTATTCATTTCCAGGCAGCAGTTTTGTGATTTTGTAGCTGATGGCCTGGATCTTGGGCTCAACCACTGTCCATGACAAACGACTGGTCTCTCTTTTCTCAATGATGTAGTGTGAGATGCTGGCTCCACCATCATGTGAGGGATGGTTCCAGTGCAAATAACATTTTTCAGCTGTGACCCCTTTGACTTCTAGAGGGCCATCTGGAGGACCAGGTCTATCCAGAACTTTAACATTAACTGGGATCATCTTGACTCCTCCCACATTGACAAGTTTGAGAACAAAGTGGCCACCATCCACTCTGATGCAATCCTTGACTGTCAGAATTGTACGTGTGAGTGTGGTCTTGACCTCCATTCTTGGTGTGGTTTTGTCAATCTCCTTTCCCTCCTTTAACCAAATGACCTCAGGCAGAGGCTTACCAGTGTAGTCTGCATCAATAACAAATGACTCACCAGCATTAACAACAGTCAGATCCTTGAATTTAGAATCCATGGTAGCTCCTGGAGCCTCAATTTCATCTTTGGCAGTAATTTCTCCTGTGCCCAGTGAAGGACGGCTGAAAATTCCAGCAGCATTCCTGGCAATGACCCTGAACTCATACACGCAGTCCTCAGTCAGGCCAGTGAGAGTGAAGTGAGTATCAATGATGTTGGTGAAGCTGGCCTTCATCCAGCGGGTATCTGGGTGCTTCTTCCTCTCAATCACATAGCCAGTGATTGCACTGCCCCCATCATACTGAGGCCTGCTCCATTGGAGTGTCACATGGTTTCTGGTGATTTCAATAGCTTCAGGAGTGCCTGGTGGGTCACAGGGGTCCCTGGCTACTGTGCTTTCAGAGACCTTGCTAACTGGGCTAAGTCCGGCAATATTCTCAGCATAAACTCTGAATTCATACTCAATTCCTTCTTCCAGCTCTGTAGTCTTAAAATGTGTTTCTGGGATTAAAAGCTTATTGAGTTTAGTCCATAAGAGGCTGTTTTTCTCTTTTCTCTCGAGGTGGTAGCCTAGGATTGGACTGCCTCCATTGTTGGTGGGAGCTTTCCACTCAACAACCATGTTATCCTTGGTTGCAGCAGAAACAGTTGGTGTTCCTGGCGCTGCAGGCTCAGTGAATGGATACTGAGCAATAACAGCTGCAGAGACAATGGCAGGACTCTTTCCATATCTATTCTCAGCAGACACTCTGAATTGATATTCAACACCAGTCTTCAATTTGGTGACTTTGATGGTTGTCCTGGCAATAGTAGCGGACACAATCTGCCATGCTGTTGTGGTGGTGTCTCTCTTCTCCACAATGTAGTTATTGATCTGACAGCCTCCAGTATACTCTGGTGGCTCCCAGGACAGAGTGACATAATTAGAGCTCACCTCCTCAATCTTCACAGGGCCAGTGGGTGGGCCAGGCTTATCGAGGATAATAACAGTAATCTCCTCTGTACTTGTTCCAACACTGCTGGTAGCTGTGACAGTGTATTTACCAGAGTCTTCTTTATTCGCATCCTTGATGCACAGCTTAGTAGATGACAGTGTGCTCGATACATTAAGTCTGGTTGTCTCCTTAAGAGCCTGCCCATCCTTCTTCCATTCAACCTTAGGAACAGGGCGTCCCATCACTGGAATATCAATCTTCAGATCCTCACCAGTTTGTAAACTGTAAGTGTTGAATGTCATCTTGAATCTGGGTTCGATGGTTACATCTTTAGCAGTGACTGGTGCAGCCAGTGGCCTGGGGTCACTCTTGCCCTTCTCATTGAAAGCTGAAACTCTAAACAGGTACTCATGTCCTGTGCTGAGGCCTGTGACAGTGCCCTCACAAGTTTTGGTTGTGGCAGCCACCACCCATTCCTCTGAGCCCACAGGCTGCATCTCAATGTAGTATCCCATGATCCTGCTGCCTCCATCATGGTCTGGCTTCTCCCAAGAGAGTGAAGCAGTGGTTTTGGTCACTTCAGTTAAAGTGACCTTACCCACAGGCAGAGGAGGTTCAGAAGTCTTAACTGCATCTACTGTCTCAGCTGGGTGTCCCACACCAAACTCATTCTCTGCTAAGACTCTGAAATAGTAGATAGTTCCCTCAGTGAGGCCAGTGATACGGTAGCTTGTCTTTGTGCATTTATTGTCCACGTTAGAGTAAACCTTCCTGGTGGACTCCCGCTTTTCAACCAGGTAATTCTTGATTCTTGCACCACCATCAATCAGAGGAGGCTCCCAGGTCAGAGTGACACTTTGTCTCTTAATGTCTTTTACTGTTAGATTCACTGGGGCCCCTGGAGTGTCCAAAACTTTAACAGAAACAAAGGCAGATTTGGTGCCAGCACTATTTTCCAAGTTGAGGATGTATTTTCCAGCATCATATCTGTCACAGATGTCAATGGAGAGCTGTGTATAGTCTTCACCAGTCTCTATCTGAACTTTACTGGGCAGTTCTCCATCCTCCTTGGCCCAGCAGATCTCAGGAGTAGGACGTCCCTTGAATGGAATGCAGATTCTCATCGAACCTGCTGCACGGACAACTATGCCCTTCCTTAGCTCTGAATCCAGAATCATTTCTGGAGGATCAATCTTATCAAGAGGTTTCACAACCCCTTGGACTTCGGTGGGCTCACCAACACCTAGCTTATTGATGGCACATATGCGCACCTTGTATTCCTGGTGCTCTATCAACTTGGTGATGGTAAACTTGGTAGCTTTAACTCCAGTCGGTGGGGTGCATATGGTCCACTCCTCCTCATCAGCCTTGGTAATTTCCACAGCGTATCCTTGAATCTCGCAACCACCATCATAGATAGGGCGATGCCAGGCCAGACTAATGGAGTCTTTAGTTGTGTCGACCACATGAGCATTGGTGGGACAGCCCGGTTCAAAGGTGGGGTCACAGGCTTTGAGGTAGGGTGTAGCTGGGCTTGGCTGACCCACTCCAGCTACATTCTCAGCAGATACTCTGAATTCATACTCATGGTCTTCAGTCAGTCCAGTTACTCTGAAACGCAAATCTGTCACTCTGCGTTTATTGCACTTGGTCCACCTTATTCCAGCTCTGTCTCTCTTCTCAACAATGTAACCACCAATTTCACTGCCTCCAGTGGTCTCAGGGCGGTTCCAGCAGACAGTCATGGAGTCCCTGGTAATGTTAGTGATCTCAAGCTCCTGAGGTGAGCCAGGAGTAACAAATGGATTTCTCATGATAACTGGCAATGATTCAAGAGGCTCACCTACGCCATATTTGTTGACGGCCATAACTCTGAAGATATACTCATTGCCCTTTAACAGTTTAGTAACCTTGAACATGGTAGCTCCACAGTCACTGGAGACCACAGTCCATGCCAGGCGACTTGTTTCTCTCTTCTGAATGATGTAGTGAGAAATGCTAGCTCCACCATCGTGCCTGGGTGGCAGCCATGACAGTGAACACTTCTCCTCAGTGACGTTGCTGACAGTAAGAGGTCCCTCTGAAGGGCCTGGTCTGTCCAGGACCTTCACACTGAATGGGACATTTTTAGTTCCACCCACATTCGTCAGAACCAGTGTGTACTGTCCACCATCTACTCTGATGGCATCTTTCACAACAAGCAAAGCCTTAAAATCTGTGTTCTTGATCTCAGCTCTTGCTGAGTTTTCAACTTCAACATTTCCTTTGAACCACTGAGCTGTGGGGATGGGCTTTCCTTCCACACTGGCTTCCAGATTGAATGTCTCTCCAGCATTGATAACAATGGTCTGGTTGTATATAGGATCTGTCTCACACTTAGGTGGGTCAATTTCATCCATGGCTGTGATGGATCCTGTGCTCTCAGATGGCTTGCTGACAGCCCCAGCTGCATTCCTTGCAATTACTCTAAAGTCATATTTGCAGTGTTCTGTCAGGCCAGTTACTGTGAATTCATGTGCAATGATGTTTGTAAAACTAGCCTTCATCCACTTTCCTTCTGGAAGGTCTCGTTTCTCCACTACATAGCCAGTAACTAAGCTTCCACCATCATACTGTGGTGGGGTCCACTTCAGCTTCACTGAGTGTCTGGTCACAATCAAAGCCTCAGGACAGCCAGGAGGATCACATGGGTCACGGGCAACATAAACTTCAGAGACTTTGCTGCATTTTCCAATGCCAACAATATTCTCAGCATAGACTCTGTACTCATACTCAATGCCTTCTTCAAGAGGAGTAGATTTGAACCTACAGTCTTGGATGAGCATTTTGTTGATCTTTGTCCAGAGGATACTGTTCTTCTCTTTTCTCTCCAGATGATAGCCTAAGATGGAACTGCCTCCGTCAGATGGGGGTTTGTGCCACTCAACCACCATATAGTCTTTAGTGTATGAAGACACAAATGGTGTTCCTGGTGGGCCAGGCTCCTGGAAAGGATACTGTGCCAAAACAGGCTCTGAATCAATTGCATAACTCTTTCCATATCTATTCTCAGCACAGATTCTGAACTGGTATTCAGCACCTGTCTTCAGATTGCTCACTTTTAGTGTGGTTCTAGCCACAGTGGCAGATACGACCACCCAGTTGGTTGTGGTTGTGTCTCTCTTCTCCACCACATAGTTGGAGATTGGACAGCCACCTGTATATGTAGGAGGTTCCCAGCTAAGAGTGATACTCTCAGCACTGATATCCTCTAACTTGACAGGGCCTGTTGGTGGGCCTGGTTTGTCCAGGGTGATCACCTCAATAGTGGCATCTTTGGAGCCTAAGGCATTGGTGATATTGATGCTGTACAAGCCTCCATCCTCTCTGGTGGCATCCTTCATGGTGAGAGTGGTATGATGTGCTGAATCAGTGACATTGACTCTGGTGGTTTGCTTAAGGGCAGCTCCATCTTTAGTCCAAGTGATGGTTGGCTTTGGATGACCAGCAATTGGAACCTCAATCTTGAGGTCATACCCCACCTGGACACTGTAGGTGCTCACTTTGGGTCGAACAGCAGGCTCAATCACTAGGTCCTTTGCTAAAACTGACTGAGCCAATTGTCTCGGGTCACTTTTGCCCTTGTCATTTACAGCAACAACTCTGAATTGGTACTCCTCCCCCTTAAGTAGGTTTGTCACTACAGTCTCCACTGCCTTCACACTAGCACACACAGACCAAGCTTCACTGTCCTTGGATGCCAGTTCGACTTCATAGTGACTGATCCTGCTGCCACCGTCATATTCAGGCTTCTCCCAGGCGAGAGTTACAGTGCTACTAGTGACGTCAACAACACTGACTTTACCAGGCGGCTGAGGCTTCTCAGATATCTTAATTGGTTCTATAGTTTTAGCAGGGAGACCCACACCATATTCATTCTCAGCCAAGACTCTGAAGAAGAAGATTCCACCCTCTGGAAGAGGTTCAACTTTCCATGTCATCTTGTTGCAGGTGATAACAGGAGAATAAACCTTCCTGGTGCTCTCACGCTTCTCAACAATATAATGCTTAATCTTTGAGCCACCATCCAGAAGGGGAGGCTCCCATGTAAGAGTGACCGAATTCTTGGTAATCTCTTTCACTATAAAGTTAGTTGGTGGACTAGGTGAGTCTAGGACTCTAACACTGATGAATACTGACTTCACTCCACTGGCATTCTCTGCTGTCAGGGTGTACTTGCCACTATCAAATCTGTCAACATTCTCAATGACAAGTGAAGCATAGCTGCCTGTATTGTCAATCTGGGCAGTCTCCTTAATCTCGCCCTCAGCCTTGCCCCATTTCACTTCAGGTGCTGGACGACCTCTCACAGGAACAAACAGCCTGAGAGTGCTTGCTGATCTAATGTTGATCATCTTTCTCATATCTGCATCCAGGTCAAGATCAGGAGCCTCAAGCTTCTCCTCCAAAAGAATTTTTCCTGGTACATCAGCATGCTCACCAATACCAACTTTGTTGATGGCACACACTCTGAATTGGTACTCATGCTTCTCCAGAAGCTTTGTCACTTTCAATTTAGTGTCAGTGATTCCAGTGGGGGGAGTGCACATAAACCACTCATCAGATGCCCCATCGCAGGCCTCAACAATGTAAGCCTGAATCTCACAGCCACCATCATAGATGGGTTTGCCCCATGTCAGGGAAACCGTGGACCTAGATGAGTCCACCACCTTGGGGTTGTTTGGTGGGCCTGCTTTGAAGATAGGCTCCAGGGCTTTGTAGTACACTGTTGGCGTGCTAGGTGTGCCAACACCTGCAGCATTCTCAGCAGCAACTCTGAATTCATAGCTGTGGTTTTCTATAAGCCCTGTCACTCTGAAGCGAAGCTCACTCACTGTGCGCTTATTGCACCTAGTCCATCTTACACCATCCTTGTCACGCTTCTCAACAATGTATCCCTGAATGGGGCTGCCGCCATCATTAGTTGGTCTCTCCCAGGTCACCACCATGGAGTCTTTGGTGATTGTTGAGACTTCTACCTCTGTTGGTGGGTTGGAAGTGACAAATGGATTTCTGGCAATCATCGCCTCAGATTCCAGGGGCTCACCAACTCCGTATTTGTTGACTGGAATCACTCTGAAGATGTACTCGTTACCAGGAAGAAGTTTTGTGATCTTCAGGTTCAATGTCTGAACTTTTGGCTCAACTACAGTCCAAACCAGTCGGCTTGTTTCCCTTCTCTCAACAATGTAATGGGAAACATCGCTACCTCCATCTTGCGAGGGAGGTTTCCAGGAAATGGAGCATTTCTCATTGGTGACTCCATAGATGGAGATAGGACCCACAGGTGGACCTGGTCTGTCCAGGACCTTGACATTAATATTAATAGATTTCTCTCCTCCAACATTCTTTACCAGCAAAGTGTACTGACCTCCATCGACACGGATGGCTTCTTTAACAACTATACAAGCTGTAAAGTCTGTGTTCTTGAGCTCTAGGCGAGCTGCTTCAGTAAGCTCTTTGCCCTCTTTCAGCCAGTGCACAGAGGGCACAGGCTTACCAGAGACAGCAGCCTCAAGCCTGAATGTCTCTCCAGCATTTACCACCACAGCCTGGGAGTACTTAGATTCCAAGTCAATTGTGGGTGGATCCACCTCATCCTTGGCAGTGATGGCTCCAGTAGAGTCAGAGGGCTTGCTGAACACACCTGCTGCATTCCTGGCGATGACACGGAACTCATAAATCTGATCTTCAGTAAGTCCTGTGACAACAAATTCAGTTTCAATGATGTTGGTAAAACTGGCCTTCATCCAGCGGCCAGCTGCCTCTTTCTTTTCAACCACATAGCCTGTGATCTTGATTCCGCCATCATACTCAGGTTTGGTCCATCTGAGTGTCACTTTGTTTCTCGTCACAATGACAGCCTCTGGTTTTCCTGGTCTGTCACAAGGATCCCTGGCAACTTGCATTTCACTCAGTTTGCTGGCTTTGCTGAGGCCCACAATGTTCTCAGCATAGACTCTAAACTCATATTCAATACCCTCCTCAAGGCCAACAACCTTGAATCTGGTCTCTGGGATAATTTGTTTGTTTTGTTTTACCCACAGTATACTGTTTCTCTCTTTGAGCTCTAAGTGGTAGCCCAGAATTTTGCTTCCACCATCATTGCTGGGTTTCTCCCACACAACCACCATGCTCTCTTTGGTGGCTGACTGGACCACAACAGAACGGGGTTGGCTAGGTAGTTCAAATGGATACTGAGCAACAATGGCTTCAGAGAGCAGGAGAGAGGACTTGCCATATCTATTCTCTGCAGCAATCCTGAACTGGTACTCAGATCCAGTCTTTAGACGGGCTGCCTTGATAGTGGTTCTGGCCACTGTAGCTGACACAATCTGCCAGTTAGTGGTAGACGTGTCTCTCTTCTCAACAATGTAATTATTGATGCTGCAACCACCGTCGTACTCTGGTGGATTCCAGGACAGGATCACACTGTCAGCAGTGACCTCATCCAGCTTAATCGGGCCAGTTGGAGGACCAGGCTTGTCTAGAACAAGGACACTGATGTCTGTAGATGCCTCTCCAGCTGTGTTGGTCAGTTTGATAGTGTATGTGCCCACATCATCTCTGCAAGCTTCCTTAATAACTAGGAGAAGGTGTCTATCCGTGGCTTCAGCATTAACTCTGGTTGTCTCCTTGAGAGCAACACCATCTTTGAGCCAAGTTGCGGTAGCCTTGGGGCAGGCAGCATATGGTACATCTATCTTCAGATCATCTCCTGCTAGTACACTGAATGTACTAAAAAGCAGTTTGAAAGTTGGTGAGATGACCAGGTCTTTAGCCACTACAGGTACACTGAGAGGACGTGGGTCACTAACTCCCTTTTCATTGGTGGCTGAGATACGGAACATGTACTCCTCTCCCTGTGTAAGGCCAGTTACAAGAGCCTCATTGGTCTTTACCACCATGACCTGGGTCCACTTCTCACTGCCTTTACCTTGCATCTCAACAATATAGCCTGTGATTCTGCTGCCACCATCATGTTCAGGCTTTTCCCATGTTAGTGTGACACTCATGCTGGTAACTTCACAAAGGGACACTTTGCCTGGTGGTAGAGGCTTCTCTGACACTTTGATTGGATCGACGGTCTCTACTGGGAGACCAATGCCATATTCATTCTCAGCCAGGATTCTAAAGAAGTACATTTTTCCTTCCTCCAGGTCTCCAACTTTCCAACTAGACTTATGGCAGCTGGCACAGACTGTTGAGTAGGCCTTTCTGGTTGACTCACGCTTCTCCACAATGTAGTTGCGGACTCTGGAGCCACCATCAATTAGAGGTGCATCCCAAACAAGGGAAACTGAATCTCTAGTGACCTCCTTGACGATGAGATTCTGAGGTGCTCCAGGAGTATCTAGCACCCTTACATTAACAAAAGCTGTCTTGCTTCCTGAGGCATTCTCTACAGTCACCATGTATTTACCTCCATCAAACCTGTCAACATTCTCTACTTGAAGAGTGGTGAATGATGAGGTGATTTCAATGTTAGCTTTGTCCAGGGATTCTCCATGTTCCCTTGCCCATTTAATTTCAGGTGCTGGTCTGCCCTTAATGGGGACAAAGAGTCTGAGTGTGCTACAGGCCCTGATGCATACTACCTTACGTAGCTCTGCTCCAAGTTCAATTTCTGGAGGAAGCAGTCTGTCTTCAGCCTTGGGAGTTCCAGGAACAGCAGCAGGCTCTCCCACTCCTTCACAATTTGTGGCACAGATGTTTATTTTATACTCTTGATTTTCCTTCAAGTTGGTAATAGTGAAAGAAGTGGCTGTCCATCCCTTCTTGGGAGTGTGAATTGTCCACTCATCCTCCTCAGGCAGGCAGGTCTCCACAATGTAACCAGTGATTTCAGAACCACCATCATAGACAGGCTTGTTCCAAGCAAGGGTGATTGAGGACTTGGTTGTGTCCAGCACTCTGGGATTCCCTGGAGGTCCAGGCTGGAAGATGGTGTCCACAGCCTTGTAGAAGGGACTGCAAGGACTAGGCTGGCTTAGACCAGCATTGTTCTCAGCAAAAACTCTGAATTCATACTCATGTCCTACTGTGAGGCCAGATACCTTGAATCGTAGGTCAGTTACAGTCCTCTTGTTGCACTTCACCCAGCGCAGGCCAGTCTTATCTCTTCTTTCAATTATGTAGGTGTTTATTCTGCTGCCTCCATCGTGTTCAGGGCGCTCCCAGCAGACAACCATGGAGTCCTTTGTAATAGTGGTGACTTCAGGCTGCTGTGGTGGGTCACTGGGGACATAGGGATTGGCACAGATGACAGGTTCAGACTCAAATGGTTCACCCACGCCATACTTGTTAACAGCCATGACTCTGAAGATGTACTCATTGCCCTTCAGAAGCTTGGTGACCTTGAACCTGTTCGCCTGAAGATCTGTGGCCACATTTGTCCATGCCAACCTACTGGTTTCACGCCTCTGAATGATAAAGTACTCAATCTTGGCACCACCATCATGTGTTGGATGCAGCCAGTTAAGGACACATTTCTCAGCTGTGACGTCAGTAACAGTGAGGGAATCTGGTGGTCCAGGTCTGTCGAGCACCTTAACATTAAATGTAAACTTGGCAAAGCCACCGGGATTGCTGGCAGTCAGAGTAAAAGCACCTCCGTCCCTTCTCAGGGAATCTTTGTTTATTAGAGTTGTGTGGAAGTCAGATGTCTTTATCTCAAGCTTGGCTGTATCCTCAAGCTCCTTTCCTTCCTTGGTCCATACCAGAAATGGGATTGGCCTGCCAGTTACATTGGCCTCAAGTTTAAACACCTCTCCTGCCATGACAACAACATTGCTACTATATGATGCATCAACATCAAGTCTTGGCTCTTCGATGTCATCTCTGCATGTGATTGCCTCAGATGGCTGGGATGGAGCACTAACAGCACCAGCTGAGTTTCTTGCAGTCACACGGAATTCATAAGTTGCATCTTCTGTCAGACCACTGACTGTGTAGATAGTTTCTTGGATGTTGTTAAAGTTGGCTTTGAGCCAGCGTCCATTGGGCATCTCTCTCCTCTCTACTGTGTATCCAGTGATGGAAAAGCCGCCATCTCCCTCTGGTTTGCTCCATGTGACTGTCACCTCATGTCTGGTGATATTCAGTGCCACAGGCCTACCCGGTGGGTCGATTGGGTCCAAAGCATACACAGGCTCAGAGGGTTTGCTTGGTTTGCTGAGACCGGCCATGTTCTCAGCAAAAACACGGTGTTCATATGCAATTCCATCAACAAGGCCTGGTGATTTGAAGATATTTCCAACAACAAGAGCTTTGCTGATTCTCTGCCACAGAATGCTGTTTTTCTCTTTTCTGTCCACATGATATCCCAGGATGACACTGCCTCCATCAGAGGAAGGCTCATTCCAACTAAGAGTCATAGCATCCTTGTTAAAAGATGTGACCACAGGAGTGCCTGGCTGGCCTGGCACATCAAATGGATAGGCAGCCACCACTGGCTCAGAGATAATGCATGGTCCGATGCCATATCTGTTCTGTGCCTTGACGCGGAACTGATATTGGGTTCCAGTGTTGAGTCGAGCTGCCTTGAATGTGGTGCGGATCACTGTCGCTGCCAACTCTACCCAGGAAGTACCAGTAGTCTCCCGCATCTCAACAATATAGTTGTTGATGGGAACACCTCCATCATTTTCTGGTGCCTCCCAGGACATGAGAACATAATCACATGAGACCTCGTCCAGCTTGATAGGACCAGTTGGAGGACCTGGAATGTCATGGACCAGAACTGTGATCGTCTCAGTCACTGTACCCAGCATGTTCTTTCCAATCATGGAATACTGGCCTCCATCAGTCCTCTTGATCTCACTGATGTTGAGGATTGTGGATGTTGGTGTGGTTTCAGTGTTGATTCTTTGTGTCTCCTTTAGCACTGTGTCTCCTTTCTTCCAGGAAACCACAGGTCTTGGTTTGCCGAGCACTGGAATCTCCACCTTGACGCGGTCTCCTGCCTTAGCGATGACAGTCTGCTGGTAGACTCCACGTAGGTCAAAGGAAGGAGCGGATGTCTGCTCTTTGATAATAGCAGGCCTGCTCTCACGGGGGTCACTCCTGCCTGATGCATTGACAGCTATTATGCGGAAGGTATATTCTGCGCCCTCAATCAGATCCGGGACAGTGTAGTCCAGAGCTTTGATGGTGCCCATATGGACCCACTGGTCTGTGTCCTTCTTCTGGGCCTCAATGACATATCCGGTGATCAAGCTGCCACCATCATGCAGGGGCTTGGTCCATGCGAGGCTGGCACTGTCAGCTGTCACATCTGTGACATACAAGTTCTCTGGTGCAGAAGGGGCCTGGGACACCCTGATTGGCTCAGGGGTTTCAGCTGGCTCACCAATGCCCAGGTCATTCTCAGCAGTGATACGGAAGTAGTAGTAAGCTCCCTCTTCAAGGCCTAGTATCTTGAAGGAACACTTCTGCCAAGTGGTGCTAAGCACAGTATAGGCCTTCTTGGTGGCCTCTCTCTTTTCAATAACGTAGTTGTGAATCTTAGAACCACCATCAATTATGGGGATTTCCCACTGAAGGGTGATGCTATTCTTAGTGATCTCTCTAGGTTTAAGATTGACTGGTGGTCCTGGTGTGTCCAAAACTTTCACATTAACAAAGCCAGTCTTCTTTCCAGCAACGTTCTCCAGACAGAGGTGGTACTTTCCAGCATCGTATCTGGTGCAGTCAGGGATAACCAGGAGAGTGTAGGACTCTGTGGTGTCAATGTGTGCACGTTTTTTAAGGTCGGTATCATCTTTGCTCCAGGTTACTTCAGGAACAGGCCGACCTCTGATGGGAACAAACATACGGATTGAAGCACGGGACCTCACCACCAGGGTTCTCCTGAGTTCAGCATCCAGCTCAAAGTCTGGCAGTGACTCCTGGTCTACCAGTTCAGTCAATTTCTCAACCTCTGCAGGCTCACCAACTCCCTCTGAATTTACTGCGCAGACTCTGAAGTGGTATTTGCCTCCTTTTTTAAGTTTACCAATAACGTATTCATTAGCTTTCAATAGGTACTGTGTCTCCGTCTCCCAGTCATCATGCCCCTCCTCTTTGTACTCAACAATATATCCATCTACTTCAAGACCACCATCATAGTGGGGTCGACCCCAGGCAAATGTGGCAGTGGTTTTTGTGGTTTCTGTAATTCTGGGGTTGGATGGAGGACCAGGTGGATCTGATAAATAAGAAAAATGAGAGGTTAACTAAGTTAATTGAGTGAAGGTGGTACACAAGTTCTTGATTAGTATGTTCAGACTTTTATGCATATGTAACTTTCTCACTTTACTGTAAAAGCAAATTCAGAATTAATTAAGAAGTCAAGTTTTACTTACACACAATGTCCTTGGTCATCACAGGGTGTGATGGCTCACTTGGATCCCCAAATCCAGCCTTGTTCTCAGCAGTGACTCTAAACTCATACTCTATTCCCTCGCTCAGGCCTTGCACCTTATAGCGCAGGTCAGGGACTGTCCTCTTACAGGCTCTCACCCATCTCATTCCTCTCCTCTCTTTCCTCTCTACACAATATCCTCTGATGTCACTTCCACCGTCCTGTACTGGTCTCTTCCATGAAATGGTAACAGCGCTCCTACTGACATTATCAATTTCTGGGGTTGATGGTGGACCTGGTGGGCCTGGGGGAAACAAAATGTACAAGAACATTTTGGTCAGTTCTTAGGTTCATAGGTTTTTCACTCAAAGGTATTTAACTATTAAATAATGCATCCCAGGAAAAATCTAAATTTCACTGCATTTTTAAAATATTATACAACTAAATGTAAACCATATAAACTTACGGAAACTGTCAACCATTTTGACTGGACCAGATTGGCTTGAGTCTCCAGTGCCATACTGGTTCACAGCAGACACTCTAAAGATGTACTCATTGCCCTTGATCAGTTTACTGGCTACATATCTGCAGTCCATGACATTTTCAGCTAGCTTGGTCCACTGCAAGCGGCTGGTCTCTCTCTTTTCAAGGATGTAGGACTTGATAGAGCAGCCTCCATCCTCCTCTGGTGGAAGCCAGGTCAGAGTACACTTCTCAGCTGAAATGTTAGTGGGTTCAATGGGGCCTGGAGGTCCAGGCACGTCCAGAACCTTCACTTTTACGTGTTCTTCCTTAATACCAAAGGGATTGCTGGCAGTGATGATGTAGTCGCCCGTGTTCTTCCGGCTTGCATACTTGATAGCCAGAGTAGAGGAGGTGGGGGTACTGGTGATGGTGATGATGTCAGAGGTCTTGAACTCACGGCCTCCCTTTGACCAGACAGAAGTAGGTGGAGGTTTGCCCAAAATCTTGGAGGCTGATATCACGATGGTGTCTCCTGCCCTGACTGATACACCGTCCTTCATTTCTGGGTCAATAGTGATTGTCGGGGGCTCTGCAGAGAGGACATCACAAAAAATTAATATAAAAATTGTCCACACACCTCATAAATTCAAATTAATGACAATATGACTTTAAAGACAGATATTTGCTATTCAACTTACCATACTCATCCTTGCAGGTCAGAAGCTCAGTAGACTCTGAAGGAACACTAATAGCCCCAGCAGAATTCTTGGCCCTGATCCTGAACTGATACTGAGATCCCTCTGTCAGGTCAGGGACAGTGAAGGCACATCCCTGGACGTTGATATGATTGGCCTTCATCCAGGCCTTGCCGCCAGCCTCCAACTTCTCCACCATGTAGCCAGTCAGCTTGTGGCCGCCGTCATATTTGGGAGCTGTCCAAATCAGAGTGACTGTGGTCCTTGTGACGTTAATCACTTCCGGCTTGCCAGGAGGATCTAACAGAACACAAAGTAAATGTGTTAAAACATACAGAAAAAACACCAAACACATTAGGTTTTCACATGGAAAAAAAATCTGAAAGCAGTGAACTCACCAATAGGATCCAGGGCGACCACAGCCTCAGTGGCCCTGCTTGCCTTTCCGAGCCCGGCCATGTTCATGGCCATCACTCTGAACTCGTACTCTAGTCCCTCTATCAGGCCAGTGACTCTGCACTCCTTTACTCTCAAAGGAGTCTTACTGGCCCGTTTCCACATCAGACTGTTTCTCTCCTTAAACTCCACATGATATCCTAGAGAAAACACAAATCAAGTCATGGTGATTGCTGTTTGCTATTTGCTCATGATAAACTACAAACTGATATCTATCACAGTTTGTTACCAGTAATTGGGGAGCCACCAGTGTCCTTTGGATCAGCCCAAGTCAAAATGGCTGACTCGTGGCGGATGCTCACAATTTCTGGAGGAGCAGGTGCCTCAGGCACATCTGGAGGAAGCAGAGAAACAGAGAAGGGTTAAATGATTAATTATTATTTCTACTATTAGAAAGTGAGTACAGTAAGTTTACTTGCTGACTCATTCTGGCTACACTCCTATCGTAGTGGTAAACAAACATCCCCTGGTACTGTTCAGCTTGTAGTCAGGGTACTGTCAGCTAATAGGATAACTAGCTATTGCCAGGAACTAGTACACTAAGCATATGCAGCAGTGCAACGGTAAGTAAGTAACTTAATTTGTTACAAGAGAAAAGGTCCATGCTCCAACAGTCACCTGATACTTTGGTCCGGGTGACAAGATCCAACTAATGAAAAGACCAAGACTCTAATCATCTTAAAGGATGGCCCTTATAAATATTATCAAAGCTTCTGCAAAATGGCACAGACTATAAAAGACATGCTACTGCCTCAGCCCAAAATGTATTTTGACTGATACTCACTGAATGGATGCTGGGCGATGACTGGGTCAGACCTCAGATACTCTCCAACTCCATATTTGTTCTCAGCAAACACTCTGAAGATGTACTCTATTCCATCGTGGAGCCTGATCACCCTCATGGTGGTCTTCTGGATAGCTGAAGCTACTGTGGCCCACTTGTTGTCTGTGGTCCTCCTCTTCTCAACGATGTAGTTGGACACCTCTGCACCGCCATCATCTTTGGGTGGTCCCCACTCCAGGGTGATGCCATCAGCGGTGATCTCGTCAAACTTAATGGGTCCAGTGCAGATGCCAGGCTTGCCGACCACTTTCAGCTGGAACTTGCAGTCCTTGGAACCGGCACTGTTCCTGACGTGGATGCTGTAGGTGTCGGCATCTCCTTTCTGGCAGTCTCTGATAAGCAGAGTGGTGACACCATGAGACGCCTCCACGCACATCCTGCCGGTGTCTCCGACCATCGTGTCGCCCTTCTTCCAGGTGGCAGTGGGGAGGGGCACTCCGATGGTGGGGATGTGGATACGCGTGGTGCTGCCTTCCTTCACCACACAGCAATTGTCTTGCAGAGCACTCAAGTTGCAGTCAGGCAGCACTAAAATCCAAAGTATTTGCTCATCAGAAAACATTTAAAAACAATAACTTTATGTTCTAGCAAAATAAGAAGCTATAACTAATATATCAGCATGATGGCTGACATCTTACCAAACTGGTCCTTTGCGACGACAGTGAGCTCGGTGGGTGGCCCCTCTCCGGACTCATTGAGCGCCTTGACTTTGAAGGAGTACTCCTTGCCTTCAGTCAGCTCGCTGATGGTGTGTGAGGTGTTCTTGCCCTTCATGATCTGCTTCCACTTCTCTTCGCCTTCGCTCTGCTCCAGGATATAAGCGGTAACGTAGCTTCCGCCGTCACTGATAGGCTTCTTCCAGCCCAGGACGATCGAGTCCTTGGTGGTCTTCTGGGCTTTGAAGTCCATCACTGGACCAGGTTGTTCTGAAGGGGGAGAAAAGATGGGTGAAGATTGAGCCTGTGTTTGTGTTTAAACACTCAAAGGCAAGTTCCTTCATCTTAGATCTGAATATAGGAGGCAGATTTTTCTGACTTTTGTCTTGGCCACTGATCTTGACCATTACGCTTAGGTCCTGTTCTTTTCAACTGGATTGTGTTGTTTGTTTTTTGGTGCAGTAGCTACTATTGTATTCAGTTAACATTTCTAAGTAAAACCTTGAACTTTTATTTAATTCGATGATTCACGTAGTTTTAGACAATAAATTAAGGATTCAGTATTTCTTCACGAGAATTTTATTCCTGGCAGTGAGGAGTGGACTTGATTAATAAAAATTAACAATATATACAGAAGAGACAGCAAGTAAAATCTTACTTATTGCCTTAGTTGAAGTTAAGTTAAAGTTTTTTAAATTCAAATGAAAGTACTATAATACTACAAGATACATTACTCTGCTGAGTAAAAAAACCTATTCTAACTTAGTAAACAACAACAGTGACTTGTAGCTACCTGAGGCTCGGACGCTGCCGGCAGTCTCACAGCCCTCTCCGATGCCATAGTTGTTTTCAGCCAGCACTCTGAAGCAGTAGGCCTGTCCACCCTCCAGGTTGGTGATCCTGAATGAGGTTTTGGGGCACTCTGCCGACACGCAGGTCCAGGCTTTTCTTTCGGCCAGACGTTTCTCTACGACATAGCTCTTGACTGGGCTGCCACCGTCAATCAGCGGGGGCTCCCAGGTGATGCAGGCGTGGCTTTTGGAGGTCTCCTTGACAATCAGGTTCACAGGTGGTCCAGGAGAATCTAAGGGGGTGAAGCAGTATCTCTGGCTTAGAGCTTTTGAACTGAGATATAAATCAGGTCGTAGATTTAAAAAAAAATCTGTTTCTCGTGGGTGAACATGTTTAAGGTTTTCAGGTTCAGCAATTTTTTTCTAAACCATGTCATGTCTTCATAAATCATTTATTTAATTTTTCTCATTATGTTTCTTACCAAGGACCTTGACCACAATGGTGTAGCTCTTGGAGCCGCTGCTATTCTCCAGTGTCAGGACGTATTTGCCAGCGTCATATCTGTTAATGTCCTCGGCCATCAGTAGGGTGTCCCACTCGGACGTCTTGATCAGCAGACCCTGCCTCTCCTTCAGGTTGGCGTCCACCTTTGTCCATGTCACCTTTGGTGCCGGACGTCCTCTCAGTGGGACGTAGAGCCTCATGGTAACGCCAGCACGAAGAACCAAAGCCTTTCTTAGGTCAGCATCCAGCTCAGCTTCAGGAGCGACTGGAGGGTGGACAGAAGATTGGGTTTTAAATACGTAATTGACTACTGTAACCAACTTATTAGTTTTGGTTGAGAGCAAGGCTGCGTTAGTTAGCTGGCCCATGAATGAGTTAAATTAGTCATTATTGAGAATAGATGTTATTTATTAAATGTATGATTAAACTGATCATCACAGCTAGGATTAATAATGATTCACTAATGAAGTGGTCATTTTTACTAAAGCATTACATCTGTACTGAAAATGATTCATTCAGTGATATGAAGGGGAAAATACTTGGTGAGTTAGCGATAATACTAGGGGTTATTTATTCAAATTAAGTGGCATAATAAACAATAAATTGAAACGTGGAGCGTACTTAGGATGTCCTTGGCCATGTGGTTTCCAGGGACCTCACTGGGCTCGCTGTAGCCAATCTTGTTGACAGCAGTTACTCTGAACTGGTACTCAGTGTTGTCCATCAGGCCTGTCATTAGGAATTTGGTGTCCTGGAGCTTCTTTGGGACGTTGCACTTGGTCCAGTCCTCAGCTTCGGCTCGCTTACACTCCACCAGGTAGCCAATGATCTCACAGCCACCATCATAGGCTGGTTTGGTCCAGCTGAGGCTAATGGAGCTCTTGGTGGAGTCCACCACCTTGGGGAAGGCAGGAGGTCCGGGAGGATCTGGAGAATAACAGTGACACATTTGTCATTATTTTTACATAAACAGTTAGAAGCTTGTTTTTGTAATTTTCTTTAAATGGGAGTTTTAAAGCTGATACTTACAGACAGGGTCAACAGCCAATGCAGCACTGGATGCGTCGCTGGGTTTGCCCAAACCGGCTTTGTTCATGGCGATGACTCTGAACTCGTACTCAGAGCCCTCGGACAGCTGAGCAGCTTTGAGGGTTCTATCAATAACTGGTCGGCGGTTGACCTTAGCCCAGGTCAGCTCGGTGGCCTCACGTTTCTCCAGCATGTATCCCAGGATGGTGGCCTTGCCGTCGTTGGCTGGGGCTTTCCAGCTCACTGTCATAGAGTTCTGAGTAATGTTGGTGATTACGGGCGGCTCGCATGGACCAGGAACATCTGAAGGAAGAGATATAGCCACGATAATCTCCCATCAGTGTTTGAGTTTATATTATCTCATCAACATTCAAATTGTGCTGTCTCGTTAATATCGTATCCCCAGAGACATACTGAGGAAGTTTAAATAGTCAGAAAGACCACAGGTTTTTGTCCCTTTTTTTACTGTACTGTACTCTTTAGACCTCAGTGAACTTACCGTATGGGTTCTTGACCATGACAGAGTTAGTCATGTTGGGGTCTCCCACACCATACTGGTTCTCAGCACTGACTCTGAACTCATACTCATGTCCTTCAATGAGTTTCTCCACTGAGCAGTCAGTGACGTGTCCATGGATGTTGGAGCTGACCAGCGCCCAGTTGGCCCTGCTGGTCTCACGCTTCTCTATGATGTAGTTTGTGATCTCAGAGCCACCGTCCGCTATTGGGGGCTCCCATCGCAACTTAACATGGTCAGCAAACACCTTACCAATTTTCACTGAGGCTGGAGGGCCGGGTTTGTCTGTAGGGGAAAACAATGGGAGTTTAGCTTCCCACTTATTGGTACACATAAAATGCTTGCATAGAGAAAATACAACAATAAAATAATATTAAATCTAACTTACCGAGCACCTTGACCTTGATGGTAGCATACTTGCTGCCACTGAGATTCTCAGCGGTGATAGTGTAGTCTCCAGACTCCTTCCTGGTGACAGAGAAGAGCTCCAGCAGGTGGACATGTTTCTTCTGGATCATCTTCATTCCCTCGCGAAGGACGAGAGGCGCTCCGTCTCTCTTCCAGCTCACCTTTGGCAGGGGCTTGCCGAACACCTCAGCATCCAGGAAAACATTCTCTCCGGCTTTCACCACGATCAGGTTCTTCATGTTGACGCCCAGGTCAACACGAGGGGGAACTGCACAGAGAGAGAATTATCATCAATATTTATCTGTAATTTAATCTGTCAGTATAGTTTTTCCTTGCTGTGTGGAGCTGTACCATTTTCAGCAATGACAGCGATGGGGTCAGACAGCTCAGACGGCAGGCTGGTGTTGATGGCGGTCTTAGCAATGACTCTAAACTGGTACTGTCGGCCCTCCTCCAGGCCGGTCACCACATAACTCTCCGTCTGGATGCTCATGCAGTTGGCGTTGCAGCGTATCCACTTCTCCTCTGGAAGCTTTGTGTACTCCATGTGGTAGCCAATCAGCTTGCTACCGCCGTCATGCTTGGGGCGGCTCCAGACCAATGACACAGAGCTCTTGTTCACATCCATGGGTTCAGGTTTACCTGGTGGATCTGGATGGAAGCAAAGGGGTGTAGATTCAGTTACATGACACTGTCTGAACAAGGGAAAGGGTTAAGTGAACAAGGGTGTGAATTTTTCTCTTTGAACAAAACTTCATTAACCCAAGATAAGAAATTATAACTATACTTAAGGATAAAAAGTTTATATAAAACATCAAAATCAGATAATATGTTTTTATATAAAGGTGTGTAAGATTTAGTGGCATCAAGCAGTTTTCTTGCAGATTTCAACAACCTCACTCTACCCTCCCCTTTCCAAGCATGAAGAAGAAACAACAGTGGCCGCGACACGTGAAAAATGCCCATATCTAGAGCCATTGTTTGGTTTGTCCCTTCTGGGATACTTTAGAAACATGGCGGACTACACAGAAGGCGACCCTCAATTATTCTAGCCATTCAAGCCAGGATTTGTGTGTCAGGTAACATTAAATGCGTTGCCCATGGACATTCAGTTTACTTTCTATTTTGCCAAGATATGATGTTCTTGTTATGTTAGCTATAGTAGCAGAAGAGCTGAATCTCTTTAGCAACTGCTTGCAAACATAGCTAATGTAGCGTTGACACTATATCACGGTATTTGTCATGATCAGCAATCAAGGACATTTTCGTACCAACAGCAGTCCTGGCGGTGATGAAGTCGGTCTGTTTGCAAGGTTTGCCCTGTCCAGCCAGGTTGAGTGCCGACACCCTAAAGGTGTACTCCAGGCCCTCCATCAGGCTGGTGCAGGTGTACTGGGTGGCTTTGACCACAGACTCGTTGGCCCTCATCCACAGAAGGCTGTTCCTTTCCTTCTTTTCAATGCAGTATCCAGTGATTGGGGTGCCGCCGTCGCTGCTGGGACGCTCCCATGACAGGATGACGAAGTCCTTGTTGATCTTGTTGATCTGTAGGTTTCTGGGCTCGCTTGGAGGATCTTTGGGGGAAAGCAAAACAGTTGGTATATAGTGTCATAGTTGTAATAGTAGTAACCAGTAATGAAGCTAAAAATATTTTGACTCACCAAATGGATATCTGGCAATCATCTTCTCTGAGTAGATGGGCTCTGAGACACCGAACCTGTTCTCGGCACGGACCCGGAATCCATACTCTTTACCAGTTGTCAGTTTGGTCACTCTAAAGCTGGTTTTGGTGCAGGAAGTGGACACAGGGATCCAGTCGCCCTGGCTGACGTCACACTTCTCCACAATATAGTTGGTGATGTTGCTGCCACCATCCTCCTGTGGGGAGTTCCAGAGTAGCGTGCAGGCATCTATGTCTGGTTCAGTGATCTCCAGAGGAGCTTCAGGGGGTCCAGGAAGGTCTGCAGAAACACAGGATTGAGTCATTAATGGATGAGTCATTAATGATGTTAATCACACACCTAATCAATGATCTGTTATTCATTGTTAACATTTTCATCATCATCTATATCTTTTCGGTTTAGAACCAGTATCTGTTGTTCAAACTGACCCATGACAGTGACTCTGAGGATCTGGTTGATCTTGCCAGTACTGTTCTCAGCTGACAGGCTGTAGTAGCCGCTGTCCTTTCTTCTCACGTTCTTAATGATAAGTGTGCAGGTGGTCAGCGTCTTAACGACGGACAGGCGATCAGAGGTCAGCACATCTTCGCTGCCCTGCTTCCACTTGCAGAAGGGAGCAGGTTTACCTGCCACAATGGCCTCAACCACCATCTTGGATCCAGCTCTGACTGTCACAATGTCAGGCAAAATGACCTTAGGAGCCACTGGGAGGAAGCAGAAACACAACATGTTACTTCAGAGATTAATGATAGGATTTCAACTTTTTCCTTTTTCATCAAGGAATAATTTTTGTATTATTATTATTTTAATTAAAAGAGTCTCTACCAGTCTGTTACTATAGTCTGAAGTAGATTTTAGGCCGGTCTACTTACTGAGCTGCTCCTTGACCTCAAACACTCCCTCCGCCTCTCGAGCCAAGCTGACTCCCACTGAGTTCCTGGCTGCCACTCTGAACTTGTACTTCTTTCCTTCATTCAGACCAACCACCACGATGGTCATGTCTTTCACCACAGAGTAAGGTGTCCACTTGTCCTCGGGCGTACCCTCCTCCTGGTAGTCCACCACATATCCGTTGATCTTGGCTCCTCCATCTCTGAGTGGCTTTAGCCAACCCAGTGTGGCGCTGTTCTTGGTGATCTCCAACACTTCCATCTTCTTTGGAGGGTCTGGCTCACCTGAATGCAACACACAGCAGGTGTTAGGAATAATTTGAAAATGGAAAAAACAACAGAGGTTGACAGGCTAAACCTTTTTCACACAGTCAATGGTGACACTCACTGCAGGGGTCCACAGCCAGGTAGGACTTGGGCGAATCCTGAGGAAGTCCAATGCCATATTTGTTGCAGGCCATGACTCTGAAGTAGTACTCGATGCCAGGTGTCATGTTGGTCACCTTGAAGCTAGTCTTCTTCAGGTCCTCTATGCACTTGGTCCAGGTCTTTCTATCCACCTCACGTTTCTCTACAATGTAGTTGAGGATGGGGCTACCACCGTCATTCTCCGGTGGCAACCAGGACAGCTGAGCTGTTGTCTTGGTGACATCTGTCGCCTCCAGTCCGCCAACAGGACCAGGAGTATCTGCAGAGGATGAATTTAAAAATCACTTTGATCATACAGTTTCCTAACCAGTAAAATTTGTTGTAACTTTTGTTAAAAGCAACTGCTGTAAAAATTAAGTTTGTTGTTTCTCACCAAGGACTTTGACACGAACAAACACGGCTTTCTCTCCAGCCGAGTTCGACAGTGTCAGTGAGTATCTCCCAGAATCCTCTCTGGTGCTTTCAGGGATGACCAGGAAGGACATGGTGTCAACTTGGTCCACATGACCTCGGCGGATCACATTGTCCACGCCAATGCGCTTCCAGGTAACTTTGGGGGAGGGCCTTCCTCTGATCACAGCGAAAAGCCTGATTGGACAGCCAGCCCTGACAGCCAGGCCTTTCCTCAGACTGGCGTCCAGATCAATCTCTGGAGCCTCTGTTGCCATAGAAACACATTTATGTAGAGCTCATTAGAGTGTTGTTAACATTTACTACCTAGTGTACGTGTATATAATGGATTTATCAAGGCACATCCACGGTTGTCTTTAGTAGCCGTTCATTCTTACCCAGGACCTCCTTGGGGAAGACGGCCTCCTTCAAGTAGGCATGACGTCCCCAGCCCACCTGGTTTTTGGCAGACACCTTAAAGTCATACTCTTGCTTCTCATCTAGCTGGCCGATAGTGAACTCTGTGAGCACCAGTGGACCATGGGTGTCAATTCTCTTCCAGCCCTCTGTGGGCTTCTCAGGGTCTGCCTCGCTCTTCAGTCTCATGTCCAGGCTGTAGCCGATAATGGGGGCACCGCCATCATACACGGGTTTAGACCAGGACAGGGTGATAGAGGTCTTGGTGCTGTCACCCACCTTCAAGCCTGCAGGGGGGCCAGGGGGCTCTGCAGGTAGAGACAGTAAAACAAAGTTTAAAACACCAAAGGCCATCTCTGACATCTTATGCTTCCTATTGATTTCTAATCTGAGAACAAAAAAAATGTAAAAAAAAGACGTAAACTGAACTGTGGTGGCATCTGCAAACTCACCAATGGGATCTTTGGCTGCAACAGGTCTGCAGGGTTTGCTAGGCTCTCCTAGGCCGACCTCATTCTCAGCCTTCACCCTGAACTGGTACTCATGGTTGGGAATCAGGTTGCTGACTTTCATGCGTCTCTCGGAGATGGGGCTCTTTGTGCAGGGCACCCAGCGCACTGCCCTCTTCTCTTTCCTCTCCAGGATGTAGCCAGTGATCGATTTTCCACCATCATTCTCAGGAGGAGCCCAGACAACTGTCATCTCATCTTTGCTCACCTGGATCGCAACAATATTAACAGTGTGAGTAACAGAAACTTTTTACAACTACAATGTACACTGATACTAGGCTGAAATGCTCTTCGTGAGGTAAGTTCAGGACAATCTATAAAACAGATAATCTTTCACTTACCTTAGTGACCTCAGGGGCCTCAGGTGGTCCAGGTTTGTTGAACTGAGTCTTGACAGTAACAGGTTTGCTCTCCATAGCAGGGCCGGTTCCCATCTTGTTCTCAGCCCTCACTCTGAAGATGTACTCGTTGCTTTCCACCAAACGAGTGACGTTGCAGTATGGTGTGACCACAGAGGCTGAATATGTCGACCAGACCATCCTCCTGGTCTCGCATTTCTCCAGGATGTAGCTGTCCACCTCGCAACCACCATCATCCTCAGGAGCATCCCAAATCACTCTGCACTTGTCGGCTCCGATGCCGGTAATCCTGAGGTTCCTCACCGGGCCAGGGACATCCAGGACGTTAACGTTGGCATATGCTGTGAAGGTCCCGGCTGGGTTGGTGGCAGTGATGACATACTTTCCAGTGTCAGTACGTCTGGACTTGGTCATGAGGAACTTGGAGTAGTCGGGGCCAGTCTCATAGCTCAATCTGGGGTTGTCTCCGACAGCTTTATCTTTTATCCATTTAACCTCAGGCTGGGGCTTTCCTCTCAGTGCAGCCTCTATCCTAACAGATTCTCCGACCTTCACTGTCAAAACTCCGGCCAACTTCAGGTCAATTACAGGCTTCTGGATCTCCTCCTTCACCAGAATATCAGCAAGTTTCACCCAAGCACTCTCACCGCCTTCATTAACAGTCTGCACCCTGGATAACAAATAATTAGAATTATTACTTAAATGTTTTTTGATTTGGCAGACTCAAATAATACCATTTCTGAGCAAGGAAACAGTACAAATTCAGTAACCTACCTGAAGGTGTATGTCTGGTTCTCCGTGCATTTGTCAGCCAGGAAAAAGGTGTCAGTGAGAGTGGCAGTGTTAAGTTTCTCCCACTCCTCAGCATCTTTGGCTTTGCATTCCAAGTTGTAGGAGATGTTGGGGCTGCCACCATCGTAGTCAGGCTTCCTCCATCTCAGATAGACGTGGTTCTTACCAATGTCAGTGGCTCTGAAGTTCTCAGGCTCACCTGGTTTCTCGATGCAGTCGATGGCCAGCAGAGGGACCTTGGTCTCCACAGACGGTCCTGGTCCCATCTTGTTCTCAGCACAGACACGGAACAGGTACTCATGACCCTCCATCAGCTTAGCCTTGATCTTACGATTGGTGCAGCTGGAGGAGATCATGGACCACATACTAATGCTGGGTTCACGGCACTCCACGATGTAGTTGGTGATCTCTGATCCACCATTGTCCTTAGGGGCCTCCCAGTTGATCATGCATGAGTCCTTGGTGGCATAGGTCACGTGTAGATTCTGGCAGTGGCTAGGTCTGTCTAGCACATTGACTGTAATGGTGCAGGAGGCCTCACCACCCTCATTTGAAGCCTTTAGGATGTATTTGCCATGGTCAGCTCTTGTTGCCTCCTTGATCTTCAGGTGGACCACAGGGAAGTTTTGAATGATGGTGACACGTTTGCTGTTCTCCAGAACCGTCTCTTCCTTTGACCAAAGCACTTCAGGGTCAGGACGGGCTTTGATGTAGCCAATGATGTTGATGTTGTGTCCTACACGCACAGTGACGCGCTCACGGCAGGTGGCGTCCATCTCAATCTCTGGAGGGATGAGGATATCCTGAGCAGTGATGGACTCTGGGATTTCTCTGACCTCTCCATCTCCGATTATGTTTGTGGCATAAACTCTGAATCTGTAGGTCACGCCCTCCTCCAGACCCTTCACCCTGTAGGCACACTGCTTGATGAAGTCATCAAGGTTAACTTTTTTCCATTCTTCAATATCGGCTTTCTTCATTTCCACGTTGTAGCCCAGGATGGGGCTGCCTCCATCTTTGTTGGGTTTGGTCCACACAAGGTCAGCGGTGGTCTTGCTGTAATCTTTAACTTTGGGGTTGACAGGGGGGCCGGGGATGGTGATGGGCCTGCAGGGCTTGCAGGGGTCAGAGATGGGAGAGGGGCCGCTGTAACCGGCAATATTCTCAGCAAACACTCTGAACTCGTACTCATTGCCCTCAAACAGACCCAAGACTCTGTACCTCAGGTCCTTGCAGGGTGTCTTGTTGACACGGATCCATTTTCCTCCTTTGTGTCTGCGCTCAACGATGTAGCCAGATATCTGGCTACCACCATCAGAGAGGGGCATGGTCCAGCCAACTGTAACAGCATCCTCTGCAATATCAGAGGTCTGTGGCTTACCAGGCTGGCTGGGTGGCATGAAAGAGTGCTCAGCAACGGTGGGCTTGCTCTCCAGTGGAGCACCAATGCCCATCTTATTCGCAGCACGAATGCGAACCACATATTCCACTCCCTTCTGCAGGCGGGTGATATTGAGCTGGGTGGCAAGGCTCCCAGAGCTCACACCTCCCCAGGTCTCCTTTTTTGACTCTCTCTTCTCCACAATGTAGTTGGTGACAGGGCTACCACCATCGTCCTTGGGAGGACGCCATTCAATCATCATGGAATCTGGAGTGACCTCCAGGATGTTGGCAGGTCCTATGGGAGCAGCGGGAACGTCCAACACAGTGACGTTCAAGGCAACTGTCTTGGTTCCAGCTGGGTTGGACACAGTGAGCAGGTAGGTTCCAGAGTGATTCCTGGTGCACTCATTAATGCTGAGCACAGTGGAGAAGTTGTCAGTGTCGATCTTGATGTTGCCCTCGCTGGTGATCTCTTCTCCTTCAATGGTCCATTTGGCAGTGGGAACAGGGATTCCTCTCATGATAGCTGGCAGCCTGATGGTGGTGCCAGCCTTTACGATGATGCCTTCAATGAGCTTAACGTCCACCTCGACGATTGGAGGCACTGTGGACATGCAGACAGTGGTGGTTACCCAGTGTTATTACACGTATCATGATCAAATAAAATGAAATAGTATAATATAATAATTTATCACCAACGTTAAGTGGTTTGGCTGATACCAAATACCAATTCAAGGCACATTATTTTGCTAATATGGACTATAACAAGAGCTACATCTGCACCAATGTTGATGGTACAGAAAGGATTGGTGAATTTTAATTGAGAATGAAAAACTAGAACACTATGTTCTGGGGTTTCATCCTGTATCTCACCTAGTTTTTCCTGGCAGAGGATAGGCACAGTGGTGTCGGGTCTGCTGAGGCCAATGGCATTCTCAGCCCTCACTCTGAAGCGGTATGTCTTTCCTTCTTCCAGGCCAGTCACATGACTCTCAGGGATGCTGACGGTCTTCCACTCGTCCCACTCCCTCTCTCCCTCTTCCTGATACTCCACCAGGAATCCTGTGATCTCACTTCCTCCATTGCGATCTGGCCAGTTCCAGACCAACCACACCTCAGTCTTGTCCACGTCGGTGTGGTGCAGGTCTTTGGGAGGACCAGGAGGGACTGAAGGGACAGAGGAAAAGACATTCAGGTATGAACTGGAGAGATTGAGCATTAACAACATAGACATACACATCATCACTTCCACCACCCTGCCACCTAAAGAGATTGATTCGTAATACATTTGTTGTATTGCTTTTGTTGAGTGACAAATGCTTTTGAGAAGCAAAGTACATTGAAAATGCCATACAAATCTGAAAATACTTTTTCCTTTATGGCAAACCCAATTATGTGTGCTGAAACATCCATTTTGTTCTATTGTTGCAACCTCTTGGAAAAAAAGAGGTTTATCCTGTGAGTATTATATTTGTATTTGTTTTCTATGTGTTAAAACACAATTCTCAGTACAACGTAATCGGCTGATTAAGTGATTGCTGTGTTGTAACTCACAGAGTGGGTTCATTGCCTTGATGGCCTTTGGCGTCTCAATGTATTCGCTGCGGCCGTACTGGTTCTCAGCAGCAACTCTAAATGAGTAGGATGTGCCCTCCATCAGGTGCTTCAGCATCATGCTGCGTTTCTTGGATGTGGAGCAGACAGGGACCCACTGAGTGGCTGCAGTGTCTTTCTTCTCTACCACAAAGTTTGTGATGCGGGCACCACCGTTGTCCTCTGGGTCCTTCCAGGACAGGTAGGCAGAGTCACACCTGATGTCAGACACCCGGAGGTGCTGGATGGGACCAGGTTTGTCTGCAGAAAAGGAACGTCACATATCAATCACAGAGCAACTGATCAAAGCAAATATAGTATTAGTGTGATAGTGAATCACGCTCATGTATTCAAGCTAAAAATTCTTACCAAAGACCAGAACGGTGCAGGTGGCAGTCTTGGATCCAGCAGGGTTCTCCACAGTGAGGGTGTAGTCTCCACAGTCACCACGGTTACAGAACCTCATCTCCAGCTTGGTGCCTGCCTGGTTTGTCTCAATGTCTGCCCTCGTGGGCACATCGGCGTCATTCTTCTTCCAGGTGACGGTGGGGAATGGAACGCCATTGATAGTGGCCATCAGTGTGATGTGAGTGCCAGCCATGGCCTTCACCTCCCGGGTCATTCCAGCGTCCAGAATCAGCTCTGGGGGCTCTGAGGGGAGGACACGGGTGTAGAAGAACGTGAGAGACATTTACAGGTGAATTAGTGGGAATTGCTGATCATTAATGAATCTGATGTAAGGAGTACTTCTTAAAATCAGAGTTCCAAGCTGGTTCAGATATTGATGACTCACCAAGTCTGTCCATCACTCTGATTGGCTCCTTAAGGCTAGCCGGGTCGGACTCTCCAGCAGCGTTGACAGCCATGACTCTGAAGCGGTACAGAGAACCATCATCCAGGTTGATCACTTTAAATTTGGTCTCCTGGCAGGAGTCAGGAGTCTGGTTCACCTGGGGACGGCAGCAGGACAAGAGTTCCATATCACATTTCACTTAAGATTTAGAGAGATCACGGGGTCCTCTGGGCAGCAGCCGTAATGTTAATTGAACAACTGCCTCACCTTGCTCCACTCCTCCTCTCCAGCCTTCTGGAACTCCAGTAGATATCCTAAGATCTTTCCTCTGCCGGTGTCAGTGGGAGGCTGCCAGGACAGAGTCACAGATTCCTTGGTAAAGTCGATGGTCTGGAACTTCACTGGTGGACCGGGTTTCACTGTGGCAAAGGAGAGGGAGGAATTATTGTAGTGAGTTCACACAGTAATAGCAATAAAATAAAAATGAAATGTTTTAAAAGCTGAACTTACCAATGGGATCTTTGGCGAAGACGGGCTTGGATGGCGGGCTCGGGTCTCCGGCTCCCACCACGTTCTCAGCGCTGACTCTGAACTCGTACTCACAACCTTGCAGCAGCTCCGTTACCCAGTACTCCACCTTCGGAAAGATTCTCTCTGTGTTGCAGCGAACCCACCTAAAAGCAGAAACATTCTCAGCAAATCTATTATCTATTCATCCATCAGTCCATGTTCTTCCATTAAATCGGGTTGAAGTGACAGCAGGTTAAGCAGGGTATTCCCTCTCTCCAGTCCCTCTCGGTGTTCCCAGGCAAGATGAGATATATAATCCCTGCAGCGAATTCTGTGTCTCCCCCGGTATCTCCTCCCAGTTGCATGTGCTTGGAAAACCTCCAAAGCATGACCCTGACCCTTAGAAACTATAGGTTTCTAGTGCTGTGTGTGTGTGTTTGTGTACCTGTTGGCCATGGTCTCCTTCCTCTCCACGATGTAGCCTGTGATTGGTTTTCCTCCGTCGGCAGGAGGCTCCCAGCTGATGAGGGCGGAGTCGTGGTAAACTTCCTTCACTGTGGGCTGTTTAGGAGCGTCGGGCACCTCTGTAATAGAAACCAAACAGTTGCATTCGTCAGACAACTTGCTTGTCATCTTTACTACTTGCTGCTGTTGGTTAAAACTCTTTCAGAATGGACTCTTTGGCAGTTTATGTGTTAGTCTATTTGTAAGGACTTACTGAAGACGTCTCTAGCCTTGGTCTCTGCAGACAGCAAGGGGTCGCTAATGCCGTAGATGTTCTGAGCCATGATCCTGATGATGTATTCACGACCCTCGATCAGCTTCGGCACCTGAAAAAACAGACATCAGGATGCAAACATCAGCACTGAAGAGTTACTGAAGAGTTTCTCACTCTCAATACTCTTTCAGTGGCAATTAAAATGTGTCCATAGAACTGAGTATCAAAACAATCTGAAATAAAACATCTAAATCACAAATTTCTAATATTGTCGACGGTCCAGAAATAGATCAGATAGTTCCTTATTTCAGTTTAAGACTAACTAAAACTTTAAATTTGTCTTTTAATTCTTGTACAGTTGCTTGTACCTTTGTAACATTTGTGAATATTTAACTCTTTTATTAAATTAAAAGAAGGGTTTTAAAGTATTGTTTTCATATCAATTCTGAAACTCTGACACAGAAATGTATTGTAACATTACTAGTATTGATGCATTATATAAAATCAGTCCAATATTCACTGGATTTTACCAATTTTTATACCTACAAATAACCAGCATCTGGAACATGACAGTATGTATTGTTGTTGAGCCTGTTTGCAGTTGTTGGTTGCCTAAGTCTCTTTTCTTGCTGGTGAAGCCTTTAAAATTTTTGGTAAATTAAATAGTTGACCTCAAGTGATCTCAAGTTAATCTTTTCCTCTGAGCATTTCAGTGCTGATCTGCCCACCTTGCAGGAGGTCCTGGTGCAGGACGAGGTGACAGGCATCCACAGGTCTCTGTTGGTGTCTCTCTTCTCGATGATGTAGTTGGAGACAGCGCAGCCTCCGTCATCCAGAGGAGGGTTCCAGGAGATCACCATGTAGTTCCTGTAGACCTCGTTGAAGACCACGGGGCCCTCCGGAGGCTGAGGACGGTCTGACAGGAGGAAGCATTTATACAGGTGACTTTCTATGTTTTTACACTTTGAATATCATTTGGTTTAAAAATCTGGAATTATATTGGAGTATGGCACTGATATCGTTTTTTGTCCATCAATTGAATTTTGAATTTCAAGTCATATTGAGTTTTTATTTCCCAACTATGTTATCCCTCATATCTTGCTTAATAATCTGAGGAGTGATAGAAATATTGCTGCAGATTTGTCAATGACATTCCTTTCAGCTTTTAGGTGCTGAAGTGCTCAATATATCTTGTTGTACATACGAAATCCTTCAGTGCTGACACTAAAACATCCATGAGAAGTCCGTTAATTTGCTTTGAGCTTGAGTGGAGCAGCGACTCACCAACCACGGTGATGGTGCAGATTCCTGTGCGAGGTCCGGCGGCGTTTTCCACGCTGACGCAGTAGCGGCCACTGTGCTCTCTCTTGGCCTTGCTGATGTTGAGGCTGAGGTGGTGGCCGGTGCTGTGGAGGCCGATCTCCTCATCCGCCTTCAGCTCCTCATCATTCTTCGTCCAGGTGATAGCCGGGGTGGGTTTTCCAGTGTAGCGTCCCGACAGTGTGCAGCTGTCTCCTACCTTCACCATCATCTTGTCCCTGAAGTCCAGGTCCAGAGTAGGTGGTTCTGAGGGTCGACAACAGTTAGACATTTTATACATTACTCCTTTTTTATTATGCATATGTGATGTTTTTGATGCAGTATATATGAGTAATGACTCACTAGTGTTATCGTTCAGAATTTCAGTCTATAACCCTTTCTAAGTCCCGCACCTTTTGGAACCTCGGTCAACTTCCTTATTCTTTGTACTTAGATATGCTACGTGCTAAGCTAATCTATGTTAAAAAAAGACAACCACATTTTGAAGATGGTTCAAAAATAAAAGGGACATATACTGTATATAGTCACATCTTAAGTTAGCTAATGTTAGCGAGCCAATCACATCCCATTTTGCTATTAGCTATCAGATGTAACTTGCTAGCTAATGATTACTAATTATGGATTAGCTAGCTAATTTGCTATCATTTTGCCAACATTTGCTAACTTAAAATGTATGTATGTATATGTCGCTTTTTGTTTCCCAAAATTTGACCAGTTATCAAATGCATCATAAAGCTAAGAGAAAGGTCATCTTCATTTTCCATTGACTGCACGGGTAAAACACAGTATGTTGTTTCAGTCAAACAGGTTTCATCTTTTTAATAAAATAAATTATGTTGTTGTCGTGTTGCATCACTCACCAAGCTCGTCCTTGCACTGGACAGGTTTGGTGGCAAAGGACGTTTTGCCCTGCCCCACCTGGTTGATGGCAGAGACTCTGAACTCGTGGCTCGAGCCATCTTTCAGCCCTGTCAGTGTGAACTTCTTGTCCATCAGCTTGTCCTCTGCACCTATTCGTACAAAGGTGTCCCGGCCGATCATGCGGGACTCGAGGACGTACTCGGTCACCTCAGCACCGCCGTCGTACTTGGGCGGTCTCCAGGTGACAGAGATGGAGTCCTTGGTAACAGCGGTAATAATCAAGTCCTCTGGACGCTCCGGGACAGCTGCAGAAGACACAAGCTCTTTATAGCTATTTTCTTTTATTCAACTACTGTCGAGGCTGTATTGGCTTCAATAAAATTAAATATAATAAATAAACACTAAATGTGACAAGTTCCTTGTAGTAAGAAAACTTATAAAATAACATATGAAACAAATACTTTAATACTTTCAAATAATTCTATAGAAATGATCTGATATGCAAATTTAAGATCATTACTTTAGGGATTCGGTACAGACATTTTCACTGACTGCATATTGATATAATGTGTGTCTGACTTACAGATAGGGTCCTTGATGAGAACCATTTTGTCGGTCTCGATGAAAGGTCCCATTCCGATGATGTTCTCGGCTGCGATCCTGAAGAAGTAGCCCTTGCCGTCAATGAGTCCCTGCACCACAGCGTTGTTCCTTGTGACAGTGTATGACACCGACGTCCAGCCCATGCGGTCCGACTCCCTCTTCTCGATGATGTAGTTGGTGATGGCAGAGCCACCGTCATCCTCAGGGGAGTACCAGGTCAGTTTGCAGGAGTCGTTGGTCAGATTCTCGCCAGCAAAGGGAAGGCCGACTGGTCCGGGGACGTCTGGAGGGAGGAGGGATTGGACAGAAAGTCAGAGACTGGTAAGACAGTTTGAATAAATATATCCATACCTCAGAGGGAAGTTGCATGTCAAGTAAAGCAGCTTGGTGCATCATTTATATGTAGGAAAACAGATTGAAGTCACTTGTTAAGATGTGGTGTTACTGTGGTGTCATCCCCTGGTAATCCTATGTATAAACCATAGTTTATAACTTAACCTCATATAATATTACATTTTAATTTGATCAATTGTACGTGGCTTCAAGCATCATTACTTATCTACTATTAGTTAAAGAAATTTAATTTCAGACACTCTCTCAACTTTTCCAACTTCTACTTTCTACTTTTATTGTCATTTGAGTTAATTAAATGATTCCAGAAGATTATATATTTTGTTTTACTTTAATTTGGTGTTCATTTCTTAAAATCCTGCCAATTTTTCCACTGTATACAAACGTTATTTGGAATTCTTACCAGAACAAAATAATCATCTGTAAATAATATACTCCTTTTGGTTTACCAGATTCCTTGTTCTATTTACTATTAAAGACTCTGATGACTCACCCAGGACCTCGACAATGACGGCCTTTTTCCTCTCTCCTCCTTCGTTCTTGGCGCTCAGGGTGTAGATGCCCTGGTGTTGGCGCCTGCAGTTCTTGATGATCAGTGAATTGGATATGCCTGTTTTCTCTACCACGGCCTCTTTGGGCACCTCGGCGTCGTCACGGCACCAGGTGATCTGTGGCGCGGGTTTGCCGGACACGTAGGCGATGATGCGTATGGTGCCACCGGCGTGGACCACGATCTTCTCCTTCACTGAGGCATCCAGGTCCATCTCAGGAGGAACTGGAGAAGGATGAGGTGACGTAAAATTTGTCAACTGGCTCCAGAAGATGTCATTTATTTTAGTCTTGTTCTTTTAGGAATATGGATATTTGTGCTTTTACATCCCAATATATTGTTTCTGATTTTACCTTTTCATATTAAAATGTGTCGTTTTCTTACAGTGTATGTATTTTATTCTTACTCTTCTACCAAAAGAATACAATACTATATCATCAATTTGATCCTACTTCTTGCAAAATCACATGAATCTGGCCTCAACAGATCAATTGTTCTCTACTGTTATTGTTATTAATTGATGGATCCAGTGCATTACATTACTGCCACACTAAAATATGAAATCTATCCAAACCTTAAATTTATTTACTGTGTACATTTCTGTTAACTATATATAATTTCTGTCTGTGTCCCCTGGTGCTAAAAACAAAAGTCCAGACTTCCTGCTCTTATGTGGATCAGATTCTTACTTGTTCTGTCTTTGACCTCGATCAGCTCAGCCACGAATCCTGGTTCTCCGACTCCAGCGGCGTTCACAGCTAGGACTCTGAAGCGGTACAGACCGCCTTCCTTCAGACCGGCCACCACGAACTTGGTTCCTCTGATCTCTGTGTCCTTCCCCTGGAAAGCGACAAAAACTAATAATCAGCAATGCTCAGGAGCTTTTGCTTTTGTTTGATCTGTTCATTTTTTAAGGGATCCCTAAAAAAAGGAATATTAAAACTATGAAGCTACTTTACTGTAATGGTAGGATTTAAGGTGAGGAAAAAACTGCACAGTAAAGGAATGAGTGACAGAAAACTGGATGAGACATTTGGAGCTGTTACAGTTTTGTTTTTCTTACCTTCTCCCATGTCTCCTCGGCCTCGGGCTCCTTCTCCTCATCAGCGTCACTCAGCAGCAGCCTCCTTTGAGCTTTCTTCTCCTCCTCCTCCTTGTTCACCTCCTTGTACTCCACAATGTAGCCTGTGACCTTTGACCCTCCGTCCAACACAGGAGGGATCCACTCCAGCTCCACCGTCGACTTCGTCCAGTCCGTCACCTTCGGGATGGGTGGTCCAGGAGGCTCTGATCACACACACACACACACACACACACACACACACACACACACACAGATAAATGCTGTAAGTTTTCTATCAACATTATCAGAACAGACTTCTAGAAGTCATAATTTAATATATTTACATGATCATGTTACAAGATCATGTACTTTATTGAGCTTGAAGAACCTGTCTCTTTAATAATAAAATGAAAGCTGAAATAATGGCGCTGCACTCACTGATGGGGTCTCTGCAGAGTACAGGGTCGGAGGGCAGGCTGGGCAGACCACAGCCAGCAGCGTTGACAGCAATGACTCTGAACTGGTACATGGCGCCTTCCAACAGGCCGGTGACGTCCCAGTTGTTGCCCAGTGGCAGCGCTCGGATCGGGTCGCGGTTGACGCGGGCCCAGCGCTTGGAGGTGGTCTCCTTCTTCTCGATGATGTAGCCGGTGATGGAGGAGCCGCCATCGTACTTGGGCTCATCCCAGTTGACGGTCATCGACTCCAGACAGACGTCAGTCACGGTTGGTTTCTCACATTGACCCGGGACGGCTGCAAGAGGACGGGACAGTCATCAATAATCTGTTTTACTTTGACTGTTTAAAATAACAAATAATAATCTCAGTAATAACTTCTAACTAATATAATATCTATAATCTGACAAGTAAACTTACTGAAGAGGTTTCTGGCTTTCTCCGGCTCGCTGACCAGCGGAGGCCCAACTCCGAACTTGTTCTGGGCCATGACTCTGAACTCGTACTCGTGGTTCTCAGTGAGGCGTGTCACCACGTAGGCGCATTCCTTGGGGTCATTGGAGACATGGACCCAGGACTTCCTGTTTTCCTCGCGCTTCTCAACCACGTAGTTGGTGATCTTGGATCCACCATCGTCTGCGGGAGGGTTCCAGGCCAGGCCAATCCTCTCCGCAAACACCTCAGTGAACTTGAGGGGTGCGACAGGAGGGCCGGGAGGTCCTGCAGGGGGAGGGAGGGAGAGAGGGTGAGTCACATTGGTTTTATGATTAAGCATAAAGATTTTGGTCTCTGGTAATATAATGTGTTTTTACTGGATACGAAGGACAGAGGTTAGATTTATGCTTCACTACTAGGGGTTTGCTTTTAATGTTACAAACGTGACAATATCGACTAACGTTAGCTGGAGTTGTTGGAGTGTAAACTTCCTCAAATCCAAAATAATCAGTGAAGATCCTCCAGGAGTGGGATGTGGTTATTTTTTTACAACCCTACAACTAGCTAATTGGCTAATTATTATAAGTAATGTTCGGTTACTGTTGTAGGTGGTAAGCTAGCTACCCGGAAATGCTAATTATTGCAGTGCAGAAAAACCCATTTCTGTATCAGTGAACATTTCTTACTACAGCGCCATGTATTGAACAATACTTTTTTGAGGGAGGAGCTTAACAAAAACTAATCATTCCAGCAATAAAACTTCATTTAAATGACGGCATGTTAAGTATTCGTGTTCTTCACCAAGCACGGAGAGCTTGATGTCCTTGGTGACGGTGCCCAGGCTGTTGCTTGCCGTCAGGCTGAAGAGGGCGCTGTCGTTCCTGCTGGCCTGCTGGATTAGCAGCGTGCACTTGTCCTGGGTCACCAGTTTGTTGATGTGCTGGTCGTACTTGACAGCAGCCTTCTCCTCAGGTTTGGCCAGGCTGGCTTTCTGCCAGGTGAGTGTGGGGAACGGACAGCCGCTCACCTTCGCCACAATGCTGACATCACAGCCCTCCTCACCCTCCATGGCCTCACGCAGCTCAATGGTGGGAGCACCTGCAGAAACAAAGGCCAACAGCTTATAGCTAATATGTTTTAAATTCTTTCTGAGGCTCACAGTCCCAGATGTTCATGAGCCACTTGTATATCAGAAACATGCAATTTTAAACTTCTGTCCACTGCGATATGAAAATATTTAACTTGTGCTTGTACAGTTTGAGCTGAAGAAGATGAAACAGGTTTTTGAGCAGCCTATCACTCACATGTCTGATCCTTGATGACCAGGGGTCCAGCGGTGGCAGAGGGTCGGCTGGGTCCAGCAGCGTTCACAGCTTTTACTCTGAACTCATATTCTGCTCCCTGTAGATCAACAGCAGTAAGTACAATCAATAATGTCTTAATGATTAATAATTAATGAAGGCAGGAAGTAGCAAAGTGAGAGGTGGTGATCCTTTGAAGACTGACCTCCTTCAGGTCCTCAACCACAAAGGTGAGTTCCTCCACTTCTCTCTTGTTGCACTGCTTCCAGGTCTCCTTCTCCTTGCCACTGGTGTCCCAGCTCAAACGCTCAATGATGTAATGCTTCACTGGAGAGCCACCATTGTTTTTGGGAGCCTCCCAGGTCAATGTAACGGTGTTCTTTGTCACCAGGTTGACCTTCACCTTGGTGGGGGGGTCGGGTGGGTCTGAGGAGGAGGCAGAGGAAGATTAGCGTGAGGACAATTCCAGTGAGTTTTTGAGAGTTTTTGCTGTATGTATGTAGTTGGAATAGTAGGTCTGTCCTTACAGATGGGGTCTCTGGCCCGGACAGGTTCAGTGGTGACAGTGAATGGGCCGAATCCAAGTCTGTTCTCAGCTCGGACCCTGAACAGGTAGTCCTGACCTTCTAGCAGGCCTGGAACCACGTAGGCTTGGCTGGCACAGGCTGCATTCACCTGATGACAAATCAATCAATCCATAAGTTAATAAATCACAAAAATACTCAATATTTCCTTTAATAGACCACAGACATTTTGTTAAGTTGTAAAGTGTTTGGTTTTGATTAAGCTAGGCTTAGCAGTTGTCCTAGCTTTCAGTCTTTGTGTTAAGCTAGGCTAATCACATCCTGGTGGATGTATATCATGAACAAATTGAGACAAATTGAGAAATGGACTGAGTAATGTTTACCTTTGTCCAGGCCTTGTCAGTGATACATTTCTTCTCAATAAAGTAGCTCTTGATTCTCTCTCCTCCGTCAGTGTCAGGGAGTTTCCAGATAAGCCTCATTGTCGCACGGGTGATGTCAGTAACCCTCAGCTCCTTTGGAGCTCCAGGGACGTCTGCCCCCAGGAAAGAATTACAGTCAAAAAGATCCAAAAGCAACAAAACAATGACCCCAACATACCATCATAAGACTCTGCCACTGTGATTCATTTAGAGAAAAAAACAACTCAGGTTTGAAGTGCAACAATTTAGGGATGTATGCAAGGTCCAGGTCTGTATACAAACAACATAGACATACCAAGGACGATGACTCTGACATTGACGTGTTTCTGTCCGGACTTGTTCTTGGCAGTGATGGTGTAACGTCCAGAATGGCTCCTCAGACTAACAGGGACTGTCACAATGGACGTGGTGTCAGTGGACTCAATCTGAATACACAAAAAAGAAAATGAGAAAATAAGACTAAAATCCATAAAACATGATCACAACTGATCTTTATAGAATATAGTATCCTTTTAAACATATAATTTAAAAATCAAAAGCAGGAGTGTTATAATTACATTCTTTCTTTGTATTGGTTGGTTGTATGAAATCCTTTACTGAACATTGCTTCACAAACACATTGTTTTATCACATAAAAGTATAGTGAAAAGGAGATTTTGCTGGAATCATTGTGTTGCTGTGTTGGGTCTCACCTCGGAATCCACAGGCAGTGTGTGCAGTTTGTTCTTCTTGTGGGACTTGGCTTTGCCAGTAAAGTCCCAGGTTACTTTGGGAGCAGGGCGGCCCTTGATGGTGGCGGGGATCCTGATTGGATCTCCAGCACGGATGCACAGCAGATCATCTACGACTACGTCAATATTGATGGAAGGTGCAACTATAGAGTAAGAAATATTGGAGGAAACATCAGTAAAGGATAGAAATACCTTCAGACAATGATGAAAGTTACTTTAAAGACTTTAAAGTAGGACATACGCTGGACGTCTTCAATCAGAACCTCGCTAGTGCGGGGGCTGGGGTCGGACTCGCCGATATCGTTGACAGCGATGATCCTGAAGCGGTGGCGTTTCAGCGCACGGAGGTTGGGCACAGTGAACTCAGTGGTGGGGTGCGGTGATTCTGGGTCGTTCACACTCATCCACTCTGATGTGCCCTCACCCTGGATCTGGATGATGTAACCCTTGATGGGGCTTCCTCCGTCCCTCTCTGGTGGCTTCCAGGACAGGGTGACACTGTACTTTGTCTTATCGACCACCTCAGGAGCAGCGGGCATGCTTGGAGGAGCTGGAGGGGAGAGCAGCAGTTTGTAAAAATAGTGTCCAAGGAAAATCTAACTTATCATCTTTCAAAATACAGAGGAAGAAGGATTTATGTAGGACTATGTAGAACTATTAGGAGAAGGCTGTTGCTTTGTACTCACTGATTGGATCGACAGCGAAGGCAGAGTCGGAAGGTCCACTGAATGGTCCAGTTCCTGCAGAGTTGCAGGCAGCAACCCTGAACTCATACTCTGTTCCTTCAAACAGACGAGTCACCTGAGAGACACAAAAAAGATGAGGGGATTCAATAGACATTCCTAAAGGACTGTGACCTTCCGTTCTGAAGGTCTGTGAGGGATCATCCTAAGGGTCTGTGAGAGATCATCTTGAAGGTCTCAAAGGACCTTCTTAATGGTCTTTGACATACCCTTTTTAAGGGCTATAATGGAATTTACTAAAAGTTTGTGATGGACCTTCCCAAAGGTCTCTACCACACCAGCCTAAAGGTCTATGAAGGACCATCCTTTCTAAAGGTCTGCTTGGGTATATCCTGAGGTTCTTTGTAGAAGGTTCACAAATTTCAGATCTTACACTACAAAGACGTTTCTTTAATCAGTGAAATTTGGAGCTGTAAACACTAAGGCAATAATTTAAATTCAATTTGAAAAATAAATTCTATGCTAACACAGAAACAACCCCATAGCAGCTTACCTGGTATTCCCAGCCTTTCATGCCCCTCTTGGTAACCGGCATCTTGTTGACTCTGGCCCAGTAGTCGGTGCCTTTCTCCCTCTTCTCCAGCCAGTAACCAATAATCATAGAGCCGCCGTTGTCCCTGGGTGGCTCCCAGTTTAGGGTCATGGAGGTCTTGGAGTATTCTGCAACGGTTGGTTTCTCCGGTGGCCCGGGAAGGCCAAATGGATCTGTGATCTGGACTTCTTCTGTTGAGCAGGGGTCAGATTTGCCGTAGCGATTCTCGGCTCTGACCCGGAACAGGTAGGTCTTGTTGGTCTCTAGGTTCCATACCTGAGGGAGGGGGAGGTGGAGTTACCATTAGAGTAAAGGGGTAAGGGCTTTACAGGCCTATGACAATCCCGTTATCATTATCATTATTGTTGTTGTTATGAAGACATACCCCGTATTTCTTCTCAATTATGCTGTTGGTAACCTCCACCCACTGTGGTTCCGGAGGAGCTTCCTGTCCCTCTTCCAGCTCTGGCTCCTCTGTTACCACGTCCTTCCTCTCAACAATGTAGTTGGTTAGTTCGCTGCCACCATTATCCAGTGGTGCGTCCCACTGGAGGTAGCAAGATTCTGCCCTAATGTTAGACACTGTGATATTCCTGGGTGGAAGTGGCCGGTCTGAGGAGAGCAAAATACATTTAGTACATACTATATTGTAAATACTAATAAACACATCCTGTCTTTTCTGTCTTTGATTGAGTCAGTGACATGTTTCAACCTACCTAGAACCATGACAAAGATGGTGTGCTTGGCTGAGCCCATGTTGTTGGAGGCAGACACAGTATAGCTGCCACGGTCCCTTCTGTTGGCTGTTGGGATGGACAGTGTGGTCTTGCAGTTCATCCTGCCAGTATCTACTGTCTCTATCAGCAGAGCCTCGGTGGGCGTGTCAATCAGTACGTCATCCTTGGTCCACTCGACCTTGGGGATGGGCAGGCCGAGGACATCAGCAGGGATCTCAATGGGCTCACCCTTCTTCACGGTAATGGAGTCGCCCTTGAAGTGCTTCAGCATGTGGACCTCAGGAGACACTGAGAAGGATAGGAACAAATCAGCACAAAGTGAAAAACGCTAGTGTGCACCATTAGCATCTGTAATAATTTCATCAAATTTTTTCTTTCTTGAATAAAGAAACAGACTATTTCAAACATTCAGTCTTACCTTCATCGTCTTGGATGACCACAGTTAACGGGATGGATGGCTCGCTCTCTCCGATTAGGTTGGCGCATTTGATCCTGAACTCATACATCCAGTCCTCCTCCAGACCCTCCACGGTCATGGTCATGTTGGGGCAAATCACTGTGTTGCAGGGCTCGAAGGCCTGCTGGTCCTGCCTCTTCTTCTCAATAAAGTAGCCGATGACAGGGCTGCCACCATCATTACGTGGTGGCTTCCAAGAAAATGTGATGGAGTTCTTGGTGCGTTCAGTGTAGTGGAACTTCTCGGGGTATGATGGTGGGCCTGCATAACCACAACAACAATGATTAGTAAGTAGAAATCCAATTTTCTACCAAGATTACTTCTGAAGTCTTCAGACTCCTCGCAAGGAATAATACTAGACATTTATTTCCGAATCAAAATCAAGCAATTTTAGGACTCACCCTGTGGGTCCACAGCCTTAATGGGTCCCAGCTCAACGGGCGGGCCCATGCCATACTTGTTCTTGGCGATGACCCGGAAGAAGTACTCCTGTCCCTCCATTATGCCCACGCATTCACACTTGGATGAGGCAGTTTCAACAGGCTGCCTCCATGTGTGCATCTTGGCATCTCTTCGCTCCACAATGAAGCCGGTCAGGTCGCTACCTCCGTCATCCTCTGGGTCATCCCAGTTCAAGAAGATCATCTTGCGAGTGACAACAACAGGCTTCAGGTCTGTGATGGGTCCGGGGACATCTGAAAGTAAAACAAAATAATCCCTCTGTGTTCATTTTTATTTCATAGCATCAATTAATTGCAAGTTAACTGTCAAGTCTTATTATTAAGTCCCGCCCTGTATTCCTCAACTTCCACTCACCCATGACCTCCACTCTGATGGAAGCACCCTTAATGCCACTGGGGTTGCAAGCAGAGATGTGGTATTTGCCACTGTCCTTCCTCTGAGCTTTCTTGATTGAAACAACGCTGTCGTTGCCCTCAGTGAGGATCTCCACACGGTCTTTGTCAGGTTTGGCATCGTCTTTGGTCCAGGTGATGGACGGGTATGGTTTACCTGTGACTGTAGCAGGTACACGGAGTATCTCTCCAGCTCTGATTATCACACCATTCTTGATGGACAGTTCCAGTTCAATCAGAGGCACCTCTGTGGAAGGCAATCAGCAGCCAAGGAGGTAAGCCAACAACGACAAAAAAAGCTTTAAGATTTCCATTGACATTGAATCAGACAGCAATTGATCTAGCGATCCCAATTTCAGTCTCTTTATTTTCTTCTACTGACCTGCAGGATTCCTGACGAACACAGACTCTGTGAATCCTGGTGTTCCCTCTCCAGCAGCATTGCAGGCAATGACTCTGACCAGATACTTGGCTCCCTCACGAACTCCATAGACAGTGAAGGCGCGGTTCTTCCAGGGACGTTCTGTAGACCTGGACCAGTCCTTGCTCCCAGCCACGGCCTGAAGAACACCGGAGAGCAAACATTTGTCTCAATTGAAATCAAGACAGTTAGGTTCTTGAGTTGAGAAAGTCTGATTCATCACATTTGAATCTGCAGCTACTGCGAGGTAGGAGGCTGAAAACAAATGTAAGTAAAGCTGAAAAAGTATCAAGTGACTTGATCTGACCTTATCCACGTGGTATCCCAGGATGTCTCCTCCACCGTTGTCAACAGGTGGGTCCCATTCCACGTCAATGGAGTGGTCGGTGGTTGTCACCACTCGGGCAACTGGAGGTCCAGGAGGTACTGAAGTGTCAAATAAACATAGATGGTACATGTTAACTCTGGGACTGACTATATTTCGATGGACATAATTCATCCTGTTCATGATTCGAGTTTTCTGAGTACTGTCTATAGCAGTATTTAATCAGAGTCATACTGAACACAAGTATTAAACAGTTTACGTACGGATCGGAGCCTGGGCTGTCTTGGGTTCGGAGGGGGGACTGAACTTTCCAGGTCCGGCTTGGTTTTCAGCCGCCACCCTGAAGATGTAAGTCAGACCCTCCAGTAGACCTTCAACATTCAGCTCAGTGTCATTGACGATGTTCCTGAAGAGCAGGACAGAAGGGAACATTCAGAAAACTGGCAAATATATTTTTAGTAAAATTAAGTCAATACCAACTTTTTGAGTGTGAGTCTCAATAGAGAAAATAAAGTCTTTGTGTTTCCCCACCTGTTGACACGTGCCCAGTGCGAACTGTTGATCTCACGGCGCTCCACCCAGTATCCCAAGATGGGGCTGCCGTTGTCGTTTGGCTCGTTCCATGTGACCAGCATGCTGTGGGCTGTAATGTCATCAATCTCCGGCTTGTCAGGAGCCTCAGGAGGTTCTGAGGAGAACGAACGGAAGAGACAGCAGAAAAAAATTAAGTCAGACTCGATTCATGTTGAGTTTTCTTCTTTGTTTTTTTCCATGTTTTTTTTTGCCCTTTTAATGCCAGAAAAAAATATATTATTAGGGAGTGAGTAGTAAGCTAACAACAGTGGCAAGTCTACATAAGTTAAGTAGTGATTTACCACACAGGGTAAGCAAAAAAAATGTAATATTATAGATACTCACAAACAATGTAAGCTTTCAGTAAGAAGAATTTATTAATAACTATTTGAAAATGTATTTGTTAAAGCAAAAGTCACATATGTAAAACAGACTTGGCATAAACAGGAGTAATAATAAATAATACCATACCGAAAGGATTCTTGGCGATGAGTGGTTTGGAGATGCAGTATGGACCAGCACCAAACTTGTTCTCAGCCACAACCCTGAAGATGTACTCCTTTTTCTCGATGAGTTTGGGCACCAGGTAGCGGCAACCTCTCAGTGTGGAGGTGACGCAGCTCCAGCCGATCTCCAGCTTTGAGTTGTCCTTCTTCTCCAGAGTGTAGTTGAGGATCTCACTGCCGCCATCGTCCAGAGGAGGATCCCACTTGCAGATAACAGAGTTCTTCCTCACTTCCTCAAATTTGAAGTTCACAGGAGGCCCAGGAGTATCTGCAGACAGAAAAAAGAATGAAATGAAATATCTAAAAGCTACAGTAGGTCTTTATATTGGAGGATACTATAAATGTTTGAACGAGGACTACTTGGATGATCTGTCCAGACATGGGATTATATACAGTGTGCCTTTGTAAAGACATTTTTTTCTTTACATTAAGTAATATGTGTGAACCATCAAGCCATTTAGTTACATTTACATTAATCGTTGCACTGAGTTTAGAAACAGCTTGATTTTTAGTTGCATAAATTACAGTATCGTCTGTATACATCTGAACAGGAGAGGTCCGAGGATGGGTCCCAGGGGTACGCCATAATTTATTCATACTTCATTTCATAATTTAATTTCACATGTCTGCTGTTGAAACTCATAATCACTTATTTTATTGAGTAATTTACCTAAATATGTTAAAAATCACAAATTTCTAATTTCAAAAATGGCAAATCTGCTATTTTCTCAATTAATCAATAAATAATTTTGTCTATAACATATCATAAAAAAGGGAAAATTATTATTCTCATCATCATTTCCTGAAGCTTGATGGCTTGTTTTGTCCAATCAATAGACAAAACAATATTTGGTATTTTTACTTGAAAAATGGCTTAATTGATTAAACAATTATCAAAATATATAAATAAGATTTATTGACAAATTGTTTCAGCTCTAGTTATGTACCCCTAATTCCTATATATACCGGGATATATGTACCGGGATGTAAATGTAGTGCATTTTTAGGATAATTCATTCTTTTTTTCATTAAAAGTTGTGTATGTTTTTAGAAATGCATGGATATGTATTTTTTTTCTGACATTAAACACAGAAAAAAGAAGAATTCTCACCGAGCACGTTGACCTCGCAGGTTGCCGAGGCGATGCCGTGGTCGTTCTCCACCTTCACCATGTAGACACCGTGGTCGGCGCGGATCGAGTCCTTGATGACCACAGAGGACTCGCCCCTGTGGCTGTTGTTGATGGTCAGACGTTCGTTTATCGTCGGGTAGTCGGTCTCCTCCACCTCAGGCGCTGCTGCCTCCTCTTCCTTCTTCTCCTCCTCCTTCTTCTCCTCTTCCTTCTTCTCCTCTTTCTTCTCCTCTCCTTCCTTCTTCTCTTCTCCTTCCTTCACCTCTCCAGCCTGCTCTTCTTTCTTCTCGGCCTCTCCCTCCTCCTTCTTCTCCTCTTCTTTCTTCTCTTCCTTCTTCTCTACCTTCTTCTTCAGGGGTTTTTCGGGCCTCTTGCGGAGCGGCTCAGGCCGGATCACCTGGTTGTTCCAGTACCAGGTGATCTGAGGGTAAGGGGCGCCAGAAATGTTGGCGTTCAGGCAGATCTCACAGCCTCGCTTTACGCTGAGACCGGACTGCAGGCTGCCACTCAGGAAAACCTTCGGAGGATCTGAGAGAGAACGAAAAATTAGAATTAACAAAACATACAGCTGAAAACTGCACAGCAGCATTATTATTAAAGAAACATCTACAAAACATTTGCTTGCTGTAATGAGAACTGTGACACACAACCTTTAAAACAGCTTCTTAAGTTGTGTTTATTGCTTTTATGTCTTTTGTTTCAAGTTCACGATACAGGTTCTGACTGAGGCTTGCTCAACTGTTATTGGAGCCAGAGCAAAAAGGGGCGGGACTTTACAGGCAGTTTACAGGAATACATTTGCCTTGCAATGAGACAGTAAAACATTTTTTTTGAGGTCTTCAAGAACTGATGTCATCCTTACCGATGCTGTCTGACGCTTTGACGAATAGCGTGTTGCGTGACGGCTCGCTAACCCCGGCGGCGTTTTCGGCTTTGACTCTGAAGGAGTAGTTCTTGCCCTCCGTCAGCCTTCTGACGGTGTAGGACAGAACAGGCACCAGGAAGTCGTTGCACCTCTCCCACTTGTCCTCTCCCTTCTGCTGCTTCTCCAGGGCGTAGCCCATGATCTTGGCGCCACCGTCGTACATGGGTGGCTTCCAAGTCAGAGTGATGGTGCTTGATGTGGGGTTATGGGTCTCCACGTCCACCGGTGGGTCAGGAGCATCTGGGACGAGAGACGGATTTCGGTTTGACTGACCGCAAACTTATTTGTAAAAGTGCCAGTGTGGCTCTTTAACAATTAATACAAAATACATTTTCTTGCATTATATCAAACAGGAAATGTTTTCATACGTTTCTGGTCCTCAGCAATGACGGGGTTGCGGAGCTCAGCAAACTCTCCTCCTCCGATCTTGTTGACAGCCTGGACTCTGAAGTAGTACTCTCCATTGGGGATGAGGTCTTTCACGTTCCAGCTCACCTTGTTCTCTCCGGACATCATGTTGACATACGTCCTCCTCCCGGCCTCACGCCGCTGCACACACAAACAAACAAATAAACAAAAGAAAAATCTGTTTCTTTTAGTGCTGTCAGTTTAACCCGTTATTAACAGCATAACGCAAACCCATTTTAACGGCGTCAATTTTTTTATCACGAGATTAACGCCTAGCACGCTTTGTAGTTTTTTTCACATGCTGTTGCAACAACTAGTAACGTTAGAAAAACTACAACACCACACCGGCTAGATCTAGCTAGACCGAAAACAAAACAACAGGCACGCCGCACACACTTGTTTAAGAGTAGTAGACGTTACGTTTTGAGTGGATGGCGAGCGCGAGACGCCGAAATGGATGGATTCCTTGTTGTCTGAAAATGTCAACAGGCTTGTCTGTTTGAGTAACTGGCTCAAAGCAAAGAAGTAGTAGGCTTACCTTTTATTGGTAACCGTTAATGTTCATTCTTTCTGAAATAAGAGGCTGGGTTGAGCCTCTGGTGAATAAAGAGCAGTAGCCTGACTGCTATGTTCAAAGAAAACTTGAGGAAAGTATTAAGCCATGGTTTAACTGCACTATAGGCTGAGTCCTAGTTTACCTTACATTGCACTTTGTAATTTTATTTTGTATCGCCCTGTTTTGATCCCTTAGAAAGGGCTGTTGAAGGGGCTGTTTGTGTGACAAAGTATTTTTTTCACCCTTTTATTGATGGACAGTGTTACATTGTGTGAGAGATTATTTGCTCCAAGTGAGAATGTTAGTGTGAAATTGAACACTACAGTATATGCCAATGTTGTTTCAATAAAAACAACATTTGCACAAAGCACGCCGATCCACTTTTCCATGTTGATAAGAGCATTAAAATGTGAAAAAATAATGGGACAAAAAGAAATCAAGGGACATTTAGAATAGATAAAAATGTGCGATTAATTGCGAGTTAACTATGACATTAATGTGTTTAATCGCGATTAAATATTTTAATCGTTTGACAGCAATAGTTTCTTTCAAACCCAGGTCCTGATCGGATAAGATTATTGATCCCACACTGGGTAAATTACAGCTGCTCAAGATACAACAGAACAGAAAAAATAATAATAATACAAATAGAAAAATAAGAATGTCAGGTTTAAAACCATGCTGCTATCTTGGACCTGCAGGACGTAGTGAAGAATCGGGCTGCCGCCATCGTAGTCTGGAGGATCCCAAGTAACTTTGCAGGAGCTCTTTGTGATGTCAGAGGCCAGGATTTCCTTACAGGGACCAGGAAGACCTGAAGACAGAGCGACAGAGACAGTTAAAGAGTAATCTGCAGCTCAGAGGCCAGGAGACTGACGTCTGTGTGATTACATACCGATGACTTTGACGTTGATGGTGGCGCTGGCAGCTCCTAGTTTGTTCTCCAGAGTCACTTTGTACTGTCCGGCATCGGCGTGAAGGCTGCTTTCAACCTCCAGGTGACAGGAAACATACTCCTTCCTGTTGAACACAAACAATCCCATCAGCTACTGCTGCGCACACTAACAAAAACTACTAGACCACAAAAGACCCTAAAGCAGATCCATTACCTTTTTAGACTAATGTGATTAGTGTAAATTAAATTCATGGTATGGAATTAGAGCTGAAACACCACTGAAGTCATTTTCTAAGCAATAATGCCAAAAATAATTAGGTTCCAGTGTAGACTAAACGATTAGCTGATTATTGGCCGCAAAAATAATCAGCAGATTAATCATTTATTGGTGAATATTGAACAAAAACACTTCAGCTGGTGCAGAGTTTTTGTATAGTCTTTAGTTCTGATATGTTTACTTTTCATCCTAAAAATTAGGCTCCAGATGTAAAAGACTGGAACAGAGGAAATGTCGCACTGACCTGAAGCTGAGGCGTTCGTCGGCCTTCAGCTCTCTGCCGTCTTTGTGCCAGGTGATTCTGGGTGAGGGGATGGCTCTGAAAGGAACTGGGATGTGCAGCTTCTCTGTTTCCACAACAACAAGATCCAGAGTCTGGAATTCCAGTGTCGGGTTACCTGGAAACAGAACATCCGCCTGTTAGTGTCAGTTTGATGATTTACAGAAGGTCGCACAGGAAGTGTGATGCTTAATTGACGGCGTTGTGACTAGTTGACGCTCTTACAGTCGGATTCTTTGGCGAAAACGTTCTCGGAGATGTCAGAGGGCTCGCTGACTCCGATGGCGTTGATGGCCCTCACTCTGAGGATGTACTCCTTCTCGGGGACCACGCCCTCCTCCACGCGGTACTTCAGCTCCTTCACTGGCCGAGAGTTGACCCTCATCCACTTCTCTGTCCCGGCCTCACACATCTCAATGTGGTAGCCGCTGATGGGGCAGCCGCCATCTCTCAGTGGAGGCTTCCAGGCAATGGACAGGAAGTCACGGCTGGCTCCGGTCACGTGCAGCTCGACGGGCGGTGATGGGGTGCCTGGAAAGGACAGGACAAACGGATTTAGACTCTTCTCACACCTTCCCTTATTTTGGTAACTAGCTATTACTCGTTACTGCGCTCACCTGTTGGATCTTCGATGGTGAGGATCTCGGTGGGCTCACTTGGGTGGCCAACACCAGCCTCGTTCTCGGCCCTGACCTGGAACTGAACCTCTGTTCCCTCTATGACGTCTGTCACTCTGTACTTACAGTCTGGACCTGAAGTCTTCCCGCATTTCACCCAGCGGGTTCCAAGCTTCTCCTTCTTCTCCAAGGAATACCTGGAGGGTGGAGCCACCAAAAGGTAAAGACGCTTCATGACTTCTATCAAATCTAAGCTCAAAATTTACTTTTATCGCACTGCCTTCTGTGATTTAATCTGAAATCGGAAATTTTATCCTTTTAATTGAACACATCTAGAGACTATGGGAAAAAATGTATTATATAAAACTAAAATATAGTGACATCGTGTTTTGTTGTGTGTGGAGCAGCAGATAAATCCATCATAAGGATGTCATGAATGTATTTATTGTTAAATATTGCTAATAAAGATTTGGTTGAAATAAAAACCTACCTGAGGATGGGTCTGCCACCGTCGTTTTTAGGAGCCTCCCACTGCAGGTCCACGTATCTTTTGCTCACAGCATCAACGGCAAGGGCGTACGGTGGCCCAGGAGTGGCTGAAACAAAGGGAATAATCTTATTATCATCAATAAAGCGGTTCATGGAGATTTTCTTCATCCTCCTGATTGAAATAATTAACATGTACCTGACTAAGACTTACTGAAAGTGTCTTTGGCCAGCACAGAGTCTGTGAGCTCGCAGAACGGTCCAACACCCACGGCGTTCTCTGCGGCGACACGGAACACGTAGAGCGATCCTTCGTTGAGCGGCGTCACAGTGTACTTCAGCTCCTTCACTGTGGTGTCGACGACCTGCCAGCCTTTACGCCTGACGTCACGCTTTTCCACCACGTAGTTGGTGATTTTGGAGCCTCCGTCGCGCTCGGGAACCGTCCACTTTAACTCGGCGCTGTTCCTGCTGATGCTGACCACGTCCAGCCAACGAGGAGCCGAAGGAGGGTCTGAGGAGATCAACACAAAGATTTACTGTCATATGCTGAATGTGTCAATTAGCCTCTGATATGTTGACTGTATCAAAAATCATATTTACGACATAGTGCACCTAATAGACCTTTCACCGCTTTATTTGTGTCCAAACAGTAAAATGTAGCCACTATATTCATGGTTTTAAAACATTTCCAGAAGAAGTGATATTATTTCCAGTATATTTGGTAATTTATATCAATTTCCAACTGTTTCCATGACTTGGAAACTAGCCTTTAAATTTCCAGGTTTTCCAGGATTTCCAGGACACGTGGGAACCCTGATTATAGTTGTAGTTTGGACTGGAAAAAGATATTATTATTGTTGTTGTTCTTGGTGTGGACGTCCCTGAAGAGTTTGATAGGTTGTGTCTGTTTTATAGCATCCACTTACTGAGTCTCTCTTTGCAGAGCACTGGGTCACTGGGCTCGCTTGGTTCGCTCTCTCCGGCCATGTTCACAGCTCGCACCCTGAATGAGTACTCTTGCTTCTCCATCAGGCCCTTCAGGAAGTGCTCCAAGATGTTGATGTCCTCCGCCACTCGGATCCAGTCTGTGGTACCACTCTTCAGCATCTCAATAATGTAGCCGTCGATCTTCGCTCCGCCGTCGTGCTCTGGTTTGGTCCACATCAGGAAGCAGGAAGTCTTGGCCACGTCCTTCACCGTTGGTTTACCGGGAGGCCATGGAGGATCTGAAAGAGTGAGACAACAATGTTTTTAACTGAAAGGATTTCTGATGCTCATACACAACTAGAGTGAGTATAAGCGCTCTTGTACCGATGGGATCTTTGACAAGGATCTGGTCTGTCTCTTTGCTGGGTTTTCCAGTTCCAGCCAGATTCTCAGCCAGGACTCTGAACTTGTACTTCTTCCTGGTGGGAAGTCCTTTGACTCTGCAGAGGAAAACATGTCACATCAGCACAATGAAATCCAACAAGGAGAGTGTAAAACTAATTTTAGTCAGTGGTCAGTGAGACTCACCTGTAGTTTGTGTCTTTGATGGGCAGCTTGTTGCATCTGATCCACTTGTCGTGGTCGGGTTCGTATCTCTCCACCCAGTATCCTGTGATGGGGCTTCCTCCGTCCTCATCGGGCTCGTACCAGGCCAGACTCAGGGAGTCCTTGGCGATGTCTGAAGCCTCCAGCTTGTAAGGAGCTCCAGGAGTGTCTGAGGACAAGATGCATGAGGTTAGATCTGGCAACTGAAGCCTAGGAGACCCGACTAAATGGGACAAAATTTTCATATTTTAATAAAGACAGGGGCTCTCAGTCAGAAGAGCCATTTGTAGATTTACAATTGGAAACCAGTTAAAAAATCACAGATATTAACTTTATGATGTATATTTCCAGTTCCAGTGACTGATGACAACTTTAAGCATCTACAATAAAAAGCTCAGGACTTTATTATTTTCTTTTGGTACACTGGGAGTGATATTATCTAGGGTCTAGCAGGTTAATTCCTTCTTTTGTCTTGTCAACACTGAACTCTGTTTGACTCACTTTTGTTCATTTTGTTGGTGCTGCAGTAATGTGCGCCAAATTCCCAGATCTACAATTACAACTGCTTATGAATCTGTAGTTAGTTAGATAGCTGCAGCTGTAGCTTCATATTTACCGTACAGACACAGTTTCGAGTTTTGAGTAACAAGGTGTCACAGGGGTGTTTTCAGCAGCTCGTAACTCTTGACAAGAAAGATGTCAAAGTTTCTTTTACGAACAGAAATTCATGTGATGAACCTCAGCTGATGTTCAGGTGACCTACCGAAGGGGTATTTGGCAATGATGGATGGGTGTTCAGCTGGTGGGCCAACACCAAACTGGTTCTCAGCGAAGACCCTGAAGATGTATTCCTTGAACTTGACCAGGCCCACGGGTTTGTACGTGGTCTGTTTAATGGTGGAGGACAGTCTGTGCCAGATCTCGCTGTCGGCAGCTCGGCGTTCCACAATGTAGTTGGTGACTCTGGAGCCGCCATCGTCACGTGGAGGGTTCCAGGCCATGAAGCAGGTCTCGTTGGTGATCTCGGAGATGTCGAAGGCAGCCGGAGGACCGGGCTTATCTGTGTGAGGAAAGTACATTTGAAATTAACCAGGAACTAAGAAAGTCAATATGAAGACCTTTCTCCGTTGTGAACTGGTCTTACCGAGGATGTTGACATCGACAGTGGCAGTGGCACGGCCACTGCTGTTGGTGGCCTCAATGATATAGGTACAGCTGTCGTCTCTCTTGGTCTTGGCGATGGTGACGGTGGAGTGTCCTGGCTTGGTGTCAATGGACACCCTGTCGTCTGGTTTGAGGACCAGGTCGGCCTTGGTCCATTTCACGCGGGGTTCGGGCTTACCTGTCACCTCGGCGGGGAGTTCAATCTTGCTGCCAGCTTTGGCAGTCAGACCAGCCAGTAGCTTGGCGTCCAGCTGGATCTCTGGAGGCTCTGCATGTACATTACGGACGTCAGTCAGAAGTTGAACTATTAACTTTATCAGAAACTGCTGTACTACATCAATGTGTATTTCCCAGCATGCCACTATGTGTAGTCAGTGTGTGGTATAGAACCCCCTCTGGTGTTCAATGTTGGTAATAAAATTTGAGTGAATCATATATTATAAATGCCATGTAGAATATAAGCATATAATATAATTAGGATGATTCCTCGTCACTCTATTTCTGGGTACCTTTGGGATCAACGGCCTGGATCTCGTCGGTGGCCTTGCAGGGCTGGCTGGCTCCGAGTCGGTTCAGGGCACGGACTCTGTACGAGTACCACTGGCCCTCAATCAGACCCGTCACCTGGCATTTCAGCTCAGGTACCATGTCTCCGCAGGGCTCCCACTTATCAGTTCCTCTCTGACAGCGGTCCACGTTGTAGCCTCGGATACCCGTGCCACCATCGTACTTTGGCGGCTCCCAGGTCAGGAAGATGCCACTGGCCGACTTGTCTCTCCACCTCAGGTTCTCGGGAGGGTCGGGGATGGCTGGAAACAAAAAAGACAGAGGGGTTAGAAAGTTCCTGACTTGGAAATGAGTATCTCTTTTACTGGAGCTCCACAGACACAACATGGTGAAAATCCCACTCGTTCGCTGTGACTCACTGGCAGGAGAGGAGACGTTGACAGGCTCGTCGATGTACGCCGGCTCTCCTGGTCCACACTTGTTGCAGGCGGTGACTCTGAATAGATACTCCTTCCCTTCAACCACGTCGGTAACGGTGAACTCCAGATCCTGGATTCCTGTGACCACCTGAAAGAGAGAACAGAGAAATAGATTTAATTACTGTCAGACGTCAGGTCAAAGAGTTAGTTCTGACATTCATGGAGTCATTGGCAGAACTCACTGCTCTGGATATTAGAACGGCTCTTTTTAAAAAGTAAATTAAACACCTTTTTTTAAATCCGCTTACTTGAATGTTAAAGCCTTTGTTTTTAGGTTTTAATTATTGTTTTCTACATTATTTGTTCCCCTGGTGTTTATTTTTATATCGACATTTTATTGTTTCTATTGTATTTATTTTCAGCAAAAGGTTACTTATTGTTGTTCATTTCTATTTTTATGTGTTGTTTCTGTTTGTTATGTGAAGCACTTTGGGCTGCATGTTTGTATGTGAATAAAGTTGAGGTGTCAGGTGTTATAACAAAGGACTTTCTCCTGGACAGTGATCTCCATATTAAGATGAATTACTGTGGAATACAGATGTTAATGACGTACCTTGACCCAGGTCTTGCGGGACATGTCCCGTTTCTCCACCTGGTAGCCGGTCAGAGGGCTTCCTCCGTCGTGCTCTGGAGCCTCCCAGCTCAGGTGGACGTGCTGCCGGGTCACCTCCAAAACCTTAAAGTCCTTCGGAGCGCTGGGCGCCGCTGGAGGACGCAAACAGAAACACAATGACACCGAATTTTTAACAAGAAGTAAAAACAGCTTCAGCTTTGCTCTGGACTATAAAATTGTTTTTCATGGTGTACCGATGACATTGACTTCGATTTCTCCGGAGACAGACGTGACGTCGTTCTTCAGGTGCAGGGTGTAGGTGCCTTTGTCTGGGCGGACGCTTGGTGTGACAATCAGTTCTGTGAATGTGGACTTGGTTGTCATGGTGATGCGTTCGTCATCGATGGTCAGCTCCTTTTCTCCGAAGGTCCAGTTGGCCATGGGGGTTGGGTATCCGGTGATGGGGACTCTGATGGTGAGAGGCTGGGGCACAATCACCTCTAGGCCGTCTTTGAAACCGCTCAGGTCGAAGGTCGGACCGACTGTAGAGGAGAGAGAGAGGCGTGATGGGAATTGAAACTTTTACTGTAAAGTAGCCTCGTTTCTAAAAGGTTGAGATTAGTTTTTGGGTAATAGTTTGTTCCCTAATAGCTGACTGATATAAACTGATCTGAACCTTCTTATTAAAGTTATTGTCTGTCTCACCATGTGGGTCATCAGCCAGCAGAGGTCCAATGGTGTTTGATGGGTCTGAGAGTCCGGCGGCATTTTCAGCAAACACTCTGTAGTTGTACTTGGTTCCGTATTTCAGACCAGACACCTGAAGTAAGGTTAAAGTGTTAAAATAAAATACATTACATAATAATTAATTTTAGCAGGCCCTTTATTGTTACGCAACTTTATGCTTGCAACTGCGTAATGTGACCTTTCTTAACATTTTTATTTAAAAAAATGAACACCAATAATCCCTGTTTCCTCTTTTCCTGTAGTCAAATGTAAACCCATGAAACCTTGAAGCTGCTGTTGGAGAGCTCTAATTGTGAAGAAATCACTGGATGGCCCATTTGCTGTGAAACCGCTGCTCCAGGGTTTTTACTGTGAAGCAGCTGATGGGGGGCTTTAACTTCTTAGTACGTGGATGTATTTTACAGTAAAGCAGTGGAAGAGAAAACAGATGGCTTTTAATAAGAGGAATCAGAGGAAGTTGCTGTGAAGCAGCTGGAGGGTTTAAATATTGTAAACAGCTCCACAACATACATTAAACTGTTGAATATAGCCTAAAATGCTACCTTACCCCTACAAACCATTCAAAACAAATGTATTTTTAAACTATTATCTGTACCTTGTAGAAGAGGTCGGGGCAGAGGCGGGCATTGCAGCGGAGCCACTTGTTGGTGCCGTCCTCGCAGCGTTCGATGATGTATCCAGTAATCATGCTGCCTCCGTTCCTTAGAGGAGTCTCCCAGGTGAGCTGCACTGAGTTCTTGTTCTGGTCCTCCCAGACCAGGTTCAGAGGGGGGCTGGGAGGCTCTGTAGGGCACAAAAAACACAAATATTACTGGAGGAGGCAGAGACTGAGAAAGTTAAGTTGAAGTTTTTGATCTGAGGCTTGCTTGAGTGTACAGAAAATTCTTAGAATAGAAGAAAACATCTTTTTAAAAAGTTATCTCCGTTCTCCGACAAAAAAATTGACCAAGTCACAGAATTAATAATTTCATATAGAGCCTTTGGTGTATATTCACGTTAAAATTACTATAACTATGTGATGAATCTTACCGATGGGATCCATGATCTTGACGGGCTGTGAGGCAGCGCTTGGCTTGCCAACGCCGGCTTTGTTCTCAGCTTTGACTCTGAAGATGTATTCTTTGTTCTCGATGACGTCGTTAATAATGGCGCTGAGCTCATCGGCTTTGGTCAGCTGGACGGGCGACCACTTCACCGACGTCCTGTCGCGCAGTTCGATGGTGTAAGAGGTAATAGGAGAACCTCCGTCCGACACGGGAGGCTCCCAGGAGACGGTGCAGCCGAACTTGGTGACATTTCCAACGATCACGTTCAGAGGAGCTTCGGGAACATCTGAAACCAAAAAGAAGACAATTCAGAAAACTAAGAGCAATGTTCTTGTTGACCCAGTATCATTTATGTCTTCCAGTCAACAAATGAAGGCAGGGGGTGGTATTGCTGGATATGACCTGGATTTTTGTAGTGTGTCTTTGTGGGGTAGAATAAGATATTAAACATGCAGGCGCTGTACATTTATCATTTACCTTGAAAATATCAATAAAATTCTTACCAAACTTGTTCTTGGCCTGTACAGGTTTGTCGGTCTCTAAGTTGGGTCCGCTGCCGACCCGGTTTCGGGCGCAGACTCTGAACAGGTACATGGAGTCCTTGTGGAGGCCGGTCACTGTGTACTCGGGGATCTCTGCGTGGTCTGTGGCCAGGGTCCAGGTCTTACGCTTCACGTCGCGTCTCTCCACCACGTAGCCAATGACCTTGCTGCCGCCATCACTCTCGGGCTCCTCCCATGCCAGGCTGACCTCGCCATCGGCGGTGTCGACCACCTGCAGGTTCTTCACGGGTCCCGGGACATCTAGGAAACAACATATGATCATCAGCATAACGTGGACATTACAAAGACATTTAGTCTACTAGTCAGAAACAAAAACTGATTATACTAACTAACATTTATTAAAATGTTCAGCATTAAGTATGGTGGTTAACCTGGTTTTGGTCTTTACAGGCTACAGGACAACAGTCTTATCTTTGTGTTGAGAGAACTCACCGATGACTTGCAGGTTGATGAAGGCTTCTCCCTGTCCATGTTTGTTCTTGATCATGATCTTGTAGCGGCCCTCATCGGACTTCATGGGGTCCTTCAGCCGGTACTCTGTGCGGTCGGCAGATGTGTAGATGTTGTCTTTGGGCAGACTCAGGTTGTTGTACAGCCAGTCGGCCTCAGCCTGTGGATAGGCGCTGTAGGGGACGGCCATGGCGATGGGCTTCCTGGCATCTGTGACGTAGTTCTGGTCCGTGGTCTTAATCTTAGGCACAGCTGGAAGAGGAGAGAGCAGGTTAGTTCGAGTATTTTTACTATCATGTAAAGTAAGATAACCACTCTCAGTAAAACGTTTTTGCTACATTGATCTTTATTTCCTGAACTTTTACCTGCCAGCTCCAGCTTGGCCTTGGCGTCTTTGTCTTTGGCGATAATTCTGTAGTCTCCCTGATCCCGAGGTCTGATCTCACAGACCTGAAGTCTGTGGACTTTACCCTCGCTCATCATCTGGTATTTGTCTCCCTGGACAACCGTCATATTGTTCCTCAACCACTTCACCTCCACTCTGTCCTTGTTCAGCTCCACCTCGAACACAACGTCCGAGCCCGGAGGTTCGAACGCGTCCTGTGGCGGTCTGACAATCTCTACTGGGGTCTCTGCAGGACAGAAGGGTAGAGGTGGTAGAGAGGTCATCATCCAGAGTAGGAACAGAATAAGAACTAATTTATACAGAAACAAATTCTGAAGAAGCTCACCTTCAACAAAGAGCCTGGCTCTGGATCTCTTATCGTCCACACCGCAGGCGTATTCACACTCATCGTCGGGTCTGCACTCTTTGATACGCAGAGTGCACATCTTTCCATCTTTTGTAAATGTGTATCTGGGGAAATAAACAGTAAGTTATTTAATTTATTAAATTAAAGTTATTTAAATCTTTACTTACTAACTAACCAACAAAATAACATTAGTTTGGGGGATTATAAGAAACATTTAAAAGATTTCACAGCTGGTACATCCACTCTTCTGTTCTGAGGGTTTGAATAAAGTTCTGGTTCTGGTCTGACGTACCTCGGTCCTTCTCTGATCTCGCGTCCGTTCCTGTACCACTTGACATCGGCTTTCTCTTTGGTCAACTTGCAGGTGAACTCTGCGTCCTCGAACTCAGTGATTGTCTGGTCCTTCATCTGCACGGAGAAGTCAGTCGGGGCCTCACTGATGATCAGCTCTGCAGTGGACTTGTTCTCTCCGGCCACGGCGGTGTACTCGCCCTCGTCGGCCAGCGTGCAGTCTTTGATGGTGAGCGTGTGCTTGTCTTTGTCCACCCGGTAAACAACGCGTTTGTTGAAGGTGATCTCCTGGCCGCCCTTCATCCATTTCAGAGTGGCCTTGGGCCGATTGACCTTGCAGGAGAAGCTCACAGTCGTCTTCTCCTGGGTGTCGATGTCCTCCAGAGGAACCACGATCCTCAGACTCTCCTCTGAACACAGAACAACACAACAGACACGTTCAGCTCAAAGAAAACGAAAGAAGATTGAAACAGGGTGAAGCTGTGACCCACTGACCTTTGACGGACAGCTTGCAGGAACTCTTAGCCTGCTCTCCTCTCTGATTGATAAGGTTGATGCTGAAGTCAGCTTCGTCGGCCTTCTGGGCGTCTTTGATCCTCAGGGAAAAGACGTTGTCTCTCTGCACCATAACATACTTGCTGCTCTCAAACACCGTCTCCTCGTTCTTCAGCCACTTGGCCTTGGCTCCCTCTGTGTTCACCTCGCAGTTCAGGACCACTTCCTGTCCTTCTTTGACCTCTGTGTCTTTCAGTGGCGTGATGATCTTCAGTTTCTCTGCAGGAAGAATAAACATCAGAGACAATTAGCATTTCTGAGTCTGATTGTGAAACTTCACTCTTCACTTTACTCGTTCTGTCTTTTTTTATTTTTGGTTAATTAGTTAGTTAATTGATGTTTCAGTCGGAGTGAACTGTTAAAAACAATAAATAAAATAAAAATGAGTTATAGGAAAAGAAAGAAGTTACATTTGTGTAAGAATGTGAACTAACAAACTAAAATAAAATAAAATGTATTTTGTTTCCATATTTAAATCCCATTAGATGTTTTGTTTTGTACAGTATGTTAATTTATCTTATTAAACTTGATTTAAAAATGGAAATTAAAAAAAATAAATAAATAAACATGAAAAATTATGTAAAAGTTAGAAAAAGTAAAAGAAACTGTGGGCGGGGCTTACCAAGCACAGTGAGGTCGGCGCTGGCCCTGGTCGCTCCGATCATCACCACGTATCCACCCTCGTCTTTGAGCTCACTGTTCTTGATGACCAGAGTCCGTCTCTTGCCATCGCTGACCATCTGGTATTTGTCTCCTGCCTCTAGCTCCTTATCCTCTTTCAGCCATTTGACCTCGTAGGTGTCCTTGGAGACTGAGCAGGTGAACTCAGCCTTCTCGCCCTCCACCACCTCCTGGTTGTGAGGCCGGGAGATGAACTCAGCAGCCAGTTCTGAAACACAGGAAGAACCGTGAGAGCTTCTGGGCCGCGTTCTGTGTCCAAGTTCAAACTATTAAAACTTAAACGTAAAAAACAATAGATAGTTATTATGCCAAATTATGAAAGAAAAAAGATAAAAGGTATTAAAGAGTCAACATTTTGACTTATTATTTCTTATACTTCTGACTTACAATGAGTATGTTTATTTTTGTCATTTCTATCATTACATCTATTTTTTTATTTTCCTCGTCAGAATGAGCTTCCATACATTTGTCCTCCTGTCTCTTGTATAATAATCATTACTTTGCAAACAAGGAGGAGAGTTCAGGAATTTGACAAAATCAGTTTTTTGTTTTTTTTAACAAAACCTCAGGAATCTCAGTTGTATGAAAGCCCAATACTGCCACAAAGACAAAGAGTTATTAAGATCAATCTCATCACATTATCCCAAATTATGAGAAAGGAAGATTAGATTTAGATTTTCTATGATGTAATTTTTAATTCAATAGGTCTTAAAAATTATTTAAAAACACTAAAACCTTAGAAGCAATTTAACTAAAACAATTTAAAACATAATATATTAAAATGCAGTTAAAGAAGTTTAGAGGCACAATCAGAAATGATCAGAAGCTGAATCTCTATCAGACATTGTTTTCCTTCTGTACCATTAATCTTGAGATTTCCAGAGGTTTTGATGCTGGGACTCAGCCTGCAGTGGTACTCTCCGGCGTCGGCAATCTTCAGGTCCTGGATGAGGAGGATCCTCCTCTTCCCGTCCACGATCTGCTCGTAGCGGCCGCCCTCCGGCAGCTCCTCGTCTCCTTTGAACCAAATAACATCGGCACTTGGTTTGGACACCTCGCAGATCAGCTTCACGCTGTCCGTCTCTGTTCCCTCCACGTTGGCCAGGTTCTTGGTGAACCTCGCTTCCTCCTCTGCAGGGAGACAAACGGACACAGCAGTCAGATCTCAACTGAATGTTGGAGCTACAGTGACACATAGACTGTACGTAGTTACTGAGATTCTTACCGACAACAGTGAGCATGCCAGAGGATTTGGAGGACTTGGCGTCACATTCGTATTCAGCCTCATCGTCAAACACAGACTTGTGGATGATGAGGATGTGTTGGCGACCTTGAGCGATAATTTCGTACTTCTTCCCCTTTCTGATTTCACTTCCATCCTTGAACCAGCGGACCTGTGAGACGGAAAGCACGAGGAGAACTCAGGTGGGTCGAGAAATCATTTGAAACACTGACCTTTATTCATAGTTTATCTGGACAGGCAGGCAGACAGACAGACACAGCAGCTGGGCTTACTTTGACATCCATTCTGGAGACTTCACATTCGAACCTGGCAGATTCCTTCTCTTTGACCTCGACATCATGGAGTGGCTTTGAGAACTCGATATGAGGAGCTGTGGACGCACAGAACGAAGGGTTGACAGCGGGACTATTGCATCTAATTACTCTTTAACTGTATTTAGTCTCATAAAAGGTTTTTTAACAGTGTTTAAAGTGTTTCCTCTGAGGTTCCTTTACTTAGACAAGTGAATCTTTAACTTTAACCATTATCTTTGAGGGGTTTCTTTAGGGTTTTGAGGTTTATTTGGTTTCCTTAACTCAACTGAATTATTTATAATCCTCATGGGGGTGTCCCCTAACTGTACTTAGACTTATAAATGGTTCCTCAGCTTGTGGGGTGTGTTAGCTTTCATAGGGATCCTCTATTAAGTGTCCCTTTACTTCTATGAAGGGTTCCCTGACTAGAACTGGTTTTGTTAGTCGTAAAGGGCTGCCACTCATTTGCAATGCTACATATTGTCTCTCGCTTTATATTTGTATATATTGTCTCTTTTATCTGTGTCTATTTTTGTCTTTATTGAGTATGACTGAATATTGGCATGTACTACTGCCAAATGTTGTGCTGCGTTTCATCAAACCTTTTCATCAAAAAACGGTATCATAGGCTAAATCCAAGCTCTTTTGAGTACCTTCCAGACCCGTGGCAACTCTGTATAAGAGGCCCATTAACATTTTCTGTATGACTGTTTACTGGTCCCTGGGTACCTTTAGGGTTCATTAACTCTAAAAAAGGGTCCTTTAATAACTTGTAATTTGCTGTTTCACAGCTGTACTCACGTTCAACGTTGAGGAAGCAGGAGGTTTTGAAGTCTTTAGCGTCACAAGTGTACGTCTTTGAGTCGTCCAGAGTGCAGTCGTGGATGACCAGCGCTCTCTTGCGGCCGTCGATGATCATCTCATACTTCTTGGTCTTGCGGATGTCCTGTCCGTCCCTGAACCATCGTACCTCTGCGTTCTCTCTGGAAACTTCACACTCGAGTGTGGCGGTGGCTTCCTCTTCCACTGTCTGGTCCTCAAGAGGTTTCGAGAACTCAACCGGAGGCTCTGAATGCGCACAGAAACACACAGTTTAGTTTCTAGTCTGCTAAACTAGAGCAGTAGCATCTCCAAAGTAAAAATTTAAATCAAACTGATGATAAAAATTACCACTTGAACAAACATCAGCGTGATAAGAAAGACCTAAAATGACAGAAATCATCTTTGGGAAACATTTATTTGACTTTGTACTTTGATTTGTACGAGATCTGCTAACATGGAGGGGGCGGGGTTTATCCTGCAGTCAGCCACCAGAGGGCGATAGAGGTGTTTTGGTTTCACTTTTAGGGAGATGTTATTTTATCCATCTTTATATACAGTCAATGAAGTAAACATTATTATAAAAAAGCTACTTTTTTTTGTTTATGGAAAACCCAACACAGAACTTCAATTGGAAATCTGCTGTTTTATTTAACTAAAAGAAACCTTTAATCTTGATTGTTGATCCAGAGAGATGTGTGCTCTGTTCTGTATATCACTGCTACAAGGTGAGACATTCAACGACAGGAGGTCAGTTTTAAAGCCTGATCTGACTTCCAGGACTACAAACAAATGATGAGCAGAATCAGCAGATGTTGTCGTCTTACCTTTGACGATAAGGTTGGCCTCAGTCTGGAAGTCCTTGGTGGTGAGTTTGATTTGTCCAGCTTCATTCAGCTGTACGTCCCGCAGAGTCAGGCTGTGGACTTTACCCTCCGTCTTCAACACCACCTGTCAGGTACAGCACAGTCACTTTGTAAAGGGGTTTAACATTCTTTGAAAACCACCTCTCAGGTTTATATAGTCAGCCAGATGTGGATTTTACCAACATAGTCTGTCAGGATTAACAAAGTCTGCATGTCAAGGGTTTTACCTTCCCCTGAACACTACCTGTCAGGTTTAACAGGCTTTGATTTTAGCCTTCCTTAACGCTGTGTGACAGGTTCGACTGAGTAAGAATGGGGAAGAGTCCCTTCCCTGAATGTTTCCTGTTCAACAGTCATTTTCTCTGTCAATGGGGTTCCTAAAGGGTAATTGGACCCTATTTACAATATTTTTGTGTCTAACCTCGAAATCCCACCGAGAGGACATTTTCAGAGCGTCTTTAGAGCATCTTCAGAGGGTCTTCCTGCCCGACGTTGTTTATTTTTATTACTTGTATTGTGTCTCTTTAAAAAGGAAACAAATCTGTGTGTTTCTCCACAAATCTCCTCTGACTGACTCACTTCCTGTCTGCTGCCACAATGTTGATGTAGCGTGAAATTCGATCTGGAGTCTGCACGCTGTACTTTGTAATTGACCAGATTCTCTATGTCGTTTCTGTGTCTGACTTCCTGCTGGTGCGATCTGCTGCTTGACGCCAGTGGGTCACTGCTCTCGTCAGTGATGTATTCAAACACGGGCACGATCAGCTCCGGAAGCCACTGTGCCCATTGGAATTTGGGGGTGAGTGACTAATGGGGAGAAGCATTTTTTAACACTGAGTGAGGGCGTTACGTAATCCTTCTGCTCTCCATCAAACTCCGTCCACAACAGTAGTTGTTGTTTGTTCCACTAACAGTAGTTGTTTGTTCCACTGACAGACTCAGGTTGTTATTGTCAGTGTCTGACAGCATTATGGAAAGGATCCCTACAGAGATAGACCTTTAGTTTAACCACAAACAGCCGTAATATCACTATCACTCCCAGACCCACCAACACTAATTTTGCCTTCGGATCATCGTAACTCCATTTAAACAAAATAAAACAAAATAAAATTCTGTCTCTATTAGTCTTTCAAACAATCACCAGCCCTGGTTTGGTGGAAATAAATCCTTAATTCACTGATATTTTAACATCTAACTTGTCGTCCCATTTAACTTCTAACAACCTCTAACAGTTTTCAACCTCACTGCCCTGAGCATCGCCTGTCAGGTTCAACAGAATCAGTCAGATTGAGGGTTTTACTGTCTGTCATGTCCTCAGGGTTAGTCAGATTATGGGTTTTAGGACCCTTGAGCATTGTCTGTGAGGTTCAAAGTGCTGAAACTTTGGGTTTTAGTTCCCTGAACTAAACCTGTCAGGTGTAAAGTGTAAGAGGAATGAGTGTGTGTGTTTTATCATCCCTAACATACTCTGAGATATTCAGAGGAGTCTGTGATTTTGGGGGATTATCTCTCTGAACTACACCTGCCAGTTCTACAGCGCTCACACAGAGTGAGGTTTTAGGTTCACATACAGGGTCGGTCAGCTGAGCCCTGACAGCTAAAACGAATGCAGGCAGCTGCTTTCCTCCCCCGATTTAAACTGCATGATCTTTGACACCTGGTGGCTGATTTTACCACACATCCCTCTGTGTGTGTGTGTGTGTGTGTGTGTGTGTGTGTGTGTGTGTTACTGTATATCACACTGAGCTGTCTGAGCCCACAGATACACAACTCACTGAAGAGGAATTAAACATGTTTCTGATATTAAAGTCTTCAATTCTCCTGTCTCTTGTTTCTAAGAATAACAAAAGAAACCCAATCACAATTTCTCTGTTTTTTGGTTTTTAAAGATACAATGTATCATCATGTGTGCTTTTTCTTGGATAATTTTTATAATTTGTGAAATAAAACAGCTAAGAATACTTTGAACAGAAGCTGATGAGTCCGTTTTAAAATTGTCTTTGTGGTGGATGTTTGAAAGAGGAAACAGCAGCTGCTCTCTGGTGGTTGCTCCATAAATTAAAGAGCTGTGATGGTGAAAGGAATCCCATTTGGTTTCTGATCAACAGAGAACAGAACTTTAATACATTTTAGGGGATCAATAAAGTTCAATGTTGCCTGTTTTGTCACCAGCAGCCCAATTTCTAAAACAAGTGATTGAGGTACATTTCTTTAGGTCACATTTGATCTTTGTAAACTTTTAAACTGATAAAAAAGTATTTGTTGAATCTGTAATATAATCAGATCAGATTAGTTTGTATAGTTTTCATTCACACTTTAATTAATTTGTCTCTTTAACAGAAAGACTACTTATAGCTGGAAGGAGTGTGTTTGTGTGTGTTTGTTGGTTGAGCTGCTTTATTGTTTTATTGCTCTGTTGGGGTCTGTTCACTGTTAATTCCTCACATCACTAAAACAAAGTTCTCCTCACTGAAACTGAATATGTGGCTAAACAAACTGTTTCATAAGTTTTATTTACTGAGCAGGATTAAAGCACCAAAGCTTCAAATCAACTTTTCAAGCTTTATAGTTCCCTTAATATTCCCACAGTATCCCCTAAAGCTGGATGTTATTCAGTTCTGAACCATTAAACTCTGTTTCAAACCGACAGTTGAGGAGGTTTAATGAGACTCTGAGTCAACTTCATGTTAATCTTCCAAAATCAGTTTTTTAGATTTTCAGATGTAACAGCTTGTACCAGTGTCACTGTAATTAATATTAGTCAGTAATAATGTATTTAATGTCAGTTACAGTGATATTTATCTTTGGTTTTTAAGTACTTTAACTCACCTAACTGGAGAAGAATCAAGTGAAGGCTGATTAACATGAATCTGAGTCTAGATCAATCTGCTGCTGCAACAGTGACTTGATTTCATAATAAACCAGGAAATAAACATTTGATGCCAAGCAGACAACAAACCAACTCATTTAGATTTCAGGGAATATTAATTACACATGCAGCACCAACATTGAAAATGTTAATTTACTTTATATTAATTTCATATTGAGAGAAAACAAGCAGAGCTATCAGACAGGGAAACAACTAGCAACTTTAGTTTAAGCTTTGATGAAACAGTTGATGTAGCGTGTGAATCGCGTTGAACATGTTACATGTCGTAAATCACACTTGCACAACCCAGAGAGGGATCATGTGTCAGAGCTCTCGGGTTACATCCGATAATCAAACTAATCCCGCGTTATGACTGGGTATGATTTCAGGGCCTGGACTCACGCAGAGCTCTTTTCAACTTATTTCAGCGTGAAAGCGGAAACGATTTCCACGCGAGCGGTCACAATTACAGCCCGTCCAGTGTGTTTTTTCAAACTGAAGTTGTCAAATAGCTCCTGTTGCCACCTGCCCCGCGCCTCAACCTCCTGTGGCTGTTAAAAATAACCCTGTAGAAACGCTTGCAGAGCAGAAAAGCCTCCCCGCCTGCGTTATCTCAAAACCAGATCGAATGCTCAGCTGGAATCCTGAAGCCCCACCAGCAGGCCCTTATATGAAGACAGACTGAAGCTTGAGCAGCGGAGTGCAAAGAAAACTGAACATTGTGTACAAACAGAAAGGGAAACACCAGCCCTGGCTCTGGACCAGAACCACCACAAGGCCTGGACTCATGGAGTATCTGTGAAGACTAACTGAATGTCAACAGCTCTGTTGTGTCGGGACAGGAAGTGAATAACAGAGTCTGTTTGTGGTTGTTTGTGGGGTGTGTTGGGACTTACTCTGTCGCTTGGTTCCAGCTTTGTACCCCCCAGGAACCACTCGACAGCGATGCCTTCGTACGACAGCTCGCACTCGAAGGTAGCGGTCTCCCCAGCAGTCACGGTGACATCCTTCAGAGGCCTCTTTAGGCCGATCACCCGGGCTTTGGATTGGGGAGAAGACATAGTTAGTCCCCCCCCCGAAACAGGTCAATAGATCCAAAAATCCCCAGAGAGAAACGGCTAATCCTTAGATGCTAATCCTCATGGTGTGGTTGAGCTGAAGGCAGGCCACTGGAAGCCCTCAGGACAACTGAAGCCAGCCACCCTGGGACTTGGCATTGGGGGGCCAAGCTCATTAGCATACGACCTGCCATCAGATGTATATGGCTGGCAGAAACCAGTGAGAGACAGGGTCGTGTCCTCCCCCCTGCCAATCACTGCAATCCTGCTCTAGATAAGGCATGTGGCTTCTAAAATAACCGAGGGGCCTGATTGGCTGAGAGCCCACCTCTGCCAAACCCATCAGTGGAAGCCAATCTGCTCCTGTCAATCACCGGCCTGAAATTTCCCTGGAAATGGCACAAGTTACCCAACGTCACATTGCAGAAAACGCTGACATCGTGGCTCAGTCATAATGCTGCCATGTAACCGGTGTTAGTGGAAGTTTCGGTAACGAGGGCTGGACTGAGATCCAGGATGTCACTTTAGATTAACAAGCTGCATCAACTATTTACAACAGGCTTCTTCACATGCCTGAATTAAAGCCCCTTAACAGCCAGTTAAAGGCCGGCTGGCAGCGTCAGTGACAGCCAGCTGAGAGCTGGACTGTTCATTTATTTAGCGAGCTGTCAGTGTGAAGAGTTTACAATCATCATCTGCTCTGCCAGAATCGTCTTTGACTGACAGGAGCTCTCATGTCTAGATTTTTAACAGAAAGGACAGGATTTCTAAATATACATTAAAAGTTACATACACTGCAAAAAAAAGCTCTATCTGAACAAGTGATTTCACCGTTTTAAAGAGAATTTTTAAAGTTCTGAGAAGGCATTTTTAAACTTCCTAATGCAGAACAGGACTAAATTACAGTATATACTTTACAGTCTCAGCTTTCTACCCATTTTAATTACAGGTACAGTGTGAAACATTTAGGAGGATCTATTGTCAGAAGTGGAATATAATATTCATAGACATAATTACATTAGTGTTAAATCACCTGAAAACAAGAATTGCTGTGACGTTTTCGTTACCTTAGAATAAGACGTTTATATCTACAGACGATGTGGAGTCCGCCATGTTGAACCACCACGTTTCTATAGTAGCCGAGAACAGACTAACTAAACACTGGCTGTAGTTTGGGTTTTCTGTGCGTTTTGCAGCCACCGTAGTTTCTCTTACACTCTTCGAAGGGAAGAAATTTGACACTAATCATGTCTACATGATCTGTAAATTCTGCACACTGGACCTTTAAATATGAATTTTAAAAACTGAAAAAATAGCAGTTGGTTGTAAAAGATGATCCTTTTAAACAAACTGAGCTTACTTTTTATTTATTCTAAAGCAAGAAACCTGTAAAACTATTTCATTACTACAACTATGTATAACTTAAACTCTTATTTTCAGTCAGTAGCTTCATTATTTAGAGCTTTTTCACAGCAGCCATTTGGACATGAAATAGTTGGGTAAAGACAGGTTTACCAATGATACTAATTCAGGTTTTGTTCAATTCAGGTCAAACGCAGACAGGGGGCTGTCTAAGTCCCGCCCCCTTTTGGAAACGTGGTCAACGTCCTCCTTTGCTTAACTTAAATATGCTATGTGCTAAAGTAATCTATGTTGAAAAGACATTTAGATTTAGACATATATATATAGTCACATCTTAAGTTAGGTAATGCACTAGCTGTGTTTTACGTAGGAAGGGTCATTTCTGCATGTTGGCTCTCTGGAAAGGCTCCCTAATTAGTATCATCAGTAACACCTGTTTACATACTGTTTTGTGTCAAAATGGTTGCTGTGAAAAAAGTCCATTGGCTAAATTTTGTTGCAGCTTAATTAAATATAAGTATAAATGACTTGTTAAGATGGAGGTTTTGTTGCAGTGTGGAATATATTTAACTCCTGTTTTGCGTTTCACTGGTTCAAATCTCATGCTGGAACATATCGACGAAACCTCAAACTTGCTTTGACGGGTTCAAACGCAGAAAAATTATTTTACAAAGTGCGAAGAACCGACAAAATCTTTTGCAGGTAACGTTGGGTAACAGTTCAAACAGTGTGTTTTCACATCAGCTTTGTGGTTTTCTTGCATTGGTTGGTTGAGAAGAATTTCTTGTTACTCCGGTTGGTCTTTGTTTGATAAGATAAAGCCAGCGTTCAACAGGCTGTGCTTTATCTTAAGTCTGATAACTCCCTGTTACTTTCACTGCTATCTCTACACTCCCGGTCTGTTTAGGTTGGACCAACTCTCTGAAATGTGAAATTCAATTGTGAATGTATATAAATGCTGATATTAATTCACAATCAACCAATCATTTGTTGATTTAGTCTTTACAGACAAAACTACTTTTTATTGTTAGTTTCTGTGAAGTCTCTGAAGCTAATATGAACTATTCTCGGGTGCTTTTAGGTGGCTATAGGGTGATTTTTGTTGTCCAACCTCGAAGTTAAGCGTCACCCAATGTTTTAGTAAAGATTCAACTTTTTTAGAAAAGCACAGAGAAATCAAGTGACATCAACCACTTTCTTTTTTCCCAGCCAACCAATCAGCATGAAGGAGTTTCTTGGAAATCATGTTTCTCACAACGTGTAAATTCCTTCATGAAACCAAAATCTGGTTAATTATGTATGCATGTAAATGTACAGAGCAGGATCAAAGCCGTCAGCTCAGATCCAAGAACCCAAAGTGTCGTCTGTAAAGAGGAGTGATTTCAAGTATACTTAGCTAACCACCAACAAATGTTTTTCCAACCTGTCTCTGATTTATGTTAGTGTTATTTCTGTCACCTTTGACCCTGAGCTGAGCTGTGGATTTGGCATTCGCTGCCGAGAAGTCGATGCTTCCGGCCATGTCCTTTTTGCAGTTGAAGAGGATCAAAATGTGTCGGGGTCCCTCCTCCTTGATCTCCACATCCTGAGAACAAAAATCACACAGCTCAATGCCGAATGAGCATTAGCATTAGCATTAAATCTTATCATGTTGTAACGTTGTCGTTTTAGTTTTGGTAGAGGAAGAAGAGCGAAGGGCAAATCTCTTATGATGGCAGTTTTAGATAAAGAGTTGCAGGTGACAGACTACACACCTCCAACGTCTCCTGCTTTCACTGTGTTCTGCTGCAGTGGCGGAACTAGACTTTTATAAGAGGGGTGGCCACAGGGTAGTCAAGGCTTTATGAGGGGGGCCACATACTAGGCCTAATAAAGGAAAAACCTGGGATACCACAAGTCAGATTCAAACCTGTGGTGCTGCAGCAACTCCGTTCATGGGTCGCCAGCTCTACCAACTGAGCCAACCTGACGCCGGAGTGGCTGGAGGAAATGGACCTAAGTTTCACTTTCAGTTTCTGGCGCAGCAATTAATCCGGCGCACCGTCATTCATTTAGAAAATTAATAACACCTGTGGGAAAAGTCGGTGTCAAAACAAAGAGAAGGCTGCACATCACGGACACTATACGCAAGACTCAGCTCAATGATCAGATAAAGACGCCATTCATATGAGAATTAATGAATGACTTGCCTGGTGAGGCAAGTCATGTTGGGAGCTGCCCAGGCTGCTGATATCTGGGCTTGGGTCTGTCTGTGCCTAATTTGGGTTTTTTTTGGCAAAAAAGTTGGAAATATCTCCCTTCCTTTTCATTGTTATCTGTTTATTCTGCCTTCTTTGATTCCATTTAAAAATCTCGCTGTTCTCAACGTGACGTGCAGTGACCTGTCAATCAACTGGGGTGGCACCCAGGGTGTCCAATCAAGTTCCAGGGGTGGCCAGTGCTAGCCCCGCCACCCCTCTAGCTCCGCCCCTGTTCTGCTGTTTGCAGTATAAAATAAGATCACAGTCGCTCACAGCATGTTGTGAAAAGGCCAATTATTAACTGACTTCTTTATTTTATATTTTATAACGACATCAATGTTGGGCTAGTTACTTAAAACGTGATTACAAAAATAAATCTGGGAATGTGATTTGACTTAATTTCAAATCAGTAGAAGGTAACAACACAAGTTATGTTGTTTCCACCAGAAACTACAGGTGTCTCTACACAACCAGGACTGAAATCTTAAGGGCTGCCACTTCAAATAAAAAGGAGATCTTAATGGTGTTATTAATCTTACGGGAGATGGGTGGAGTGTCTCTCCCTTCAGTTTCCAGATGGCATGAAGTTCATCCTCTGAAATCTCTGTCTCAAACTTGGCTGTCTCAGTCTCTGTGACCTCCACGCTGTACAGCGGTCGAAGAACCTTGATGTCACGCTCTGCAGAGGTTTAAGAAGACGTTAGAGAAAACCAAGCAGGAGGTGAAGCTGAAATCTCTCAGAGAACTCGGAGAACAACGCGTAAAAAACAGTTTCATTGTTGTTACATACAGTGAAAACGATGTCTGATGATCAGTGGAGGACATACAGTGGACATGAAGACGTGTGACAGATTGGGCGGGAAGCTGACGCTCTTTTGTTCAGAGCGTCTTACAGTTTTAGCAAAAGCAGAAGACACTGAGTAACTCTCAACAATAACCCAACCCTATAAAACATCTCTACACTATCAACAGACACAGCTTTAAGCATTATAACTGTTATTAAGTATTATAACTGAACATTAACGAACTGTTTTAATCAGATTAAGCTTGGATCCAAATGTATTTCTAAGAAGTCGTAGTAATGAACATAAACAGTTTACAAATGTTTTATAGATTATATCACATTATTAGATTATAATCACAAATCAACAGTTATTGAAATATTAAAGATGTGAAACTGTCCTTAGTGTTATAACATATTATTGATTGGAAACTTTAATAAAGGTCATGAGAGTTATTTTGTAATTTTGCAAATTTCTAATTTTGTTAAAATTGTTGAAGTGTCTTTTCAGGAAGTAATTTACTTATTATTTCATTAGAACAATGTTCCTGGGAAAGAGCTTGATTCATGATTCATTCCTTCTCAGAAATAAATCCAGTTTTTTTTTTTTGCAGCTATTACTATTATTGCTATTAATCATTAATTTATTAGCAATAAATAAAAATAGAAATAATCAACTTCATAAATGTGTTCTTAATATGATCAACAGCCCTATAAATAAATAGTTTACCTCGTATTCAGATCCCAATCTGAACATTTAAGTGCAAATTATTTTGATTATTTATTATTTTTCGCCCTCTACTGGTTGAAACCTGCTACTGGACTTGGATTTTGCTATCGGCTGATCTGGAGCCAGGTGACATTAGTGGTGGCAGCTTTTGTCACCAACCAACCCTTCATCCACTCTGCAGACTGTGCAATGCTACATAGCTGTTAGCCTGACAGTCTACCACAGACACTGGAGAGTTAGCCTCTCTAAACCGCTAGCTTTACAACACAGGTAGCACACAGAAACTTTCACAAGCGTGAATGTGCTTCTAGTGACTGTAAAAGCTCCAGTGGACTCTCCGTGTTTCAAGTTCAGACACGGGGAATCTGACTCAGCTATTTATGGCTGGTTAGCTCTGTTAGCTCTGACTACCGGCTGCTATATTCCTGCTATTGTGAACAGTGGTCAGTCTGTCACTATGGTCGGTGTTACCCCTCGCATCACACATTACGTAGCCTCATGGCCATGCCCCCTATCTGAATCTCTCTGTCGCATTTTAAAAGAGAGCCAGCATGATTAGGGGATTGGTTACACTTTTACATGCTATGTTATAACGATCACTTAAGATGCATAGGGCTGGATTATCCTCAAGTGTCACAAACACTACAAACATTCAGAATGAGAGTACAGGACACAGTAATGAAGGATGGAGGGAGGCCAGATTTCGGTGATTGGACGGTTGGCAGGGCCTGATTCTGCAGTCCTGATCGGGGTCTGGGGGAGGAGCCAGCTCGCCGCAGGTATTACCTTCGATGTTCAGGTCAGCTGTGGTTTTGTCGGTGCCACAGTCGCAGGTGTACGCTCCAATGTTGCTCTTTGCCGCCTTCTTGATGACCAGCATGCGCTTTTTGCCGTCTGATTGGAGGAGAATGTTCTTGGAGGGAAAGATTTCGTTACCGTCTTTGAACCATTTGACTTCGTCTTTGGCTTTGCTCAGCTCGCAGGCCAAAATGACCTCGTCCTTCTCGACGGCAGTGTAGTTCTGGAGTTTCACTGTGAAGTACAGGTCACCCTCTGCAAGAAGGCATACAACAAAACCAGTAATGACCAGACAAAAATAATGGTTTAAAAGTATGGAAATGGAGGTCATGTCTTTAGACCATCACCTCATCCTTTCTATAATCGTGATCTGACACCATTGTGTGGATATACAGCTGCATCCTTCAAGAAAATTATACTAACCGAGCACTGTGAGCATGGCCTCTGAGGTCTTGCCCATGGCCTCGACTTTGATCATGGAGGTGTCATCGATGGTGACCTCCTTGAAGGCCAATGTGTGGACTTTTCCGACCTCTGACATGTGCACCACCTTGCTGGGGTGCAGACGGATGTCGTTTTTGTACCAGACCACCGGGATCTTTTCATGAGAGAGTTCAATGCTGAACTCTGCGGTTTCACGTTCCTTCACGGTCACATCTTTAATCGGCTTAATAAATTCAAGGCGAATACCTGACAAACAGAAATTTTAGATGTAGGGAATTAAATATAAAGTTGTAACACAGAGGGTAAGACATCAGAACATACAGATTATAATGGTGTTGATGTGTCCAAAAGGCCTAAAAAGTGCCGTACACTCAGTTTGATCATCTTGTTGCGAGATTCTGACGTCAAAAGGCTTTTGGCAAACACACCAATTGCACACAGAAGGCGAGGTTTCGCTCATACTTTGGTATGCCCTCATATACACATCATACCATTCCTAATCTGAAACGGTCTGACTCCATTTACCTTTGATAATCAATTTTCCAGATGTCCTCTTATCTTCAGCCTCAAACATGTATTTGGCTTCGTCTTCATATCTGGCAGATTTTACAATAAGAGTGTGTCTCTTTCCCTCCACCAGGAGTTCAAACTTATCATCATTTGACAACTCCTGAGATCCCTTCAGCCAACGGAAGCTTTTGGGCTCTCTAGAAATTTCCAGCTCAAACCTTGCCTCATCCTTTTCATACACGTGCACATCAGCCAGTGGTGTAATGAATGAGACTGGGAGCTCTGTTGATTCAGACAGACAGAGTTACATCAATGTGCAGATGTAGTGCTCTCAAACAAAAACTTCAGATCCGTTGTGTTTTGGAAAGTTAATGAAGGTCGGAGGCCAATAAGAAGATATTAGAAGATGAAATGATGTTCTTAGTATACACAATGTAATAGCATTTACACCTTTCATAGAATGTAAATCTCTATTACGTTTTATTAAACCTTGGTTATGGTCTGGTAATTTCTGATATTTTATCCGAAAAGTGAGAAAAAAAGGTAACAAAACAGAAGAACAAAGACATTTTAAAGTGAAGTTGAAAGAATAGCTGAAGAAAACCATGAGCACAGTGTTGTGCTTGGAAAATGTGTTAAGACTTTGCAAAAGGAGCTCACCCTTCACTTTGAGGTTAGCAGAACACTTGGCGTTGGCGGCAGTAAACGCCAACTCGCCTGTTTGAGGCACTTTGCAGTTGTACAAGACCAGTGTGTGTTTGGCACCATCCTCCACAATCTCAACATCCTGCAGATGGCCCGACAAACTTCAGCATTTCAGTAAAAACACAAGTACTCAAGAAAAAGTGATCAGAGCAATACCGTGGTCAATTCACTTTCATTTGTTAGCTAACGAGAGATCAAACACTCTCGGTTAGATATCTGAAAACCTTTCAATACTTCAAATCCAAGTCAGCCTGCGTCAAAATGAAAGTGAATTGAATGGCAGGTAAGAGAATGTCTGCTGAGATGTATTTTAATGAGACATACGGCGGATGGACTGAGGACTTCGCCATTCAGTTTCCACTGGCCGTGGACATCATCCTCACTGAGCTCGACCTCAAATCGAGCGGTCTCTCCGTCAAAGACCTCAGCGCCATACATCGGCCGAACCACCTTGATGTGGCGAGCTGACGTTTAAGAGAGGGGACAAAATTCTTACTGAAGACGTTCAGACATTTAAATATTCAAACAAACTTAACATACATACACATACACAGTACATATATACAGACTTACATACATACACATACACAGTACATATATACAGACTTACATACATAAAAATACTTCGACAATAGACAGGCACAGGTAGAGTTTCTACTCTGGCAATATAGAAACCTCCTTTATTGTGCTATAAGCAATCTTTCCATAGGACCATAAACAACCAAATGGCTATCAATGTTGGCTCTAACAGTAAAAATACTGTTAGGATCAAGTTTTGCAAGGATTGTTTGTGGGCCACCAGAGCAGTTTTTGCGGCAGAAGGTACACCGCTACAACACAAAGTCAATTAATCTGGACACTTCATTGCCAAACAGGAATTTATGAGAAGCCATTTGGTTCTATACGGACCTTCTAGATTATCGAGACACAAAAGGCACTGAAGAACAATAAAGAGGTTTGTTTCTTCAAAGAGTGATGGTTCTGGGACCATGATCACTCTGAAGAAGTGTCACACAGAACAACAGCCAATAAAACAGAACAAAATACACAAGTTAGGGTGAAAGAACACTACAAGAGAACTAATTCCCTATCAAAGTAGAGGGGTTGAATACATCATAGCTTCAATGTGAGCCTTTCTCTTGAAACTCTTGTAGTGTGTTTCTACCATTTCCGTAAGGGTGGGGTGATGAGAGGGACCACATACAGGTGTTGGCAGTGGTAATTAAGAAGTGAGGAAAGCAAAAAGGGGCTTCAAGTGCAGAAACTGCAAGAAAATGGGTGATAAGGCTTGAGGTGTGGTTAGGAGGAAGTAAAGGTGAAGGGTAAGAATGGGCATCAAGAAGGGGGAAGTTGCCTCAATAGAGAACCAAAAAAAAGGCAAATTCTATGTCTTTACCTTCAATGTGAAGCATTGCCGTTGTCTTGTCTGTTCCACAATCACATAGGTACTGTCCTTTGTCTTTGTTTGCAACTTTCTTGATGATGAGTGTTCTGCGTTTGCCCTCTGCCTTAATGGCCACCATCTTAGAAGGCTTGATCTCTGCCTCATTGTGGTACCACATGACATCCACATCTTTGCTGAGCTCGCAATCTAGAACAACCTCATCTTTCTCCACTGCAGTATAGTCTTGCAGCTTAACTGTGAAGTACGCATCTCCCTCTGAAATGGGGAAATGTTTGGATGACTATCCGTGGCACATATATGACACAACAATATTTATGGTACAAGGCAAACAAAGGACAAGACAGTCAAAAAGACAAGGAGCACAAATGCACGACAACAACACAACACAGAAAGACAACGTTTTACAAATACTTAACAAGGTCGTTTTTTGGACCTACACAGACACAGACATGGACAAATTGTACAAATTGCTTTTGGGAATGAGAAGAACAGACACTGGAAGAGGAGGACAGAAAGAGAACAAGCGGTAATTCTTGGTTTACCTATGACCGTCAGGTTAGCCATGGAAGGAATTCCTTTGGCCTCAGCCTTAATTTGGCATGTATCATCTAGAGTCACTTCCTTTATTTCTAGCACATGTTTCTTTCCATCCACATGAGTGACCACTGTCCTGCTGGGATGAATTTTAACGTCGTTCTTGTACCAGGTGACAGGGATGTTCTCATGAGAGAGCTCCAGCTCGAAGCGAGCTGTTTTGCCTTCCTTCACAGTTTGGTCCTTTATTGGCAAGATAAATTTGAGCCTGATACCTATAATAGTATTAGTAAAGCATAATCATATAATTTAGTTTGAAAGAGGAGGCAACCAACTCAATGAATAGAATAATAAAGGTTCTGCTAATTATGTCCAGTAATGGCAGTCCAGCACTTACCCTCCACTGTGAGTCTAGCTGTTGAGAGTTTTCCCAAAACCTCAATCGTATATTCGTCCTCGTCATCAAACTCACAACAGTTTATAATCAGCATATGCTTCTTTCCATCATCGATGATGTCATACTTTTGGTCTGGGGTGACAATGTCATCCCCTTTATACCACATGACCTTAGAGACATCCTTCGTGATGGTGCATTCAAACTTAGCCTGTTTCTTTTCAGGCACAGAAACATCCTTCAGCGGGACAACAAAGTCCATTTCGATTTCTGGGTTAAAAAGTGACACAGGTACAGTACATCAACTAAACAACAAAACACAACAACAGTACAACAGTCTACAACAAGTGGCCAGTTTACATTGCACCCCCATGTATGCAGTGCTGGGTTGTGTGGGTCCATCTCTAGAAGTTTGTGGAATCATATCACAGAGATATCAGAGGGTATTGACATGAAAACCCCATGACATTGTTTGTTGCCAATTAGATTGTGGCTCATTAATGGTATACACAGCTCATCCCATCTTTTCCAACAGAAAACCAACTGGAGACATCTTCAAATTGTGCAGGTCCCAGGCCAAAATGACATCACTCTGCATTTCCAGGATTGCTTAAAAACTGCTTTGGAACATGGCACTGAAGGACGTGTGAAGAATGCTTAAAGGCTGTCATCAACCGCAGTCTTGCTGGTAACAAGGATTCTTTATGTTTTGTCACAGGGAAGGACTGGTCCATCATCTTGTTCAGCTGGAATCAAATTCTGACTACAGTTTTATCAGGATGCAACAAGAATCTTCATTCCAAAGGCCATTCTTCTTTCTACTTGCTTTTCATCGAGTCACCAGTTACCTTATGTTTGTGAAAAAAAATCAACCATCTGCTGCTATCGAAAAAAGTTACTGAACTCCCTTATTTTTTGGTCAATCTAAGGCAATAGGATGTTACATGTAGTGGAGTGACCCATTCATGAACATGGTGTTGGTGTAACTTGTAAACTGGCCACTGTCTGTAGATTTAACATAAAACATTTAACCACAGACAGTACGAATATACCGTAGAAGGACACCACTACACACATTTTCACGAAAATCTGACAGAACAACAGACAGGTTTCCATTTTCCATTGAACAGACTGTACAACATATAGAACAACAAATACAGGACACCATTTTGACCATGGGAAATAGTTGGGATCCCATATCAAAATTCCTTCTCGTCTTCCCGGGCTCAAAGAAATGCTGCAAATGAATTTGACTCATCAACCCTATTAAATAAAGATCTAAGGTCCGCTCTCACGTGCCATAAAGCTTTATTGCCCACAGACCTTACACCTTTATTTTTACAGCTAATACCATAAAACCATGGCACATTGTAATTCCAATCCGGGATAGCAGGAGTACTTCCTTACCTTTGACATTGAGCATTGCGGTGGTTATGGCGTTCAGAGCCTGGTAGGACACTTCTCCGGCCTGATCCAACTGGCAATTTTTCAGTGTGAGCTTACGCACCCCACCTTCCATTTGGATGTCGCACGTCTGATGGATACATTACAATACATTTATATATACAAAATAGTGAAACTGAACATGCAGATCTCTAACTACCTGCATTAAGACTTTCCACATGTCATTCAGTCTTACCGGGGATCTGGTCAAAACCTCTCCTCTGAGCTTCCATTCCCCTGGAACATCATCCTCAGAGATCTCTGTCTCAAACTTAGCATCTTCCTTCTCAACCACCTCAACGCTGGCCAGGGGCTTCAGGATCTCAGCTTCCCGCTCTGATAAAGGAGTCATATTAGTACTCATAAATATCAAACAATAAGTAAAGTATTTGAGGGACTCAAGTTAAAATATAGGTAAGTAGGTAGATAGATAAACCTCCTAGTGTTAGCTTGGCAGTATATGTGCGTCCTTCCACTTCCAAGGAATATTCTGCTACATCATCAGGCTGACAGTTCTTCATGGTGAGAGTCAGCTCCTTTCCATCCTTCTTGATCTCAATCTTGTCAGAGGGAGTGACCTCATTCTCTCCTTTAATCCACTTCCAATTGGGAGTGTCCTTAAAGAGCTCACATTTAAATGTAGCAGTAGCCTTCGGTTTCACATGCTGGTCTTTCAGTGGTTTCACAATCCAATCTTTGATGATTTCTGTTGGAGTTAAACATTACTGAATCAGTGTCCCTCATACCCTTAAAGCCATAATGTGCACCATTAAGATATTGAATATTGCAAAAATGCAGTCTGAACCAGGGCAGAGGAGCTAAAACTATAGGCTTAGTTAATCTAATTTCAGGTGTTTTTCGATTATTTGAACGTGATTAGAGAAAGAATTCCAAGATTCTTTCTAATCTGTATTTTCCAAAGCCATAGATATGCAGATTTAAGAATTTAGCTGCAGGACATTTAGTGACATCTAGTCTTGAACTAGACATAGACGATGTACAATGTGGCTAAGAACAAATAAAATACAAATAAAAAGTGATAATGTTTCTGAATTACATGTTTAAGAATGGGACAAACATGGTGCTCCCAGGTACTATGAATCCCGCTCTTGCCCTGTCTTGCCCATCTGTTGCAGTATAACTTCCTTATAAAGCACCAGTATTGACGTATGTTACCGTGTTTCTCTTTTGCTTACCAATCACTTTGACATTTGTGGAAGTCTTGACATCCTCCTGGCCAGCCACTTCGCATGAGTAGATCCCAGTATCCGCCTCATTGGAATTCTGGATGGTCACAGCATGCTGCATACCAATGATATTGATCTGAACCTTGCCGGCCTGTTTCTTCAGGACCTCGCCATTCTTTTTCCATACCACATCTCTCTCTTTGTTCAACTCACAGGTCATATACACTGGCTGACCCTTTAGAGCTGAAGTCTCCTCCTCCAGTTCTTTGATCCATTTCACAGGTAGCTCTGTGAGGAGATACAAATGCTTTCATCAATTTGATATAGGCAAATGGTTGAACAGGATTAGAAAAAGTATGATTTCTGGTCTTCAGGACACCATGTATTTTTGGTTTTATTTCTAAAGCGGAAAAAAGATAGAAATACCTTCAACTATGAGTTTGGCTGTGCATGATATTTCCTTGCCAGCGTTCTTCGCCACGCAGGTATATTCACCAGTGTCAGACAGCTGGACGTCAATAATGTTCAACTTGCGATCTTTGCCATCAGAAGTAAACTTGTGCTTGGGGCTCTCGCGCAGGTTACTGCCATCTTTCATCCATGAGGTAATAGCAGTGGAAGGTGAGACCTCACACTCAAACACAGCAGAGGAGCCAATAGACTCAGCTTCCTTTAACACTATGTCTTGAAGCTTCTTAATGAACTTCAGAGGGACAGCTTTAAGCTTGAATCCTGCAAACGGTTCTTCTGGTGGTGTTGGACCTCTTCCACCAGGCTTCAGGCCACGGCCCCTGCCTTCACCAGGGGACGGGGTCTGCTTGGCTTTAATAGAAATTGAAGACAAACAATCCATTCACATTTGCATTTCAAGATTAATTCTGTGTTATCACCATGCAAGATGCAGAATGTAATAGGGTTTTTTTGCTGAGAATTCAAAGGCACAGTTCATAGCTTTATTAAGACAACAGACTTACGTTTCAGCCCTCTACCTCTACCCCTTCCTGCTTCTTCTGCTGGTTGTCCCTCTGTTCAGAAACAATTAAAATGAATTTGCTGCACACAATGTAGTCATATGTCAATGTCTTCATAAACATGCCAGTGCCAGGAGCTATGTGACATATGAATATGAAGTGATAGTGACTGTAAATATATGAAATAATGGCATTGAAATGAAGGCAGACATAACACCGAATGATGAATAATGTATAATTACAACTTTACAGTAATGTAGCTTTCACACTATGAAGAGATGGAATAATGAACAGAAATGTAAAGATGGCATGAGTAGAGAAAACGGATGTTGGACTGATGGAAATGACCTGACATTGAAATGGGAAACGTACAAGTGACAAAACAGAAATGACAGAAAGCAATGAATATGACCGGACACACAGACTGATAATTAACATAAATACAAGAAAGAGATGGCGTAAATTGCTTCACACTTAAGATATGATGACGTAAAGATGATTTAGATGGAGGCATGATGGTGGGAATGGGTAGAGATTATTCAGAGGATGAAGAAAAAGTTTTCTCAGTCGTCACCCACTTAGCTGGGGCCGCCACCATCTCACCTCTCCTGGCCACCCCTGGAACCTCCAGAGCACCTTCCTCTCCTTCACCTTCCCAGTCCTCAGAGCCATAACTGTCCCGGGGAACCAGCTCCCAGCCCCAGGCCTCATCTTCCTCCTGCTCCGCCTCTTCCTCAGCTTGAAACTCTTCTTCAAATATCTCTTCTTCCGGCTGGGTGGCGACCTTTTTCATCTGCACAGCTCCAGGAGAAACCTCTTTCACCAAGGGAACCTTCCCTTTACCAGGTTGTGCTGGTTCTGCAGCCTTCTCCTCCTCTGGTGATGGCTTCTTTGGGACCTTTTTGAGAGTCACAGCTTCAATAGACTCTTTCGGTGAAACAGTTTTAGGAATCTTTTGAAGTCTATCAACACTCGGCCTCTTCTCAACAGGGACTGCCTCTGCTTCTTTAAGCTTCTCAACTTTAGGAGATGGCGTCTTTTTTAGCTCAACCTTCTTGAGCTGCTCCACAGGCTTCAGAGCCACTTCTTCCTTCTCTTCTTTTGCCTTTGGTATGACTCCCTTCTTCACTTGCAGAGTTTTGGGCTCCTCAGGAACCTTTTCAGGTTTTTTAAAAGACGTTGGCACAGGAGACATTGTCTTTTCTGCTGGAACTGCCTCTACCTCCTTCAGCTTCTCTGGCTTCTTCTCTGGAGGTTGTGGCATCTCAGGTTTCTTCGGTTTAGCCTCTAGCTCTCGTTCCTTTGGTTTTTCATCTGGACTTGTGCGACGACGGCTCAGGTCATCAGTTGGCTTTTTCTCTTTCTCCTCTACTGGTTTCTTTTCAGGCTCTGCAGCCTCTTTGGAAGGCCTGGAGAAGGGCTTCAGCTTGACGCTTTCTATCTCTTGTTCCTGTGTTGGGATTTTCTTCACCTTGGTGGGTGGTTTGATCTCCTCAGGCTCTTTTTCTGGAGTTTTCTTTTTATCTACTGGCTTTGGCACCTTGGCTGGTGGTTCCTTAACCTCCGAAGGAGCTTTCTCAGGTTTCTTGGGAAGTTCTTTTGTTTCCACTTCTTTTGGGATCCTCTCTCCCTTCTGGAAAGGCACAGTGTCCCTGTCTGGCCTCTCCTTCTTATCTTTCTCTGGTTCTTCAGCTGGTTTAACAGGCTTTTCAAATGGTTTTAGTTTGACTATTTCTGCTTCTACTTCATCTGAGGGCAATTTTTTCACTTTCTTCAAAGCCCCACTAGGTGGGTCTGGTTCCTCCTCCTTTGGTGCCTTGGGAGTTTTCTTCAGAGAAATCTTATCATCTGGTTTCTCATCCTTTGGGATAGGTTTCTGGCGGGTCCATGCATCTTTATGAGCCTCTTTCTGATCGTCTTCTTTAGGCTTCACAACTTCTGGCTTTTTCACCACATCTGCTTTCTCTCGAGGTTTCTTCTCCTCTACAGGTCTCCTGGTGGCGAATGACATCTCAAAAGCCTCTTCTTTATGCACCATCTCCTCAACATGAGAGATTGTGGTCTTGGTGACCTTCTGAGGTTTTTTCTCTTCTTCAGCCTCTTTAGGTGAAACAGTTGGAATCTTCTTCAGTTTGATAATCTCCTGCTCTTCTTCCACTTCCTTAATGACTCTGGTTGTTTTCCTCAAAGTGGGAATCTCAAATGTTCCATCCTCTTCAAACTGAATTTTACCTTTTTTGTGCAGAACCATTTCTGAGGCAGCAAAGGTTTGACATTACTTACAATTACGCACAATTTGTACAAACACAAACACATGCTTAACACTTAAGAAAATAAGAAAGAAAATAAAAATGAAAACTACCCTATCCCTTCCCCACTTATTTAAATATAAATCTAATTTAAAAAAGATTACATGACAACAATAACAAAAACAAAAGACACAGGAAACAAGACTCAGACACAAGAAAATGCCACTTCAACAGGACACTACTAAAAGACATGTATAAAATAAGCCAACCAGGGCTAATTAGTGCTCAACTGCCTCCTTTTAAGTGCTCTTTAGTGTCCCAACATCTCTAAGTTATCTTTTAAAATAAAACCATTAACTATTTTTTTTATGTGGGGGCATTATTGGGTGCTGTATCAGAATCAGAAGTATACTTTTATAGCTGCATGTTGGTGTGTATTGTGTGTACTGAGGTAAAGTGAGTAGTAAACGGTGCTCCTACCTTTCTTGACTCCTCCTGGTGCTTGGACGGGTCCCTTGGTTTCATCTAATACAGAAGTATATTTCAGAAAGTTGTTAATAAGGCCACTTAATAAGTCATGATAATGATCGTGATAATTTCATCAAACACATTCAGAAATAATAAATATTATTTTACAGAATGTGGATGACATAAAAAAGTTGTGACTGAGATGCAAAGTAATTAAGTATCACATGATTTAGTTGAAACAATATCATAAGAAGAGATAAAGAGTTTAAATTAAGTTGTGTACGAAGACAGATGTAACATACATCTTTTTCATTTAGTGGTTGGATTCAAGGTCAATGAATTAATGACCAACAACACGACACACAACATGGAAAGACCAACAATGCAACTCAACAACAAGGGACTGTACTGTTGCTTAAGGTCATACTGACCCAGATAAGACTGACAACACAATCAACAAAAACAGTGGAAACATACAAGTAGGTGGTTACAGAGTCAACATTTTCAATGATGAAATAAGATGTGAAAAAGATGAAAAGGACTAAAGAAATGTCCTAATTTCTTCAGATACCTCTACCTGTCTCAGGAGATATCTTTTCTACGATTGTTTTTTCTTCCGCAACCATCTTGGTTGGTTCTTCAGCCTTCATGACAGGCTGTGGCTTGGTTACTTCAAGCATAAGAAAGAGGGAATTTAAGTATTGTAAACTATCACCAAACATACTGTCTTAATAAATATGCACAAGGTGTCGATAGGAATTCTTTAACAGTTATTGCCTGGATACCTGGCTTTGTTTCTTCTTGTGGAGTAATTATCTTCTCCAACTTTTTGGTTTTCCCAGTGACTTCAGGCCTTTTGGCAACTTCTTGAACCTTTACAGCAGCCTGTGGTTTGCTCTCTTCAAGTACAAAGTATAGAGAAAATTCAACAGAAAGCTCTCCATGAACACTTTAGTCTAATATTCTAGTTCTTAGAGCTTGACACTAAAAAACAAAGTTTATATTCTTATTCTATATTCATGATGTTTGATTTCTTTGTACTTCACTCTCTTTTAATGACTTGGGTAACACGTTGGGTTTCTTCAGGATAAAGTTTCAAAGATTCATATTTGCTCAAGAACGACACTCTTTTATGAATGCCTTAAGAAAAGCTCACACAGAAACAGACATAAACAGAAACACATTTTAAAGAGAAGTTGGGTACCTTCTTGAGGAGCAGCTGGCTTTACCAATGCTTCTTTGACTTGTGGTGGTGGCTCTTTCTCCTCCACAGGAACTTGGAAATGAAATTATATGACAATCAGAACCTCACTAAGACTGATGTGGTGAGCACTGAACCATGCAGAGACAAATAACACAAAGACAAGAAACACAATTCAAGATGAAAACATAGAAAGTTGGAAGACTTAAGTTTTAAGATTGAAGAATTTTCCACAAACGTATCTCACCTCACTGTCTGTGCAGAACATTTTCTCTCAACACACACAGGTACAGTGGAACGTAATAGACAAAGACAGACATAAAATTAGAAAAAACGATGAAAAACCCAACATACAACATGAAACTGGTGGTTTAGATATCAGGTGATAAGAAAACAAAAGAGACTGTCTCAGTCGACAGCGTGACGGTTCTTCGCAATGAGAAAGAATACAGTTTGTGCCCAAACAAATGGGTGATATGACATGGATATCCTCTTGAAATGATGACGACAAAGAGATATGAATCTAATAAATCCTTAAGAGGATGATAACGAGGAAGTGCACACTATGATTGGTGCTCAGATCAAAAACAAGTGCTCAGTGACATTTAGCAGGTTTCCCTATATACCTTTGGAAGATTCTTGAGATGAGACCTGTTCTTTCCCTTCTGGTTCCAAAGTCAAAATCCTCGTTTCTCTGATGGACTGAAGCCCTTGAGCTTCTCCTTCCTCTCTGCTTATGGTTTCAACTTCCTGAGGAGGGATGTATTGGACATCTACTTGCAGAAACGACTGCTCAACTTCTGATTGCCATTTCCTGGTGGCATCTTCCCCGCATTCTGGAGAGTCTGTTTTGTAGCCAGTAGTGGTAGTCTTCTCAATCATCTTTGGCTTGGTTTTGTCTGTTACTGAGGGTTCTCTGGTAGTGGGCCTATGCTGATCTATTTCCGCTTTTGACTCTTTTGTAGTAGGTTTGGATTTGTCTGAACTCTTCACTTCTTTAACTATCTCTTGGAATTGATACATTTCTTTACTTCTTCCTTTGATTTGTTCTTGTTCAACATCTTTTCTCTGTAGTTTTTCTTTTTCATGAATCTCTTTGACAATTTTGTCTTTCCCTGTCAGTTGTCTGTCCAAAGCATCCTGCTCAATTAATGACTGTGTTGGTGTTGCCTCCAAAAGTGATGTAACTGTGGGTTGTCTTTCAAGTTGTTTCTGTTTTACTTTCATTCCTACCTCGGAAGAAAGTTTGGCAGCTTGGCCCTCAACAGTGACTTTTTTTGGATGTTCTTTTTGACCTTGAAAGTCTTGTTCAGCTGACATTGTTCTTATTTTCTCTTTTGTTGTGACTCTGTCTTTGAGAGTTTCTGTTTTGGTATATCTTTCTGTTCTGTCATCACCTATAAGTGATTCTTTAGATGTTACCTCAGGTGCAGACGTTACTGCAGCTTTGCTTTCGATGTGTTTAATTTTTGTTCCTTCAATAGGACTAACTGTGTCTTTTTTATCCTTAAGTGTGACTGTCTTTGACTGAATCTCTTCCACTGCAACATCAGGTTTATCACTTTCATGCAAAGTCTGTTTTGGAAATTCTGTTTGAGTATCTCCAATTCTGGTGTATTTTTCATAAGTATCTTGGCCTCGCAATAATTCTTTAGCACTGGACTCTACTCTGGTTGTATGTTCAACAGGAGTAACTTTGGTACTTCTGTCACCAAGTATTTCAACCTTTGAATTGCTTTCTTGCGCTTTAATTGCTTCAGTTTGATCTAACTTCTGTCTGTTATCTATTGTGGATTCATCTTTCTTTAAAGAAATATCCTCTGACTTGTAAGCCCCCCATTTTCTTGATGTAATGTCTTTTTCTAGATTGTCAGGGGAAATATACTTATGCAGAGTGTCTAATCTAATACCTTGTTCTTTCACAATCAATGGTTTTTCATATGCAACATCCATTACAGGTGTCCTCGAAGTCTTTTTTTCGATTTGTTCCTGCTTTGTTTCTACGTCTGGAGTAACACTATGAAAAAAGTCCTTAATTATTTCTGTTTTAGACTGAATGCCTTCAACTGTAACCTGTCCTTGGTCTTTTAGAGAGTCTGGTTTCTTTGAAGCCATACTATCATATCTAACTTCCTCATGCCTTGGTGAATGGTCTACCTCTGTTTTAGCGTCTTCTCCTACCAATGTCCTTTGTGCCTTTTGTTGACTTTGTTTCTGTTTTGTTGGTGTTGTAACATCAACAAATGTCATTTTGTCAGTTTTAAATTGACTGATTTCTCTTCCCTGAGTGTCTTTATCTTGTTTTTCAGTTACCATGCTTTCTTTGGCTGACTCTGGACTTTGTGAATGTCTTTTAAGAGAAACCTCCCCAGATTCATAAATGTCTTCTTTCCTTGATGTAATGTCTTTTACAAGCTTGTCAGGTATAATAAGTCTTTGGAGTGTGTCTGATTTCAAAATGCCGTCTTTAACTTTGAAATGTTTTTCAGATGCAACTTCCATCACTGGTGCAGCTGAAAGTTTCCTCTTGATTTGTTCCAATTTTGTTTCTGTTACTTCAAACGTAGTAACACAACCATATTCATCTTTTACTGCAACTGTCTTGGACTGCACTTCTTCAAGGGGAATTTTTGTACCTTTGTCCAACCTCTGACCTTTTTCTTTTAGGGATTTTGATTTCTTTGACTGAATGTCTTTCATCTCTGTGTCTATTACCTCTGTTACCGGAGTAACAACTGTTTTTGTTTCAGTTTGTTGTTGTCTTGTTTTCATCTCTTCAGCTGGAAGAACTGTGGTGGTTTTGTTCATTACTGTAAGTTTTTCTGAAGCATCTACCAAGGAGTGTTGATCTGTTACTTCTGATTTGGATGCAACTGAGGCCTTTCTTTGAATTTGTTCCTGTCTTTCAGGTAATTTATGTCCAATGGGAGTAACCTTCTCTGTTTCATTTTGAATTTGGTGAACTTTTGACTTAACCTGTTCAACTCGAATGTCTTTTGTGTCCTTTAAAGATTCATCTGTGTTTAGAGAAATGTCCTCCAACTTGTAAACGTTCTCTTTTTTTGAGGCAATATCTTTTACTAGCTCATCAGGTGTGATATACCTTTGGAGATTGTCTGATTTAACATCTCCATCTCTGACTATCAGAGATCTTTCAGATGCAACCTCCATCACAGGTGCCACTGAAAACTTTCTCTCAATTTGTTCCTGTTTTGTTTCTGGTACTTCAAATGGAGTAACACTCCCATATTCATCTTTTAATATGACTGTCATAGACTGCACTTCTCTAAAGGATGTTTTTGTACTTTTACCCAAAGTCTGTCCTTTCTCTTTTAGGGATTTTGATTTCTTTTTCTGGGTATCTTCAGTTATAATCAATGATGTTTTGTCAAACATCTGCCCTTCAACTGTTTGGGTTGCTTCTTTGTTTTCTGATTCATCTCTCATCTTAAGGGCATCTTTTTCTCTAATTATGTCAGTTTTTGTTACCTCCATTACAGGAGAAACTGTTGTTTCTATTTGTGTCCGTCTGGTTTTCTTTTCTTCAACTGGAAGAACTGTGGAGGTTTTGTCTATTACTGTAAGTTTTTCTGATGTGTGTTCATGTGATACTTCTGGCTTGGCTGCACCTGAAACCATTCTCTCAACTTCAGTTTTCTCTGGTTTATACTGAACTATGTCTTCATTGGTCTTGGCTTGTTCAAATGTGATATGTTTAGAAGTATCTGATATAACATTTCGATCTATTACTTTTTGAGATTTTTCAGATGCAAAGTCCATCATTGGTGCCACTGAAAATGTTCTTTTAACTTGTTCTTGTTTAGTTTCTGTTACTTCAAATAAAGTAAGACAACCA